TTTAGTAACTGCGTTTCATTTTCTTCCGTTGTCGGATGCTAAGAGGCTCCTGTCTAGGCATCCTCGACTTCAATGGCTCAACTCCCTTGCCAGAGACGTACGAAAGGGGAGTACAGGGGGGCCCGGCTCCCCCTAGAATTGAAAAGTATCATCTGCCCCCCCCCCCAAAAAAAAAATTTCTAGATGTTTTGAATGCAACAATTCGAAAGCATTTGGTGCTGAAATTAAACAAAAAGGCGTAATTATTCTGCAGAAATTGATGGAAAATCTCCATCATAGGAGCTTCAAAATGCGTCCAAATAGATTTAAAATTTCACAAATTTCCCCGGGGGAGGCCCCCCGGACCCCCCTCTGTGCTGGGGGCCCGGGCCTGAAAACTGGTACCAGGGCCCGAGATGGGATGTGGCGGGCCTGATATGAGGTATACTTTACTTTTAGAATGAAATATAATTTTTGGTTTTGATGAATATTTTAGTTCGTTTTAATCCGTTTTTTTTTTTTTAAATCAGTGAAAAATTTAACATCGTCCGGGTTTCTGAATTGTTGTAGGTAATAAATTCCCTTTAATTATCATTAAAACCGAGCAGAGTCAAGAATAATTAATTGCGCAAAGTCATATAATTTTGCGGCGACTTTACCGTCGCCCGAGTCAGGGACGGGAAAAGGAGTACGCTCCACGAACATATTATTACACGCTTATCAGTCACACAATGTGGGTTGAATATGAATTCTTGAAAATTTATCAACATACTCTCCCTAATCAGCCCATATCTGATTGCTTTCTTTGGTGAGGTGACTCAATGTTGGTAAAGCGTAAAAAATTGACGGGGCAGACTACTAACAAAATACTTTAATTGAGTTATCTGAGATGGTGACCTTCATAATCAACAAGTTTATAATTTGCACTAACGCATTCTGTAGTTCAATGAGCCCACTTAACCGAGTACGTAGCATCAACCAAAAACAAAATAGGTGAAGCGCAAGCGCACTCTTTGGTGCAATGAGTCAACTTGATGGAGCAGTTTACCATCAATTTTGTCTCGGTGAACAGATTTGTAATAGCTAGTAGCAACTAATTGAAAATGATTGATTTCCCTCAAGACGTTGTGGACAATACAATGCCGTTGGTTATTCTATCAATTTTTTCATGAATACGGCACCAACTTTTAATTAACAAAACCAAGATGGTTATCCGCGCACAGTCATTTTTTTCCGTGCAAGTTGCTACTTAAACAGTGCTAGAATTTGCCTTCATTTTTGCGTGATACCTCATGACATACCTACCCCAGAGCTCTTCTAAGTGTAACGCGCTTGATTTCTGCACTCAACAATGCGATCATAAACACACATTTATGAATGTGAGTAATTTTGAGACACAGGTGATAAGCTAGGATTTTCCTTCATTTTTGCATGATACCACATAACATACCTACTTCAGAGTGTGAATAGTTACGCGCATGACTTCTGTATCCAACGATGCGAGTATGAAACCTACATTCATAAACGTCAGTCATTTTAAATAGGTAAAAAGCTAGGATTTTCCTTCATTTTCGCGTAATACCACATCTCAGTCATACGTCAGAGTACGAGCAGTTGGACGGTTTAAGTCCACAGCCACGCATCTCGTTTGCAGAGTTTGAAAATCTCCGCTCCTATTTCATTTTTTTTAAAGGAGAACAAATCGACATCATTCTTTATGAAGTTTACTCAGAATTCTCTCGGCACTGAGAAGGAAAATCACGACAGTTTTTAAGAATTGCCGTCGAGTAGTTTTTCATTTAAAAAATGAAGTATGACAGGAAGTCTGCGACGTCACAAAACGAGATACGTGGTTCAGGCACGTAGCCGGGGGGGGGGGGGGCTCAAGCCCCCCCCCCCCCCCCCCAAATCAAAAAAAAAGGAGGAAAAGAGAGAGGGGAAAAGGATACAGAAGATGAGAAAGTGCGAGAAAAGAAGAAGTTTGAGACCGTCGAAGATATTTATATCTTTTAATGTAGAGTCTTAAATGAAAACACCATGTCCATTCCTAAAGTTTTCGTCAGAAAAGCCTCAAAATGCGTCCAAATAGAGTTGAAATTTCAAATATTTGCCGGCTTTGTTGAACGTAACAATTCGAAAGTATTTTTTGTTAAAGTAAAAAGAGTGTAATTTTTCTGCATAAATTTATGAAAAATCTGTGTTACAGAGGCCTTGAAATGCGTCCAAATAGAGTTAAAATTTCAAAAATTTACAAGATCTTTTTGAATGCATATAATTCAAAAGTCTTTTTTGCTGAAAGTTTAAAAAGGAAACGTAATTTTTTTGCAGACATAGATGGAAAATCTGCGTCACGGAAGCCTCAAAATGCGTCTAATTAGATTACGAATTTCTAAAATTTTCCGGGGGAGGACCCCCAGACCCCCCGGTAATAGAGGGACCCCGCAAGCCACCCCCCACCCCTGACACAAAATCCTGGCCACGTGCCTGACGTGGTTGCAGACTTACACCATCAAGTTGTACGCTTGATCTCCGCATTTAACGTTGCGAGCATAATGCCTACATTCATGAACGTCAGTAATCTTAAGTTAAGCATGAGAAAAGCTAAAATTTTCCTGTATTTTCACGCGATACCAACCACACAGTTCATGGGGCTCTATCTCCACGACGCGGACGCGATATCGTTGGACGCGACGCACGACTGATCATTCGATCGCCTTCATTTTCATAGATATGCAACATGCGTCTTTAAACTGGCCACACCGTAACAATCATAACAATAACATAACCTATTGTGTATGACGTGCGTGCGTGCATGTGCGTGCTTATAGTTTTGTCAGTTTTATATTATATTTAGCTCATTTTTGCTCCTGTTTTACTTTTCTCTCTAGCAAACAGTGTATCGTACATAATTTTGCCATGGAAAAGGATGAAGATGCTCCAGTAAAGAGGCGTTCCAAAGGAATCGTGTACTTGTCCACCATACCGAAGTATATGACTGTCACAAAATTGAGAGAACTTCTGGAAGTCTATGGCAAAATAGGAAGAATCTTTCTCCAGCCTGCGAAAAATCGTAAGAAATTCAAAATTTTGTCTGTTATTGAATTTTGATTCGAGTCATGTTTTGTCAAATTCTCAATGGAATACTACCAGATCACCAACTGAACCTGAACACCTTAATTAAAACAATGAGCGTATGAGGTTTCCATGATCGGTAGTACTTCAATCCATCATCATTGACTTTGCCAGTGGTAGCAATACAGCTGATCAATTATCAGAATTAACGGTGATTTTTTTGCTACAGGAACCATCATAATAACAACCTACCTAGCTCTGCAACATGTTATTGCTGTATTATTTCAGTAAATGTGCCTCTGAATGATACTGAATGGATTTCAACTGGTAGATTTTCTACTTAGTAAACCAAAATCCCTCTTCTTAGACTTATACCTAGTTCAATTGTTCGTTGTTATGTAAATTGATAGCAATCCACATATTGATGGTATAAGTCGGTAATCACATAACTCGGTTTCCGGTGTCACAGACTTCCTGTCATACTTTATTTTTAAAACAGAAAACTACTCAACGGCAATTCTTTAAAACTGCCATGATTTTTCTTCTCTATAGAGTGTGTTCTAAAAAAAAAAAATGTTTATTTTTTTTTCAGCTCACTCAAAGAAAAAGAAACCATCGAAACATTTTGAGGAAGGGTGGGTAGAGTTTTTACGCAAGAGACATGCTAAACAAGTTGCAGCTCATCTGAACAACAAACTAATTGGAGGACGCAAAAGGAGCAAATTTTATGACTGTATGTGGAACATAAAATACCTTCCCAGGTAATTGAACTTCAAATATTTTATTTGTGTCTTTTGTTTCTTCAATGATTGCAATTTCAATTAGAATATTCCAAGTCTAGCACAACTGATGCCACTTAAAAACCCTACCAATGGTGGAACTAGAAAAACACAATTCTTGATTCTCATCATGACAGATTTATTGTCATATCTACTTCACTTTTCAAGCCAACAACTAATTCAGCAACAATAAATAGGTATCCTGTAACAACGTAAAACAATTTGTTTTTCTACTTTTAGACATAGGATAGAAGCAAAATTCAAAACCTTCTTTTTGAAGTTAATATTCTTCAAGCTCCACTACTGTTGTGAGAGTAATTTCTGAGCTAAGTTCCTTTTTCTCTAGAATTCGGGTCCTGGTGATCACATCATTCTACAAACACTTCTTAATTTGAGAATACACTTCTTCTATAAATCTCTCCCTTCTTCTGATGTTATAGGTTCAAGTGGGTGCACCTTTGTGAAAGACTTGCCTATGAACGAGCGGTGCAAAAGCAAAAACAACGATTAGTTGTGGCTCAAGCAAAACGAGAGGCCACCAGCTTTGCTCTAAATGTAGACCGAAGTGAAAGACTGAACAAGAAAAAGAGTAAGAAGCAAACTGCCCCTGCGAAGGAAATTGAATACAAACAGCGGAAAACGGAAGGAGAGATTTTAGACAGCAAGAAGAAGAAGACGAAATCAAAACCGAAGCCTGAAACTGAGGATAGGAAAGAATTCATCAAAAATCTCTTCAGCTGAAAACCTGGATACTCGCCGTTTTAGGAAAGATTTGACGATTTCATTACTTTTTTTCATTGAACTTTTCTTTGGTGCCAGTTTAACTAACTAAGTAAACTGGGTGAGCTGTTTCTTCACTCTGGAGACACAACACATACCTATGATAATGTACTGTTTCTGTGGAAGTAGAGAACGTTGTATATCACACACATTTACCTGCACATCTCTCTCTCTGCTATGCATCCTAGTAAAACTAGGAAAACACATTTGATAATGTCACTAATTTCGACGTTGTCATTGATGTTTTGCTGTTGAAAAATTTGTCTTATATTTACTTGAAAAATGAACTACCTAGGCAGAACCCTGCTTTACCAGAGTTGTGTGGCCTTCACATCGAGGTACATTTTGCGGAAACTTAATTGGTCAACATAAAGTACATTTTAGGCCTGCAGCCGAAAAAAATCAGCAAGAAATTAGGAATTTCTTACAGATTTATCATTTTTCCTGAGAGGTATGATTTACTTAGACCTGCTTTTAGGATGACCTGTGTATTAACAACTGGTTGATGAGCCACAGTATCAGTGGTTTAGTCACGGAGGCTCAAAAGGGTGTGGACTCTTCTCCCCCTTAGCCTTGATCATTTTCTCACCAAAAATGTTTCTTAGGAATAAATCGCTGATTCTGACCTTTGCATTTTTCTCTCAACAAAATATTAAGTCCATGATCGATCCTGCTTCAAAAATTCTTTGTTACGGCTCTAGGTTCCTTGAAAACTGCCAAAATAGATGATGTTGAACACTCAGTTTTTCGAAAGACCTCTGTAAATATTGGACCAGTGGTGTTTTTAATTTACTAAGTAGGTAACCATGAGGATTCTACAGTTGAAAAACAATTCTATGACACATACTATGGACCCATTACTCATGATACAATACTTTTGTACATAAGTAATTTAATCACTTTTGATCTTAAAAAAATTGGTATTCAATACAATACAGTTGTAATTTTTAATGTGTTTATTTTTTTTAAAAATACATATTTTTCCAAAAAGACTCCAGTATCTGTTATTTATTGATCTACTAATAGCTACCAATACAATCAATATTCAACTTTTGATAAAAATTTGAAAAAACTAAATAGGTGAAGTGTGAAAATGTAATAATACTTCGTAAAGTTCATTTAATTTGAAACAGCCTGTGGACCTTCCTAATTTTCTATGCAATATGTGCATGCCATTGACTTTGATGAGAGAACAAGTCTTTTAGTAGTCTAATTATTCTTCCCTGTCTTGTGGTCCATTGATGAACAACATTCCTTACATAAAATTTACAAAACTGATTCCGCCAAGTTTCATTTATCTATGCAAGAAAACTTAATATTCTAGATCTGAAATTCATAATTCAAAAGTTGTATTTTAAACTTAAACTTTGAACAAAATGATCTAGAATTCCAGCTAAGATCTACATAATGATAAAATGCAGTGGAATTAAACGGTGCCTAAAGCTCAAAATACATATGATGAAATATCATCAAGTACGACAAATACAATTTCTTACTGAATAACATTGAATATGAAAAGTAGTTTACAATTTTATTCATAGAAACTTAATTATTTTTAACCCGTATGAGTAGGTATGCAATTTCAAGTTATGTATTCCCTTCACAAAGATGAGATGTTCATTTTACTCGCCTCCTCTCGGACAACATTCATGAGTTCCTCATTGATCAGGAACAAGAACCTGAGTCCAGCAATCTGTAAAATAGAGAAAAAGGTTGAGGCTTCATCTTTGAACAATTCATCGATACCTTCAGATGTATTAAAAAGTAAATGCAGAGAAGGCCTGCAAAAAAGCCATGATGCAATTTTACCACACGGTAAAATTTTATATCTTGTAGATGAAATTTATTCTGCAATGAAGAGCTACTATTTCTGGCTGATCCATAAAGAAGCCAATGAAAATAGAGAAACTAATGGCGTCCTATCCTAAACCAGAAATAGTCCATAGTAAATGTGTACCGAACAGCATGTCAAGTCTAAACTCCTTATTGAACTTATGTTTTACCGTATGTTTGGAGAAGTACACAATTTTTTATCTTAAATTATAAGAGATGACATAAAAGTAACAATACACCATGCACTAACGCATCAAGAAAAAATCCTATCCGTGTACGCTTACCTCAAGAACTGAATTATTAGCAAGTTTGTACTTGTGTCCATTTAGAATAGGTTTGGCATCTACATACAAAGCCCTCTTTCCTTCACTGGATATGTAAAAATCTCCATTATTGTTCAACCGTATAGTTGCTTGGCGCCTGGACACTTTCCAAGCAGGACCTTCCAAGGATAGATCCACATCTACATTGTGGTCTCTGGTTTTACGTCCAATGGTTATCTGGAATGAAAAAAATTATTTTGAGGACATTGGAAAAAAATGTAATAACAACAGGTACCTTATTCCGATTTTTTAGCGCTCAGGAAAAAAAAAAAAAAAAAAAAAAAAAATCCTTGACTCAAGGTATGATAAAAAAGTACAGGAGCCACTCCGGCATTTTCTGGACCCTGTGATGGGTATCACTCTCAAAAAACAAAGAAACCATGATGAAAATCCTTTTGCTCACCTCTTTGGAACGCATTAAGTATCGAACAACACAGCCTTTCAAAACTGCCAGTGTCTGATTATCAAAATCTTGAGGAGTAATGCCTGTAACAGCATCGACAAGCACTTGCCACCTGCTAACTTCATTCTTCAGAACATTGATTTCTTTCTTAGCTCGCCTGAAAAAAATTAGAATAGTTTGTATTAAAACCACACATAAGGAAACAGACAGCTTAAGATAGTTCCTCAGTTATGAGATAGATAAACATTATTGTAAACAGGTTTTTCTTGTGTAGGTAATACTAAAAGAGAGAGAGAGCCACTAAGTATTGAAATTGGACAGCACTGAACAATAGGAAAAATTAGATTTGACAGAATAAAATGAACAAGTTTAATTCAAAATAAGGATTCAAGACTATTCTACAAGTTTGATGTTAATAGAAAGAAATCGAAGGTCACCCAGCTAATAACCCCAGGAATTCAGCATCTATCACAGTCCAAGATACAGTTTCAATATAAATAATGTTTAATCAAAAAGATTATATTCTTTCAATGAATATGATGCAGTTTTTTTTCTTTTCGAACTGATTATGTGTCAAAGCAATTATAATATCGCCTCATGGTCAGAAAATACAAAACAGCATGACTAAACTACAAACCTGTCGGCCAAAGCAAGTTCTCGGTCTAAGATAGCATCTCTTGGTTCACTCAACTCTGTGTCATTCAAGGTTTCCTCACAGTCTGAGAATGTCAGAAAATGTTCGCTTCGCGCTGCAGTTGGATCTGCAAACAAGGTAAGAAGAGCTCATTTAATTTTAGCTGCCGATAGCCGATAAACAAAAATCCAATGTGCCTGTGAATTTCCTCACTCTCTAATCAGAAGAGTATCTATAATTTAATGTTTATTTCAAGTCCATCAAAGTTTCTTGGGAAAATTTTCTCGTCTAAAGAACAGGCAACATCAAAACCGGCATGAGTACAATGATTCAATCATCTTTTCATCAATTTTTCCCCCCTAATATTGTATGTGTTTGTAACTCATAGGGGCTTTTTTCCAATTCGATTGTGTATTGGGCACTTGTGCAGACAGAAGTTAATTCGAGGTAAGATACGTTCTTCATTTCCTAACTCTTTGCATTTTGGTTTTGTAATTTTTTGCTCTTCCTCAACTCCAAAATTTTAAAAATTCATAACATTCCAGAACTTTTTTCACTCATCACTGACTCTAAAATTATCAAAATCCTGATTTTATATCCTCCTTTTGAGTACTATCTACTCAGTAGGAATATTTTTGTGATTTCCATTGTAATTTCATTACCTGTTTGATCTGATATCAGCTGATATTGCTTCATTAGCTGCCAGTGGGTGTACAAGGTCTTTGCGGTTCGTTTAGGGTAAAAAACAAGTGCATTATTTGTCAGCAATTCCTGGAAGGTTTCTAGAGTTGGGTTGGATGACTGAAAAAAGGGAAAAAATACACCTTAGAAAATGGAAAAAAGAATTGAATAAAAATGCAGCAGTTAAAAAATTAGGGGAAAACGAAATTAGAGAGAGATCACATTTTGAGTTGAGTTTATAAAAGCTAGATTAATTTAATTTGAATTGCTTCAAAAATGTTTTAGAGAGCAAGTAATTGGATATATTTCTGTAAAACAGACCTAAGCGCCATAGGGTAAGGAAGGTAGAGGGGGGCTTGGATAGGCGGCGGAACCGGGCGTCGGGATCATTCCGTCCTATGCTCTCAATGCTTTTCCATGGCGCTTAGTTCTGTTTGACAGAACGCGCTATCTGGCATTCTAAATTCTTCAAAAGGAACTCAAATTGGCGCTTAGTTCCATTTGACAGAAATACATCCAATTTTGGTAGGCATTACTTAAAAAATCAACTAAAACGCAGTGAACACCTTTTTTACCAAAATTTTGAAGTATTCCCATGAAAATTAAAAAACATAAGAAACTTTGAAAGAAATTGGTACTCAAAAATCCAAAATTGCCTATTGCTAATCAAAAACTCGGATCTCTATGGGCAATGAGGGAGAGTATCTCTTTTGGTTACGTTAGTATGTTCCAGCTCTGCTGAGACACCAATTTTACAGTCATTTAGAGTTGCTGAAAAATTAATCCGATCACAAGCCTGCATGAGGTCTGCTATTAGGATACTTACCACTTTCACTGATGCTAATAATTGTTCTTCTGCTACCGAAAATAGAGCTTTGGCTTCAATACCAGCTATCACTTCAGGGTGCAAATTTCTCATGGCAAGGACAGCCAACCTAGAGATGATCTGGTCATACAGCAAAGCATACCATCGCTGTTGGATCTCTTGCAAAGTGAAGCGACAAGAAAATTTGACTCCACGATGCACTGTTCGCAAACAATTTGTCTGTGCAGAAAAAAATTAAAGGAGAGTATTAAAAACAGCATCATTCATTATTTTTTTTTCTTTCATAGTTTTTACTTTATCATGAGTGTACCTAGTCTTAAATTTACAATACCTGCAATCATAGTTTGATGGATAAATATGAATTTTACCAAGAAAAGTCTCCATCCAGATCAATTAAAAAAAGCGCTAAACGGCTGAAAATGAAGTTGCGCTTTTGACCGACTGAAGGTACCGCGAAAAAACCAGGAAGGTTTTAGAAAAATCTGAACTCTGAAGAGGAATTCGAAAAGAGTTGAATTCTAAATTCATTTTTCCAACTGAAGCATAAAAAAAAAACAAGAATAATTGAACAAGCCCATTAAAATCATGAGAAATCAGTGAAGACACTTGGAAGTCTGATTTTTGCCTTTATTCTACCTGCATTTCCAGAGAGACTTACAAACTAGCACTTTCTGCACCTCCAGGTTGAAGAAGTCAAAAAACTTACTTGCTGAACATTGATTATTAAGGCTAGGTCGTCCATCGGCTTCCACCGTCCAAGATCTTTTGTCGAGGACCCTGCATTTGCATGCTTGGTTGTTTTCCTGTAGCGACTGCCGCCGCTTCTGGTATTACTGCTTCCTCCGGAGCCTCCACCGGCATTGCCTGAACTACTGTTTGTGAGTGATTTGTTGGATGCTCTTCTAGGCGGTCTAATCACAGCATCCAACATTGGAGAATTGGACTCACCGGGAGTTAGAATTGGTTGCTGAGTTGGTCCACTGGCACCTGTGAGCATAGGTATATTTTTTACAAGATCCATTTAGAAATAATGATTCATATTAACTAGTACTGTTTTTTTTTTTTTTTTTTTTTTTTTTTTTTTTTTTAATTTTAAATTTTTCTGAGATTGGTAATAATAGGTATCTGAAAGCATTTGGAGATTCCTCAAACTGACACATACCTTAATCTTTACATAACCTTAAATGGAGGCTTCATATACATTCAAGGGAAAAAGTAGGAAATAATATAATAATGAAATGTTCTGAACAGATTGACGATCAGAAAATTAGAGTCACACAAAAAATTCTTTCAATGTAAAACCCTCTGATATTTTGTTAAGAATAAATATGTAAGTTTTAAAACATTTTTCTGCAGTTATTTATAGGCTGTGGATTTCTATACCTAATCAAAAAAAAAAAAAATAGATAAATAAATAAAAAAAAAAAAAAAAACCTTAAGTCATGAAGTCCAAAACCATGCATTTTTTAAAGGGCTCTTCTTTTAAAACTGGCAGCTGTAGCGCCACAGCTCTATGACAAATAGTTGATTAAAAAAGAAAGAAAACGGCATTGGGGTGTTTTTTTTTTTTTTCGAAATTATCCTTTCAAAAATACACTAAAACTTTGATGGAAACAAGTCGTACTTAAAAAACTTTACAAGCTGATGGTGAAACTTGTGTGATTATACTTGGACTCTGCAGCAAAGCAGTCACTAAGACCCTGAACCAAATGAATGATGCGTTGGATTCAGACAAAGTGAGGACCAAAAAAGGTAGGTTTCTGACCAGTGTTCAAAACTCACTTTTGAGTTTCAGGAGCCATGTGGCGCAACAAGCTCGATTTTTAGGGGCCAGATTGACTTTTTGCCTATACATCACGGTGCATTTAGTGAAAAGTTTGACGCAAGATGTTTTAGTTACAGAACTAGTAACTGTTACTTGGGGGAAATTTCGAAAAATCACCAAACAGAAAAATTAGGATTTTATTGGGGGGAGGGGAGGGGCAATTTCTAGGGGTCACGTTGCCACGTTCAGAGCCTTCATTTCTTAGGCGCATTTGGCGCCTGTGAGTTTCTAACACTGTTTCTGACATTTTCTTAAGAGAGAAAAATGGAGTGCCTGATGTAAGTCTTTAAATAAATGATATCGTTCAATCGCCTAAATGTATAAGTTTAGATTTATTACCACTAGGTAAGTAATACCAACTTAATCGAGCCACACCCAATTTAATGTAATGATTTGAACTTACTTGGAGAGGGGACATTTAAAGAAGACGTTCTGACACGCTGAACTTTACCACTTGAGACTGGAGCCATACTTGTGTTTAAACTTGACTCGACCAACTCATCATCAAATTTTCTTCGCTTGATTGATCTTGAACTACTGTTAAACATAAGAAAAGAACAACTTCAATACGGATGAAATTAAGAAATATGCTTTGGGATGAAATTGCGATTTACTTAAGCATTTAGGTGTACTTACTTTAAGATACTAGTCATCATGACATGTACCTTCGGCAGCCATGCCAAATTCCCTACATGTGAAAATAAGGAAGTCAACTGTCCACATTTTTTTGGAATGTCTAATGATTTAGGTGTTTTCTGTCAAAAATATTCTACAAAATTTATAAGCAGAGACATCATTGAAAAATCTGATCAGAAGAATAAGAACAGTGCACATAGTTCAAATACGCTGCCAATCATTATCAGTCAGGCAGGAAGTAGGCACTTATGAGATAAACGATTGAAAATATTCAATTCGTTCTTGTTCAAAATTGTTAATTCACTTACATTACACAGATCCTATATTATGTAGGTGAAATTGTGTCTGTACTTCATACCTGCTTACTACAAAAATAATGAGAAATTAACAAACCTTCTCCTTTTCATGTTGAGCTCTGACAATGAGGGAGAATTAGCGGAGTCTGTTAACGAAACAGGGGTGGAGGGCATGCTCTCCACGTAAGAGTTCTCCGACATGGTACGTATGATTGGTGATGGCTCCATACTGACTGGTGTTACCTACTTGCTAAAAAGAATCTGTGAACAAAATATAGCAGAATGTCAAACGAGCTGTTGGATATTGTGAAACAAGCCGTAACTTAGGTGGAAGAAGAGAGCCTTCTGGACCCTTGCAGGTCTCAAGGTTAGGTTAGAAAATATGCAGATAATGTAGATTTAATAAGCTGTACGACAATTACTTTTGGTGAATTCATCAGATCAAAGCGCAACATAGTGCGAGAGGCCGTAGATTTATGCTTCCTCGAAACAATGCATGCGAAAAGTTGAGTTGAGAAATTGCCCTGGGTACATACATACAAACCGAGTTTGCACAACTAGGATACACAGTTGAAATGCAAACTTACCAAAACGATGTAGTTGAGATAGAAATAGAAACTGTATGACGGACATCTGCATCGTTCGTTTCTTCCGATCACATTTTAGACGAAATTAATGAAAATTAATAAATAATTGAGTAATCACTGAAAAACAAAAGAGGATAATTGATTAGGCTGGTGAAAACAATAACAAATCAAATTTAGCTTAGCTCGCTGCTTAGCTCGCCGGGGAGCTCACCGATGAGTTCAGCAACTCATCATCAGACGCATAAACGCATTGTTATAACGTATCATACGTCCATGAATCATGTCAACGATGTCAACGAGATTGTTCCGTTGCAAACGAAAATTTGTGTAGAATTAGGTTATTTTGTTTTGTTACTGCTTGACTAGTGAGTGATCGTAGAATTTCAACTGAATTAATTTCTTTAATGTGTTTTATCGAGAATGTCTGATTCCAGTAAGGCCAAAATTTACTGGGGAGGCAAAACTGTTCATCAAAACAGTGACACATATTGGAATAAATATCCCCTAAAGCCTGGGGAGGAGCTGTATGAGGTGAGAAACTTGCAACTGTTAGGTGCCGGAGGCACTACACAATTTTTAATTTTACTCCTATACTTTTAATTCCTCGATATTTTCTCTCTACCTTAGAAATTTGCTGTTGCAAGAATTGAGATACGTTGTTTTAGTCAACTGATCTCAAGAAACTGGACTAATTTAAGTTATGAGGAGTAGCTCAACCAGGGAAGAGCGGGAGTTTTCAGAAACTCGGACATTACTGTCACAATCCCTTTGCTCAGTCGTAGAATTTCATCAGCTGCTTTTGAAGGAAGTTCCATGCTTACAAACCAGCTCAAATTTAAGTAACATGCTATAGTCAAAAGTGGACACTTGTTTGGAATCACGTAACGATTCTGTCTCAATATGTATTCTGCATCATATCTAATTTGATTCAAACATTAACATTGATGCATCCATCCTTTTTCATTACCATTACTGAAAATAAAGTGATGGATATTGCTTCACTATTGAGTATTACCAACAGAATCCCATGTTACTTTCTTCGGGGTTTCCATAAATTACTTCAAGTTTTTGCAATTTGTAGACTTCCAGGTCCCCAAGAATGACATTATTTGTTTGGTAACCCTGAAGTCCATCTCAAATAAGTTTACGCACTTCCAGGCTGAGACAGAAGATGGTCTGACGTCCTTTTTACGTGTATGGTAAACACCAGAAGCCAAATGGCGGATCTTGTGTCGCAGCTTATAAGTGCGTAAACGTATTTGGTGTTGACCTGACTGGTTGACTAGGTTGAGATCACTGTATGTATATTAGCGTCGAGTTGAAAATCTAAGTGTGAAGTAGAAATATTTGTCTCAAGCTCTACTTCTGCGCAATGAAAGCAGAAATACCCTCTTATGTCTCTGAGAAGTAAGTAATTTATAAATGACCCCCAGTGTGTATTGAACTTGACTAACAATATTTGCCCTTTAAATTTTAAGTAATATTTTGTCTAATCTTTCTTCTTTTTTGCTCCCAGAGAAAAAGTGGAAGTTTCTACTATCCTCAAGACTCAGACGAAGAAAGGCGGCACAGCAAAAGGAGTAGACACGGTAGCGATGAAGAGAGGCAAAAGAAAAAGAAGAAAAGGAAGCATAGTAGTGATGAGCCTAGCAAAAGGAGCAGGCACAGTAGTAAAGAATCTAGTAGGAGAAGTAGGCACAATAGTAGTGAGCCTAGCAAAAGAAGCAAGCATAGCAGTGTAGAACGTAGCAAAAGAAGTAGACTGAGCAGTGAAGAACCTAACAAAAGAAGTAGACATAGCAGTGAAGAACCTAGCAAAAGAAGTAGACACAGTAGTGAAGAGCCCAGCAGAAGAATTAAACGTGAAAGCGATGAAGAAAGAAAAAAGAAGAAGAAAAAGAGGAAGCACAGTGACGATGAACCCAAACACAAAAGAGGTCACCGGCAAGATGAACCCAAGAAAAATAAGGACGAACCAAAAACCGTTGATACTCCGAAAGAAGTTATCACAGAAGATCAAAAGAAAACAGTTGATTTGTTAACATCAAAGACAGGTGGTGCCTATATTCCGCCAGCGAAGTTGAAGATGATGCAAGCCAGTATAACTGACAAAGCAAGGTTTGATAATTTTTCCCTTTAAAATCTCTTATTTTTTTAACCTCTTAGAACAAGGACCTGCTGAGAAAAATGCAACTGTAAGGATTTCATTCTTGCAATGACATTTCATGAGCCTTTGAAACGTCAAAAGTAGCCAAAAGGTGCCAAAGGCCAACTAAGAAATTGATTCAGTATATTTAAAATCAACTCTAATAATTTACTTAGTCATTTAATCATCTCATAATGTTTATTTTACTTTTCATTTTGTTAGTTGTCTGAAGCAACTTCTCCCGGAAAAATAATTTTCAAGATGAATTAAGATGTTTGTTATTTCTAGCTTAAGAAATCCAAGGTAATGGCTTTTTTAATTTTCAATGTTTATTACAATTGGCTGTATCTCTTATGTATTCTAGTGCTGCGTATCAACGAATAGCTTGGGAAGCCTTGAAGAAATCTCTCCATGGTCTAATCAACAAAGCCAGTCCTCAGAATATTTGTATCATCGCTCGGGAAATTTTGCGAGAAAATGTCATCCGTGGTCGCGGATTACTCTGTCGATCGATAATTCAAGCTCAGGCTGCATCACCGACCTTCACCAATGTTTTTGCTGCCCTTGTAGCGATTATTAATTCTAAGGTAAATCAACGTCATTCAACTTAACTTACCTCTGAAGACCCTTTAACACTACCAGTAACCAACAACTGGTTTGCGAAGATCTGGCAAAATATCTGTTTTCACCCTTTTTTTTTTTTTTGTTTTAATAGGGTATTAAAGGAAAAGTCTTTAAAAGCCATCCACCCCAGATGCACAGCAAGGGGTGTGCTAGATTCTCCCTCGATAGAGAGAGGTTGAAGAATTTAAGTAGAAATTGGTATGCTCATGAGGGGCTTGCTGACTACAAACCTCCATTGCTCTCACTACTCTTTATTGCCACAAGCTATCTCTTCTCTCTCTCGGCTAATATTGCAATTGCATTACTTCAGCCTAGAGGGTACTGCTTTGATTGGAAGGCCTTCTCATTTGTTTAGACAAAGAAGAAGGAGGAAAAGAAAGTGATAACTTTTTGGACCAGCAGGAAACATTGAGAAGAATGGAGTTTTTGGTGAAAAAAAAATCGGGAATCGCTGAAAATGAAGAAATGTAGTACCATCAAGAGAAAAATGGTGTCCTAGACTTAAAGCTGGGTGCAGTTAGAGTCAAACCCAATGCATAGTTTTTTCAAAATATTATACTCGCTTAGTTTTAAATGTCAAGGGCCAGGGTAATTAAATTTAACAAGTTATCCAGCCTTTTTTAGATCTTATTTAATGTTTTAAATTGACCCCATACCTAAAATTATGCTAAGAGTCCTCATCCCTACCGTAGACCTTCAACACAAGGGGCTTTTTAATAAACAAGGTTTTTGTTGGAGGGAAAAAAAAATTCCACAGCCTCTCTATCTAATATTAAATTCTATTTTTTTAATTTTTTGTTTTTGGCCTCAGTGTGATTGACTTTAATTCTATTTCTTCCGTTCATTTCAGTTTCCTAATATTGGGGAGCTGCTTTTGAAAAGGTGTATCATAAGGTTTAAACAAGGCTTCCAAAGAAAGGATAAATCCACTTGTCTTGCTGCTGCAATATTCATCGCTCACCTTGTCAACCAGTGTGTGGTAAGTTTCAAGTACTTGGTTTTCTTTTCAATCTTCAGTAGAAGTTGATACAATGATTGCCTCCATTTAGCTAATCATATTGTTGAAATCACGTTTGGTCAAAAGTCAACAGATCAGTAATTCTTATAATGAGACCTACTACCATGGGAATATTAAATACCTACTACTTTTAACTCTAGACAGTGTAGGTGCTTGAGTCAACGAACGTTAAATTCAGTATAAAACTTAAATTCTCAATAAAGGAGGAAAAAAGCTCAGTTGATCATAGGTTTCCTGCAAAGAGATATGCTGTTTGGTGCCGCATTATTTATAGCCAATCAGGAAGGGAACTGTGAACGCGTTTTGGGACTAGATCCTATTTTACATATAAGCTTATTCTCTCCAATATGATAATTTCAGTTTAATGCTGAATTTGATGCTTGTTGGCTAAATCACCAACACTGTCTGAACAACTCATGTGTCCGGCTACAATCTGCTGGCAGCACTATTGCCAGTTTTTTGTGAAATTTCCAAAAAATTAAATTTTACAATATTCTGTCGGCCGGAGCTAATCCAAAAAAAGATAGGTGAAATTTTTCATCAACTTGAAGCGATAGGTCAGAGATAAAATCATGACTACAAATTGATCTCTCCTTATCCAAATGATTTTCCATTGGTAACTCTATTTTTTGTTCCAGGCCCATGAAATTGCAGCTCTAGAACTTCTAACTCTACTTCTGGAAACGCCAACAAATGACTCTGTGCAAGTGGCAATTGCGTTTTTGAAAGAGTGTGGTCAAAAGCTCTCAATTGTCTGCAAGAGAGGTCTTGATGACATATTTGACTTGTTACGTGACATTTTACACCAAGGATCTCTTGAAAAAAGAGTATGTCTCATAGTTTTACATCAACCTTCAAATACTTTTCATGCTTTCCTCTAGCATTTTTTTTAATTCCTGTGTTTTCCTGGAAATATATCAATCCCTCAAGTGAATAATTCGTAGTTCAACTGCAATGTTTTAAAAATGTCTGATTCTCAGCAAGGAAAACTAATCAAAATGTTACCTTAAAGGGTTTTTTTTTTTTTTTTTTTTTTTTTTTTTTTTTTTTTTATCCGAACCGCAGAGGATTGCTATGGAACGCATCACTTTTTCATCCCATTCCACTGGCATGTTCTAGTGGAACGCTTGGACCACTCTTGTGAGGTGGGTTGAGGCAGCGGTTAGGCCCGTTGAGCCAGCCGGAACCGCAAAGATGCCAATCCATCGTGTCCCATGGGTTCCACAGATAAAAAAAGCCCTTATGTACAGTTGATTGACCCCACCTGTGTATTTTTTTTTTTTTTTTTTTTTTTTTTTTTTTTTTTTTTTTTTTTTTTTTTTTTTTTTAAATGAAAGGGGGAAATTCACAGAAAATTTGGATGAAAACTTTGGGTTACTTTTCCTCTCAGAAGAATTAAAAAAAAACTCATGTTTTCAATTCCCCCTGTCATTTTCTATGAGGAATTCAAAAGTGGTCGTCGGGTATCTGATTGGCTGAAAAGCAAGCGCAGGAAGCTCAGGCTTGAATCAGGCAACCACACTTCTTTCCTTTTCAATGAGGGCTCTCATTTTCTGTTTTGTGTGGTATGATAGTTCTAATTCCCTGTTTGTATTTTGGATTAGGTCCAATACATGATAGAAGTCATGTTCCAAGTTAGGAAGGATGGTTTCAAGGATCACCCGACGATACCTGAAGAATTGGATCTCGTAGAAGAAGAAGATCAATTCACACATGTACTTAGCTTAACGGAAGACAAGCTAGAAGGCCAAGAAATCTTGAGTGAGTATATAAAAAGATGATCTAGTTGTATTTTACTTACTGTCAAAAAAGCTATTCTTTGTGTGGATGGTCTTGAGATTATTTCGCTTTCATGGTATTATTTTTTCGTAATTTGCATCAGATTCTAATTTCGTATCGACCACATTGCAAGAAGAAAATTCATTTGCAAAAATATGTAGTTCAATTGACAGGCACTAGAGGCTTGTAATTTCTCACAAAGTGTTCCTTCATTTTCTAATGCCATTCCTCCCGCGTTGATAACAGCTTTTCGAGGAATCTCTCATGGCACTGAAGCTCAAACAGTAAAGCATGGAGATTCTCCTTGTTTGCTACTGTTACTCAATACAGAGCAGCAATTTTTTCAGCTATTTTTTTCTCTTCTTTCCTTTATGAACTGTTATAATTGGTTGTTATTTTTCTTCTTTTTTTCAGATGTGTTTAAATTTGACCCTGAATATGAGGAAAATGAGAAAAAGTATGAAAATCTTAAGAAAGAACTATTCGGCTCTGATGATGAATCTGGAGAAGAATCTGGAAGCGAAGACGAAAGTGGGTCAGATGATTCTGATGATTCGGAAGCAGGTAAGTTATAAATTAAACTATAAGTAATGGGTTTAATTATTCTATTTCTAAATTTTTTTATGAAAATAAAAGAAACTCGTACTTCAGTACTTGTACTCAGGTACTTCAAAAGTTTTGCTCAAATTTGAATTTTTCAAGAGAAAATCTTTTACTGTAACAGTTTTGAACATTTGAACAATCTTTTGAAGTGAATCTATTACCTAGGGCCAAAATTATTTACACAAAAATCAGCTGGGGGTAGAACGCAGGGTTTCTGTTGTGTTTTACCATGCAGAGTATTATGCAGTAATTTATCTCACAGCCCTAAGAGTTTTCGTCTCTTATCACCTAGAAGTATATCATCCTTTCACCGTCATTTATTTTTTTTTAATTTTCACTCATAATTTATGTTTCAGCGGAAGAAAAAAAGCAAACTATCATTGACAATACAGAAACCAATTTAGTAGCACTTCGTCGGACGATTTATTTGACAATAAACTCGTCTCTTGATTTTGAAGAATGTGCACATAAGCTATTGAAAATGGAGCTCAAGCCTGGACAAGAGATAGAAATGTGTAACATGTTCCTAGATTGTTGCGCGGAGCAGCGTACTTACGAGAAATTTTATGGTCTCTTAGCAGAAGTAAGATTTGCTCTCATTATTTTCTTGACCACCTGATTGCTTCCTGTGAATTAAATGACTCTCAATCCAAAGTGAATGATGCCAAAATGGCTCCAAAAGAAATGATGTTCACCTGGAGGTATCCCTCACTACTGATTTCCCTAGGATTGATATCGCAATTTAAAAAAGAAAGACCAAATTCCAGTTATCAATCACTCTGAGGGAAATTTGTCCGAGGGTCACCGCATAAAAGAGATTGAACATTTGAACTTATTTTTTTGCCTGAAAATTTAGGGCTTATTTGTGCCGTCAGCTTCCATATAGTTTTTTCTAACTTAATATCCATTTTTCTCAAAAGCACATGACAAAACTACCACACAACACCTTTATCTGTAATACACCTCACTTATAAGTAAAAAATGTATACATTAATTTTGCGAAGGTAGTTTTCTATTAAATTTGACAAGTGATTGCTCTAACATTATTGTTTCTTGTTGCAGCGTTTTTGTCGGATAAATCAAATCTATGTGTCACCGTTCGAGAAAATATTTGTCGACAGCTATGCCATTGTCCATCGATTTACCACAAATAAACTCCGGAATGTCGCAAAATTTTTTGCACATCTTCTCTTCACAGATGCTATATCTTGGAATGTTCTATCTACTATCCACCTCAATGAAGAAGAAACTAGTTCATCAAGTAGAATATTCATCAAAATTTTATTCCAGGAGCTGTCAGAGTTCATGAGTCTAGCCAAATTAAATGACCGCATCAAGGATCCGTAAGTGCTTTTTCTTTCTCTCATCTCGTCATATTTTCTTGGAAAGATATAACTATTTATTAATTAGCCGGCAAACCTGAGGGACACAAGCGCATCTTAGTTTCATTACTAGAGCAACTTTAACACATGGATCAATTTATTCTGCTAACACGGCAAATCGGCAATCGGCCTCCGATTTTTAAAAGGGCTACTTTTATAATAGATCAAGAGAAAATATGAGATTTTTTGACGTCCGTCATTTTGCCGTTTGGGCGTGAGATACAGGTATGACTAACCATCAGCGATACTCAAATTCACAATCCGACTTATTTAACTGTAATGAACTTTTTTTCTTTACTTTGTTTGTCGTATCTTACATTTTCATCCAAAAATGTCGTGAGCAATCGTCGTTCATTTTTACATGTGCGCCAATAAACTTAGGGTCTGAAGTGGTAGGTGGACTGAAACTCCCCTGCCGAGAAAATGCGTGGACATAAACTACTAGAAAAAACCGTTAGTAAGTATTGCATCTGCTCAGTGACTTCAATTGGTGCCATTTCAGAGAAGACGAATAACTTCCAAGTGCCTTTTTCCATTATTTGAATATTTGGAAATGGAAATTTTGTCGGAAGTTCTGCTTAAGTCAGAGTATCTAAAATAGAAGAAGGTTAAATGGAAGTTTTGTTTAAAGATAAGAGGAAGTCCAGAAAAAGTCAGAGAATTGGTGAATAGAGGAATGGAAACCTGGTTTATGTTTTACTTTATAACCGCCTGTGCTTTAACATCTACATATTAAGAAATGAGAGGCATACGTATGAAGAGTGCAAAGTCAGAGAAATACGTGCTATTTTTTTGGCAAAATAATACTCAACTTTCTTGTGAGTAATCGTTCGTCTTATTGGATTGAACTAATAGCTCTTGATTTTTTTTGTGCTTTAGGACAATGCATATGGCATTTGAAGGTTTGTTCCCTAGGGATAATCCAAAAAACACTCGCTTCGCCATCAATTTCTTTACATCCATTGGTTTAGGAGGACTAACGTGAGTATTTTTCATTTTTACTGTGTGTATTTTTTACCTATTATAAAACATTTTTACTGCCTTCTATATGCACATAAATTCATATCCGTGGAATCAAAATGCTCATAATTTTCAAATTTTGTCTTCTGCAGAAGGCACAAATGAGCCCTATGCTTAATTGTATTAATAAAACAGAGCTGTACAAATATCAGAACTCTGTACATACCTAATTGAATATATCCGAAAGTGGAATGCAAGATTTTTAATGTGGGCATTCAAAGGTTTCCTACATTTTTGAAAAGAGCATCGAATTAGCCACTCCAGAAATGGGATATAATACTACAAATCGATGGTGAAACTTTAAAAACGCATTTATTCTTTGCAGTGTTTCAAAATCTCTGCTCTTATTTTATTTTATGAGAGAACAAATCAATACTATTTCCTAGACTATACGCAAGTTATCCTTGCCGCAGAGAGGAAAAAAATTCGTAAAAGTTTTGAAGATATGATGTTAAGTATCAAAAAATATATAATGGCAGAATTTTTGAGTTTCGCCGTCAAAATAGATCTTGAAGCCTGCACCATATTACGCAGAAAATACAGGACTACCAGGCCTGGCATGACAGTAAATTTTTAAAAATTCATTCAGAAATTAAGTTCTCATCCTCTTACTCATCCTAGCCCCTCTAATTTTTAAATATATGGTTCATTTATTTTTTTTTCAGGAATGAACTTCGAGAACATCTGAAAGCACAACCGAAGCAATCGAACGTTAATAAAATTATGGAGGCTCTCTCAGCATCGAGTTCTTCTTCATCCTCATCATCATCGGATTCTGACTCTGATTCTAGCTCTTCGTCAAGTTCATCTGACTGAACTTCATCTCTTTAACTCTCTCCAAGTTTGCGCAAATTTCCTCTTTTTATAAATCTTTTTTCCAACCTAATTTTGTGTGAAAGTAGTCAAATAACATGTGTGAAGTTCAATGAGGACCAGAATAAAACATTCAAAGGAAAAACCATAAAATCCTACTGTGTTCAAGAAGTAGATCTCTTATCTTTGAAGAATTCAATGTTAAGAGCTTGAAGTTTATTAGTTTTTCTGAAATGTCCCTCCATTGTGAAACTTTATTTAGTATGTAGATTCTTTCTCACATGATTTCAATCCCTGTTGAGTGTACAAAACTTCTAAAATCGAGGTAGGAAGTTTGATTGTTTTACCACCAAATTTCCCTGTAAGTACATAATAGCTTTTGTCGAACTATAGATAATCAAAATTAAAGTTTCACTTGGTCCTCATAACAACTTTAAAGAAGAGATGTTGAGTGTTGTATGTTTGTAAGTACTTGTAGACCTGTGTGGACTGTATGTTTTCATGGACAGTGGATACGATTTTATCCATAGTTTAACTAGAACCCACTAGTTATTGTTGCCTTAAAGTGATTTTTCTCAGCTGTGATTGATCTCGGCAAATGCTGCTTGACTGTGTATAGTTTAGGTTTTCTCATTGTATACATCATTGAATCTTTATGTTGTACAGAATTATTGCCAACTTTTACTTTTTAGAGACGTGTGTACATATTGTGAAATAAATTTGTATTTTCATCCTACTGTTTGCCTGTGTATTTTATCTAAATCAGTATCCTTTCAAAAGTTTATGATGGAGAAATAAATTATGTCAGTTAAGAGGTTTCCTCTGTTATTCTTGACTCGAAGATCATTTAAAACTAGTTACAGCCAAAAGATTGCCGAAATTTTTTAAATTCAAGGGAACTGTTCATCCAGGTTTGCGAAAAATTCTTTCATACAACTGCAGTAAAATTCAATTTCTGCGCGGCCTGTTGCTACCAATTAAAAAATCGATAAACCTTTCGAAAGTTGAAAATAATCAACTTTTCGAATTAGACTTTAGTTAGTAATGATAGTTGTTGGTGAAAAATGAAAACCTCACTAACCTCGTGATTTTCATGAGAAGAACCTAAAAGTGGATTAATTCTTAGGAAATGAAATATGATAGATGCTCTGCAGCCCGTGACAAGATATACAATAAAAAACAATTTAAAAAGCGGGTAATAAGGCTTAAAATTTCACTAACACAAAACCAAACCGTTTCGGCTGAAAATTCAGCCATCTTCAGTTGGACAAATCAAAATAAAAATGGTTAAAAATCTAAAATAGTACCTGATAAGTACCTCTCAATTGGGAATTTCAATTGGGTTCAATAACAACAATCCCAATTGAAAGGTACTTATCAGTTACTATTTTAGATTTTTAACCATTTTTATTTTTATTTATCCAACTGAGGATGGCTGAATTTTCAGCCGAAACATTTTGGTTTTGTGTGTTTGAACTTTTAGCCTTGTTACCCGCTTTTTAAATTGTTTTTTATTGTTAATTCTTAGGGAGCTCAGGAACACACTTCCATTTCTGACTGAAAACATAGTATTTCTATGCTAATGAAAGAATCCGACGAGATCAAAATGCTACATTCACTTTTCATCTAACTTTCCTTCGACAAAGCCGTGATTAGAGTATTATAAAGAGACAAAGAGAAATACCTGGGACTAACATTCATGGAGGCACTTAAGTTCGGGATAAGAAGTGAAAAAAAGAATAAAATAAAAAACTTACTGTATTAAATTATTTGTCTCTCATATAAAAAGCAACAATTTTTTGTAAAAAATACAAATTAAAAAATAAATACATCAGAACTACGTAACAGGTGAATACATACAATAATACTGATACTTAAGGATAAGACATTAAACCCTTTCACTTTTAATTATGAGGCAGAAGTGAAAGGGAAATTATTGTGGTTAGAGGAATTATAACTCCAAATAAAGTTACTCAATGGCACATAATAAAAATAGAAAAAAGACAACATTCACTAGAGCCCCAGCGTTGGTCAGAAATGACATTAATCTGAGTTGCCAGACTATGACTCCCCATATCATGTCTTATCTTTCGAGACTTTTTCCTTGAGTTGTCCTACTTCTTCCATTTTCAAGATCCTACCTTGCCACATTAGTATTACATGTAGATTGCACAATTATTGACATGCTTTTGATTAACGTATTTGCTGGATAATTAATTTTGGCTAAACCGTGCGAAAATCAGTAATATTGAGCAATTCAAAATGAAGCTTTTAACTCATTCCCTGGAGTTGTAAATTTATAATTTTACATTCATAGGACAGGTTCTTACTTCTTAGAAGAAACGGGGAAAAAGTTTTGTTAAGATGCTTTTATATTGTTAATTTATCGCTTTCAAATCAATTTATAATCAGGAACATCGTGGAATGAGTAAAAATTGGCAAAATTTGAGGATTTCAAGTTTGACACAATTTTCAGCCCTGCTTTTGGTAAAGACTTAAAGGTTATCATGGCACTGAAATTAATTTCCCTATGACAGAATTAGTACTTGCTCTCTTGACAAAGGAAAGTATAAAGGCAGAAAACTATTGAGTGACTAAAAAATATCAAATAACCTTGATCATTTGTTCAGAGACAACCCATCTAAGCCTCTGCCCTAAAAGCCTTGAGAGTTAGGTTAAAAGGCGAAGTGGCAACATTTTCCCGAAAACCTATTCGAGCAATTCAAAGAATTGATTTTGAATAAGTTTGTAAGTCTGACAACAGCTGCTAGAGTAAAAGCCAATGAAGAGCAAGTGGTAAACTTTTTTGAGATTTGTTCTTTTGAGTGTTCTGTTTGCATTTTGATACCTGTGTTTATTAGACTGTTTATAATGATGGTTTCACTTGTGCGACTGTCTTAAGCACCAATTTTATATAGTGAAAACATCTAGTTTGGACATTCATCAACACAATTCGCTTCATTTGTATACAAAATCAAGACATGTTTCAGTCCTTAAGTCATGCATCACAGTAATTATAAATATGATTATTTAAAAAAGTTCGGCGAGTTGAATTCAATATTTTCGTTTTAAAAATTTTCAAAATGATTGGACTTACTGTTGATAAACTTGGTCTATTAAATTAGTAACATACTCAATGTTCACAAACTGGAATTTAAGATTATTTGTTCAGCATAAGGAATACATATTCCGTTTTGTAAAAGTTTTTGCAAACTAAGCGTTGACGCACGTCTGTTCCTGTATTATCTGAGGGAGTATTAATAATTTATTAGCAAACTACAGGCTTGCAGGAACCTTTTGAGTCACAGGAAATGCACTTTTCGGAAAATTTTGTCTTGTCAGGAAAAAAGCTTGAGCTAAGTATTTCAATTCCGTTCTCCTATTCAAGATGTTGTTTGGCCAAAGTGCGAAGAAGGAGATGGCTACCACAGCACCAGGCTGAGGCTCTGCGGGTTGGTTTGTGATTGTACCAATTGCGACATGGGGAGGCAGCAGAAGCGTACAGGCTACCGAGATCAACTGTGGATCATGAAAAACAAAGTGATTAGAATCTAGCTGGTAATTAGCTTTTAATAAATATGGAAAAGTTGAGGTAAATATGTGCTGGTCATTATATAATTAACATGTTTCAGTGTATGTAAACTATAAGAACGGATTGAATACTAACATTATTTGGCTGACCTAATGATTTAAATTCAAGTTCATTTGGACATTGGCTTCAATGTACTTTTTCAAGCTATGAAAATTTTTTCTTGACATCACGGTAATGTGACTTAACTGCTTAATTCATCAATAAAATCCTTTGACTGTTCTACTCTATGTGAGGCAAATTCTTATTCAAATTTTCATTTTTAATCAATTTTAAAATCAAAATTTAGAGGGACTTAGACATGAAAACCTCCTTAATTATTGAATCAAAGTATACTAACTAGAAAACTAAAGTTCATAGAGACATTTTTAATCATAATAAACCACCAAGTAAAATTAGAATTTAAGGACAGCAGTAAATGGTTTTCCATCAAAAGAACCCTGAACACCTGCGAAGGCTCAGTTGCTCCCTGTTGATTTTGATACAACTTTAATGGGTTGACTTAAAGTACATCACTAGCACAAGCCAAAAAAGTAGGCTCTTTTACTTTGTAGGAGCCAAGATAAATGCCATTAAAAATGCAGACTATTTTCTGTGCAGCAAAGGTAAATCAAGTAACCTGCATTGTCTTTCCTTGCTTCTGGGGAGCACTTCGGCCGAAAGACCGATAAGAATAAAACGATAAAAGGGGGGAAAAAACCTATTTGAAAAATTAAGAAAAAAATTAAATAAAAAAAAACAAGAGAAAATAAAAAAACAATTAAAATAAAAATAATGCCAGAAAAACCGTGACTCTTGAGAACTTCTGCCACTTTCACGCCTTAAAAATGGTTTTCCACTAAAACTTTACATACTCTTTAAAGTAGAACTTAAATGAAACTTTAGAGTAAATTTTCAATTAAAATAACACAATAATGTTAGAAATAAGACTCATTACTCCTCAAGGACGCACATTTACGAAAAAAATTTGACTTAAAAAATAATTTTCCCTAACACGGACACACCTCACAAATAATGAGGTCTCCCAAGTGCTCATTTGAGAAACAAGTATGAAAATAAAAAAAAATGAACTATTGAAAAAACACTTCTGTTAATGCATTTGTCTGCTTCGACAAGAGGGAACAACAGGTACAAATTTTGTCACTTTTTCTTAAAACAAAAAAAAAATGACTCCTGCTACAAGTACTCTAATTAACTCAAGTCTGAGCGTACCTGTGAACAATGAAGCTCTTGCAAGTGTCAGGAGTTTAAGTACTGATTCCCATTTAAAATTTCGTGGGAAACACAATGGTGCCACTGATTTCTTCTGATATCAGCACCAAAGCTCCAAAAAAGCTCTCTAAGTTGAGGCTGTACCAGAGGGGATATCCCACGCTACCCTGAGAGTTCACCTCTATACCAAGACAAACTCTCTGTGCAAAAATAGCGACCAAATACATTAGCAGGGCTGTCGTGTTTTCAGTTTTGGAGTTTTCAAACAAAGTGGCAACCTTCCGAATGTATTTGCTCCCTATCTTTGCAAGGGGAGTTTGATTAGATATAGAGATGGACTCTCAGGGTAGCAAGGGAAATCCCCTTCATCATGGTCTCAACTTATAGAGCTTCTTTTGAGCTTCAGAGTTAATTTCAGAGAAAACCAGGGGCACCATCGAGTTTTTCAAGAAATTTTACAAATGTATCAGTACTTAAATTGCAAATTCCTGACATGTGCAAGAGCTCCATTGTAGCTCAATTTTTTTGTTCTCCAGGATTTGTCCCTTATTCATGTCTTATCTGCAACTCAAAACGCATAATTCAACAGAATACAGAATTTTTAAAAACCGACATTGGAAAAGGTGAGAAGTTCTCCTGAGTTTTTGAGAGTTGAGGGGAAAAACTTGAGCTACAATAAAATAAATTACCTAATAAATGGTTAGTCACCTCACACTGGAAGACAAGCTATCATTCGCTGGTCCACAACCAACTGAAACCAATGAGCGTTGTTAATTTAAAATGCAAAATAGAGGAGTAAAAAAGAGGAGAAATGATTAAAAATAGTGAGAAAACCAAAGACTTCGATTATGTACAGGTTTCACAGATTAAAAATTTAAAATGGTGATCACTGAGGCTAAGTCACAATGAAATCAAACTGGCAGTTAATCCTGAGTGAGAAACGAGAGCAGTTACGCAGACAGTGCACAACAAAATGATAGATATGTACTGTTTAGATCCTTCAGTTAACAAGTTTAATCGTTGTAATTCAGTTTTAATATAAAAATGCGATTAAAAAAAGAGCTATTTTTTTTGTACAATTTAACTGAAGATATGAAAAAAGTGTACTTGTTATTGCCAAGCCAAAAAATGTGCAATAAAATGATGAAATTCAAATCTTCAAAACCTCCGTATTCGCTTATGGCTGTGATCCTGGCACATTCTATTGATTACATTCGTGACGGGTGCTCTGCAATTACTTTCGTGGCTGACACACAGAAAAAAAGAAAAGTGTCGGTGATTTTTGCTAACGTGGGTTAAAATTCAATACAAAACTGAAAAACTCATTACAGATCGGCAAAAATCACCAACACTCTTGTCAAAGTGACTCATGTGTCTAATCGCTACCTGTTTTGTTAGACACAGACAGCGCCTCTACTACACAGCAGCTTAATGAAAACAAACTGTTCCAAAAGCCAGTCCTTGAGACCATTTTGGCCTAAAGCAATGCTGAAAATACAGTCACCATGATTGGGTTGGTAATATGCTCCCAGTAGAGGAACGTGACTAAATTTTTAGGAATCCACGAGAAAAAGGGACAGTTTCATTGCAATCAGGGCTAAAATGTTTTAAGAAAACAAGTTAAAGATGAGTACATAATTAGAGATGTAGCAAAACATTGGAATTAGATTTTTTTAATGTAGAAAAAACCATTTTTATTAATGATTGAGCATGCTCAGAATATGTGGTAAAATTTTCCTGCAAGTGTTCCCTTCACTATATTAATCTTATTTGCAATTAGGCCAGTTAGCAATAGCAAGTCAAAAAAAAAATTGCTTGGATTGGTTTTGTTTTTCTATAATTGAACTGATTATTTTCCGAATCATGTAAGCGCCAATCTCTATTTTGGTGGAAGAAGGGTTGTTTTTTCTTTGTTTTCTCTGGTATAATCAATTATGTCTGATTTCAAAATAGCCTTCTAAAAAAATCATTTTTTGGAATTTGAAGATTGTCAACAAAGTGAATGATACCGTTTTCCTTGTTTTTCTCATGAACGCAATTTTAGCACTTAAGTCATTTGGAAAATAATCGGTTCAATTAATTTTGAAGACATTTTTTTTCATACTGTATTTATGACCTAGGTACATCTCCTTTTCAGAGCCTTAGTTGATTATTAGTGTGAGAGAATGAATAAACCAAATTTGAGGAATTTCAAGAAGTGTAAAAAGATAGAGAGATAGGACAACTTACCAGAGTTGATATTGTGGCGGGTTTTAGTGCAAGTGGAATATTCTTCTATTACTCGGAGAATTTGTGCATCTTCTTCATAAGACAAATCGACTGTAAATTAAACATTAAAAACAAAATGGATCGAGGATAAAAATAAATAAGAAATGGCGTCTTGAGTCATATTAAAATTAATCAAAGAGCTTATTTTGAGAATAATTTGGTAGCACGTAAATTTAAAACCGATGTATTCCACAGTGGCGCATCCATTACGGTTCATTTTCAATCTACCTGTATTATCAACCTTAGAACCATTTAAGAATGCACTCAAATTGGTCAGGATCAAGCAAAATTCAAGCTTAGAGGCTTGTTTGTAGTAAAATTTGAGATAGAATACACAATTATTTTGGCCACCATTGAGAATTATTTTTAGCTCATTATATGCAAGACACTTGGGAGATTCAAGTGCAGTAAAAAAAATATACAAAGCATGACATGATCTGTTCTGATTTACTGTTCAGTCCTCATGGATAGAGTTATTGTTAGAAAATTTCCTTGTTGAGTGCTGCCTGTGCCCCTCAAAGATTTTCACTCAAAATTTTGGATACAGTAAAAAGTAGCTCCTGTTGACTTAACAACACTCCTCAAATTTCATTTCTATGGGTACAAACGTTCAAAAGTTGCGAGGAATGGGACAGACTTTTGGGTCATTTTTAGAAGGGTTCTGAAAAAAAATGCGAAACTCGGCTTTTTGGTGCCTGAAAACTGCCGAGTACCAAGTTTCAGAGGAAACCTCGGATAATTATCTCAGATTTTTCGCCAGTGTCCGCCAGTTTCACATCTGCCATTTTAAAAAAATTGGGTTTTTTAAAAAAACTAATGCTGGATTTGGATTTTCTTAGTCCAAACTATCCTGGGTATTAAATTTCACTTAATATAATCATGTTATCTTATAATGTATCCATTTTCAATAGTATGTCATTTTTCACCTAGTGAGGCACACAGACAAAGACCCTGATCCTTGCTTCTAAATGAGTATTGAAACAGTACTTACCCAATTTTTTAGGGCTTCTGGGAGACTTTTCATCACGGGACGAAAGCGGGTTGTGAGGAGGTAAAGGCCGAAGACAGGTAATACTCCATGTAGCTCGTTTATTTGTGCTCGTGGTTTGTTTTACTGGAGTGATCTGTGTGGTCAAAAGTTTAGTCATGATGTAGAAAACCTTTTCATTATAAAACAAATAATGCAGAAAAGACAAATTCTAAATAAGAAACACTTTTAGAAGAGAGTGCGTTTTGATCCCAAAAATCTCAAAAGAAAAGGCAAAATTTCTTCCAACGCTGACAGATTTCCTCATGCGAAACTCAAACTTCAGCAATCAGCATGCATGCTGAATATGATCTAGAATTTTTCGCAACCTCAAAATTACATAATCCGACATTTTTAATTTTGAACAATTTTTTATACCCATACCATAGAGAATTGGTGCCTCTCCCTACATTGTTTACTAAAGTGAAATGCAACTTACGATATTGAGTGCATTTGATTGAAATTTTTAGAGGGAGGAAAAAGTAAGATTAAAACAAATAAAATCTTAGGAAATCGCTCATGCAGCTAAATGCACGAGTAAAATTAAAATTTTCAACAAACATCGTTAGAATAATTTAAAAATGATACACCAGAGCTTTTAACTGGCTCAAAGAATAAATACTCAAGGTGCATACAAATAATTTTCTAACAGAATTAGTTGAAAATTCTAGCTTAGTTGCAAACTATAGCCAAAAATGCAAAAAAAATGCTTACATTCTGACAGTTAGAAAACTCAGAAAACTTTGGAACATAAATAGAAGAATGTCAAACTCGAAACAAACAGATAGAGAAAACTGACTCGCCAAAACACTCTGCGATCTAAATAAACCTGAATAGGAGTTTAAACTGTGATAAATGCATATCATGGGTAGGACACAAAAGAAGCTTTCAAATTTGATAAAATATGAACCTGAGGCCATTGTCAAACTCTTTAAAAAAACAAGAAAAAAACAAGATAGCTTAAAAGGCAAATGTCAGATCAGCCTAGAGTCAGGTACTATCTACAAGAGCAAATTTCCACTTAACTCTGACTGAACAAGTTCGACAAACCAGGTTCAGTCGGTTTTGGTGGAAAATTGCAAGTGTATACAGAGCCCAAAACTTTCTTTCCTGGTTTGATACCAAGCACATAAAACATTTCTCTATTTTTTTTTTTTTTTTTTTTGGGGACAAATCCTGACTATGTAACAGTGCGAAAAGAGATCTGCCATCCTTCATTTTGGTATTCTGAGTGAATACAAAAATCAAGATGGCAGCCTCTTGTTTTATTATGGAAGTCCACTTACTGAACCATTTGACACAAGCTCCGACATGCTTAACAATAGACAAGGTTTGTTTTTGTAAACACCTCCTTTAATTTTGACCAATAGAAATGCTATAGCCATTTGTTCAGAGGCTTTGGTTATTTTAAAGTTTTTGAGAGCTTTCACCAAACATTCATCTTTGCTATCTTTTTCCATTTCTAGAAAAAACCTGAGACAAATTCCTGGTAATGTATTGGAAAAATGCTTGATGCAATCAACTTCAACACTTATAAATAAGGCTCCAGTACGCAATTCTCAAGTTTGTCACAACATAAATTTAGATTCCTTTTGCAAGGCGGACTTAAATCTTTGATGCGTGGTGTTACAATAATGCAAGACGTGTGAGTGTGCAGCAGTTAGTCAAAAAAGGGCACACTATCACACAAGCTTGCCTGATTTTGACTGGGTGACAGCAGAGGCTGGAATCTTCGCTTTGAGCCACCAATGGGCGTACATTCCTGAGCGATAGAGTGTTGTAGGGACGGACAGGCTTGTCGAGGACATTGAATCAGTCGATGTGTTAGATGTGGAGCCAAAAGGTGATGTACAAACGCATTGAATCTCAAAACTACTGGATGTCTCTGATTCTGGGCAAGCCTCTGCACTATCAGGTCCCTGCGGCGATCTATGCTGAGCAATGTCGGGAGTCGTGACATCGGCTAATCCGGAATCAGATGATCTCAGACTACTCGGGCACCCGATAAATTGATAGCTGTAACTTCGGTGCAAACCTGGACTTTTATTGGAATTACCACTTTGTTGACTAGAGTTACTGATCGGTTTGGAAACACTTCCTAATTTGGGAAGTTCTAAAGAAACCATGTGTGCTTTATGCAAAGACGGACTTTCAGGGTATGATTCTTCACTCCTTTTTGTGAGAGGTCCTGAAGGAGGATTATAATTAACAGGAATATTTAGCGAAACCGAATGTGATTTGACAGTGCTTTTCGAGATGGGGGCAGAGCAGATCACTGGAAGACTTTGACGGTCGACTGACTGACTGACGGAAAAATCATTCGTTGGGAATAAGCCTGGGAGCTGGCATGCTGGCAAAAGTTTAGTATCTTCATCTAATTTTGAGAGATCCTCTATGCCAGTGTGCTGATTTTGCACCTCAAAGCTAGATTCTGTCGATAAATATCCCACAATCTTCGTTGATGATGAAATTTTCCATTTATCTCGATCGCATCTTGTATAGGAAGTACTTGAATCACTATCGTCACAATAGTTGACAGCTTGTCTCATAAACCTATCACAGTTAATTTCACAACTATCATCAGCCTTATCAACAACATCATCATCATTATCATTATCATCATCATCGTCATCATCATCATCATCATCATCATCACTGTTATCACCAGATGATAGGAGCCATGTCCTCACAGCATACTGCGGATACATCAAACACTCTGACCGATGTTTTTTCGGTCTCTTTCTAACTTGACTCATGTCCACTTTTCCATGAAATTGATGATAGAGGAGGTTTTTTAGAAGTGAGCGGGTAATGACTCCCTTGACTACTAGATGCGCAAAGTATTTGGTGAGCCGAGAGTAAGGAGGATAACTTACACTTCGAGACGGAGACGGGGCAGGGGCTATCAGTCGCAATGAGCTGCTGGGGTAGCTTGATGGCGATCCGGTCTTTTTCAAATTTTTTGAGTAGAAACGGATTTTTTCTACCCATGTTTGCTGGTCTTCTTTCGTTTGGCACACAGCAACAATTTTATCTATCATTGGTCCTGAAATTAAAAAAAATACTATGAGGCAAATTGAATATCCTTCATGTTGAAATAAGGATGAAATTAAAAGGGAAAAAGTACACAAATTAAAATTGAAATTCCGAAATGAAAATCTAAATTCATCAATCCAAGAGTAAAGAGAGCTTCCAAGAGAATCCAAGAGTTTCTTTAAATTTAAAATTGACACATTGATTTATTCAAAAATTTTGCATAACAATAAAACATTTAAAAAAAATTAACCTTAAACGATTCAAAACAATCCTGGAATTCATTCTTCAGTGTTAAATATTGATATATTAGGCATTCATTGCAGGTTCTTCCAGGAAATAGGAAACATATTTTAAGTATGGGACTACATACTATGTAATTAATTTATGGCTGTTAAAATCACAGCAAGTCAAAGGAAGAAAAAATCAGGAAAATGTTAGGTTATTTATACTTCAGCTGTACCAAAACACAATAACAAAACAAAAAATTTCGTAACAAAATAAGTTGTAGATTAATTAGGTGATATTTTTGCGATGGGAATTATCAATTTTTTAATTGCACGTAATCCATTGAGCACGAATTGAATTTTAAAAAATTTAAGGTGACTTACCAATTATTTCGAAGGCATTTTTGTAGACTTCAGAGTCTTCTAGTTTATTTACAGTGATTCCAGTCAAAGGTAATTTTCCCTAAAATGAGGCAAGAGTTGTTAACATTTAAAACAAATTAAGAATTAGAATTTTGAAAATTAGAAATTGAATGTACTTAGGTCATACATGGTGAGATAAAAAATTATGATGAGTTCTTGAACATGGAAAACAATCTCTCAAACAGTGTTTTCCTCTGAAATGCAGCGAGTTCAAAGCCCAAAGCTGAACACCTAAATACCTAACCAGCTACATAGACATACCCTTCAGTCCAAGCGCGGAGACCTAAAACACTGGGTGCAGAAACCGTGCTCAAGCTCCTGATCCTGGAATATGCAATAGAGTCCGCTGCTCTGACAGCCGGGATTTTTGGCCTCTAAGCTCGGAACAGACAATAGGTCTATACAGGATTTAGCCACAATAATAAAAGTCGAAGGTTTCATTTCAGTAAAGAGGGTCACATATAACAAAGATATACATTCATACAAATTTTGCTGATAGAAGTAAAGAGTCAGATTCAAATTTGATGATACATAAATATTGGGCATTCTTCTTTCTACATACTGATTTCCAGACATTCTGACATTGAGTCACCAGTAAAAGATATTCTGATGCCACTTAAAAAAAGTGACCGAAAAAAAAGAGCAGGGTTAAAAGTGAGAGAAAAAAAACTGATACTTACTTCATAGATAAATCCGCTCATTCGGTGGGAGACGGACAAAATGACCAGCATAGATTGGAATAAAAGTAGGTAACGGTCTGTGTGCTGTGGCCCGACAGCAACAGATCCCATATGGAGAATTTCACCTAAAGTAACGAGGTCTTCTCCTTCCCAACCTCTTACACCACCTCTAAGAACTTCCAGCTCCAGCTCCTTTTGCCTTCGAGTAACTGAGCAACTGGACTGCGTTCAAACAGGTTACAAAACGAATAAAACTAGTTACTCTCCAGAGAAAAATTTCATCTACTTGGATGAGATACCAATTAATCAATTGTGAGTATACTGGTAGTGCAGTAGTGTTTATTGTAAGCAATCACATGCTCCTTATTTTTATGAGAGGCTTCGTGAAGATTTCTGAAGGATGGCTGAGGCCAAAAGGGTCATTAGGCTTTAGAGTCATTGATAAACAGACACCTACTTGAGCTACACACTCTTCCCCTCAGTTTTGCACTGAAACGGAAAAGAGCATATTTTGTAATTTTAATTCTATGTACTGATGGCTGAGGGGCAAAACGTACCTCTATTGCGGTGTTTCAAAATTTCCGCCCTTGTTTCATTTTTTTGAAGAGGAACAAGCCAATTTTATAACTAGAAATGTATTCTGAATATTCTAATAAGAGAAAAGAAAAATCAAACAAGTTTCCAAGAAATATGTTGACTACTTTTCCAAGGAAAAAACAAAGTATGGCAGGAAGTCTGCAATGTCGCACATGGAAAAACGAGGTTTCCCACTTTGGCCATCGATATATATGTTGGTCCAACAACACACTCTCGTGCTTTGCAGCACCCAAGCACCACACACCTGTCTTCCCAAAAATTATGGGGCTGATTGGTAGCAACGCTTGTGTTTGTGATTTTTGACAGGGAATTTTTAAGAGTATCAAGGAGTTAACTGGGATACACTACCTCCATCTTGGTGGACCAGCTTTTAATGAATTCTAATTCTAATTTTTGGTTTTTTTCTGGCTTTGATTTCCCGCAGAGTGATATGAACCCAGCACTATTCTACCATCCCAATGATAAATATACATTTAAAAGCAATGTTTTAGCACATTTTATATGCACAAAAGTTTCAATGACAGAACATCATAAGGTAGGATGGAATTCTAAGAATAGTTCCATAAAATATGTCCAATCATTTGATTAGTGAATGTTCAGCATATTGACACTGAACAAGCATTTTAGCAGGCGCAGAATTGACAAATACTCACAGCGATATCTTTGTAGACACTGACAGAGCGTAGGATGTCGCCGCGATCAGGATGGTTCTCTTCTACATGGCGGCCTAACTCTTGCAACATACCGCAATATTTCTCTAGCCGTCTGAATGGTTTGCTAAGGGCTGTGGTGAGAACCAATAGACCGGGAGATGCAGCGCCGCAAGATTCCATCAGCTGACCCAAATCGTCCCTAATTGAAATTAATCAGTGACTTTGAGAGGAATCATACATCTGTACACATATTCAACTAGTCTGGCTCGAGTAATTAAAATGAGACATTTTTTAGGTATTCAGTATCAGTCTTTCAAAAGGACCTGCACAAAGCGTTTCCAAGGCAACTGCCTGAGCTGAGCGGCATCTTTTTTCAGTATTGCACCTCAACTCACAGGGGTTCACAGTGATTATGATTCTAATTTTTTTTTCTGGCTTTGATTACATACCGCCAGTGAAACACCCAAACCTTGTACCTCGTTTGTGGTATTTTAAAATCTCCACTCCTATTTTATTCTTTTGAGAGAAAACAAATCAGCATCATTCCTGGAAGTTTTTAGAGAAAAATTAGGATGGTCTCGAAGAATCAACGTTGAGCAGTTTCCCATTTGGAAAATAAAGTATGACAGGACGTCTGCAACGTTGCAAACTGAGATGTGTGGTTTGGGGCTTTTACTGTTGATATCAGAATAATGTTGATCAAGCTCTATTCTAGCATTTCGATAATTATCAGTAAGTATGGCAGGTCGCATAGAATGTCATAGCGTCTATGGATAGTCTATAATAGAAGCAGCATTTCTGTCAATTTGTAGATTGAAATTATTGCTTCTCACTCGTTTTACATGAAGTACGTGGAACAATTTCAAATCAAGACAAGCTGAAAAGGCTGGGGCATTCGTGAATGATTGAGAGAAATATATAAAGAAAGAAACAAGAGCTTTTGGGAGTGTTTTCCATTTTTTTTCACAGAAGTTTAACTTCACAGATATTTTTGTATCATTGCTGCAATCCATAATTTTCGATGAGAATACTCCCTGATTCAATAACTTTGTTGACCACCCCCTTAAAATTTGATGAATCGAGGTCTTACTATATCAATAGCTTACGATCATTGAATGACACAAAATCTGATGCTTCTTACTTGTATTTTTCCAAGATGCACACGGCTTTCGGATGCCCTGAGCAATAAACCATATGCACTTGTTTCAAGTGAGGCGCAGAATTAAGGAATATTTTTCCGACCCTCTGATCACTGGACGGACGGGAGGCGCATTCTTCGAGAGTTGCCATCAGCTCTTGATGCATCTTGATTATTTCTGTGATGTTTCCCACCAACTGTTTGTATTCTTCAGATGTCATGCTGAAACACAGAGAATAATATTATTTTGTCACGAATTATACGTCCAAATTCCTTCACTTTGAATGTGACATTTTAAGTTACTATCCCTGAAGCTCGTTGCGCTACCTACTCCCTCTGAGAATGGAAAGCATTTTAGTTTTTATTCCTTTCCCTTTTCATGTATGTAACTGCAAAATGAGGGAGCTGTTACCAACTCAACTGAAATACAATACACAGCATCAAAAAAAATTTGAGTTGATGAGTTGAGACGAATACATTAGTTTTTTTTATTAAATTAGAAAGCTTTTTTTCACAGACATCAATCTTCCCCTGGAATTTACAGGTTTAAATTTAGCAAGCATGTTCTGTATCTTCAATTTTCAGTCTTCAGTTAGTTTTTCGTGTATTCTTCTGATTCTCTTCGGTTTATTAGTTTTTACCTGTGATTCTTACCAACTTTTTCTTGTTTGTTTCTCAAATCTTAATTTTACTATATGAATACTGCAAGTGATTTAACAGAGATGTACAAGAGGTAAAGAGAAATGAAGAATTCTTTTACATAGACAGTTTACTTACATTTTTGAATTTTCTAGAGGATGAAGGAAATTTGAAAACAACGCTTGTAGCTCTGCAACGTATGCTTGTTCTGAATCGATCATGTCCTTTAAAACAACTGCACGGTTTATTGCTTGTTGAGATGTGAAATTTACTGGTGAAAGTTTAGCTGAGCTCAGAGTGTCGGCTAAACAAAAGGTAAAATTTGGTTAACAAAGAGGCAGGAAAGAATTTGCAAAATTGCTAACTTAAAAATTATGACTTATGAGCGAAAAAGTATCTTATATCACTTGCCGAAACTTTGCAGGGTCAATAGTGTATCTGGTGTGCTTAGAATCTTCCCTGACATACAGAGAGTTAGATGACAAGTTACTCTCAGCTCTGAGCTTTAGGGCTGTCAAAATAAGTAATAAGACAAAATACAGCTTTCTTTTACAAATGCACACTGTGAGTATTGACAGGAAAGTCCATAAGAAAATTGTTCAGAAAAAAAAGTATGGTTGGCAGGTAAATCGATTTATTGAGATACATAATCTTGCTCCCCCTTCGGAACTAGAGCATTCAATCATGTCCGATTGTTTATTCTCAATTTGCACTTTTTGCATTATAATTTTAGAGAATATATTTGAAAGGATTTTGCATTTTGGATCAAACTTCATTTATAATGACAAATGGTTACTTGTGCTGGTCACAAAATTGTGTTTCAAGGCTTCATTTTTGTAGATTAGCTAAAAATAAGATCCGTCCAAACAGCAACTTTCTATGTTGAATATTAACAGAGATATGACGCTTTAAAAAATTCGATTTATGACATCATTCATCACAGTACTGACAGACTGACACCCTCTGTTTCTTGCACCTTGCTTTCATCAGTCAGGAAAACACACATTCTGCACTGGTTCCTTAACTTGTGACGGATGAAAGCATGGTGGGAGAAACCAAGAATATCGCTACCGCGGTGGATGATGTCATAAATGATGTCAACAACCCTTGAGTCTGTTGAATTAGAGGTTGAATATTCGTCTCACCTTGAGTTTTGTACTCCTTGACATAATTGGATGGAAACCAGCCTGTCTTATCGCCCAGAGTTCCTTCCCACCAACCCCCTTCATCGAGTTGTGTCAAAGTAATTATATCGCCTTTCTTGAAACATAGCTAAAAACAATTAATTTTAAAAATTATTCAAAACTGCTAAATATGATATAAAGCAAAGAAAGGGAATTTTGCGTTGATAAGATTATATGACCAAAAACACTTTTTCCATATTACGAAAAAAACAGGTGGAATTTTGCTTGAAGTTTAAAGTAAGTTAGAAGTGCAATGAAAGTCGAAATTTTTTGTTGGTTTCATGAAGCACAAGCCACTACAAACTCGAAGTAACACCATCAGGTTTCTGATAGGGCGTTATTTCTCACAGATAGAAACTTCAAAGCTGCACTTTCATGCAAAGAATGTTACTCTTAGCGAATATTAAAGAACAAACTTTCATTGAGTCACCATTTCAAGGCAATTTACTTCAAACTATCTGCAAGAAAAAAATTTCTGTCCGGTACTAGTCCAAGTTTTTTTGAGTTTTTGGTAGGAATTTCAAAATGAAAAAAACAAAAAACTTTCAACTTTCACTGCACTCCTCACTCACACTCCCGTTGAAACATGCAGGAGCAAGGAGCTAGCGAATGATTGAAAGAATAAGAGATTCATCAGTCCGTTGCTATCATGGACACGCCATCTCTTGTTTATTTATGTTTCAACATGCTTCGCTCCTTGTGCTCTAGGTGAACTTAGAGCTGTTCCTGGATTGTATTTTCTCCCAACTTACCCCTAAAAGCCCCTGCTAAATGTCAAACTTCTAATGATTCCAGATAATATCTGTTATGGACATGTAAAAATTCACAAAAATGTGTGTAAGTAACCACACTTTCATCAGTCCAGATCAATTCCATCATGCCTGGAGTGAAGCGCTCGACTATAAAAAACTGTGATCTACAGAATTCTTGCTTTAGTGTGTCCAAACTTTGGGGCCCATGCAGTACAATTTAAAATTATTTTTTCTGGGAGTTTTTTCTCCCCATATTTTGCTCACGAGAAGGCAACCTTTAAAGGCTTTGAAAAAAGAAAAATTTGGGGTCACCCTTATATTCATCAGTTCCTATTTATATACATCATTGCATACTGTAAATTTTGGAAATATACTTGAATGGGATAGGTGAGGCCTGAGGGACTTTTCAAAATTTTAAAAATATTCTGCACAACAGTTCTGAAAATATCTGAGTTTTAACATACTTCCCCTAGCTCTCAAGAAAGATAGGAGTCAGTTTAAACCGATTTTACCTCATCATTATTTTTCCCTTTGAATGAATAAACAGCCTGAACTAGATACGGCCCTTGTTGGGTATCTTCTGCCATTTTCTCACGATCCTGTAGAAAGAGAAAGAAAAAATTCAATGAGCTTGAGCAAGTAAAAGTAAACTGAAAGTGCTAGTAAATAAAAATTCATCTGCCAGTCAGGAGGAAAAATCTGAAAAACTTTAATTTTCATTCCTTTTGGCATTCAAGGGGAGTAATGATCTAATATTGCGAATTTAAAATCCATCCGCCTGTCATTTTCCATGTAATAAGTTGATCATTGTCATAATCAAGTTTTTAATCATTGGATACAAGAAGCATGGAAACGTAATTGAGTGTGGTAACAACTTCTATTTTCAGGGTACAGGAGAGAGACTAAAACTGAATGAAAAGATAAAATATGCCAGAGAAAAAAAAAAACAAGAAAAAAATGAAAAAAGAGAAGAGGTAAAAACTTGGCACAGGGCATGAGTATTCAAGAGGACAATTTGGCACAGATCCAAGCTTGTATTTGACACACTAACGGAGATGATGCTGAGAATGTGATTCAAAATGGCAACTAAAAAGCAGAAATCTGCTTTTTTTCTTCTTGTATTTTAAAAACTTATGATTTTTTCACATTATTACTCTCACAGCTCGATCTATAGTATGATCTACTTATGGTACATTCCATGAAAAATTGACAAGTGAATTCTCATCACCATTGCTGGTTTTGATTTAAATCGGCAGAATGATCAAGTTATGCAAGATTTTTAAAAAAAAATTCAAATTTTAGTTCCCTCGGTCAAATCTGATCAGAGTTACAGGAGTCCACAGTAGACAAAAACTCCCCCCCCCTCTCCCTATTTAAAACCCCATTTACTTTGACAAATCATACATCTAGTTCTCTGACAGGTAGAAACCACAACTAAGACTCTTTTTTTACACTCAAGTTATGCTAGACATGAAAAAATAAAAATAAAAAAACTTTTGTGGATATGAGCTCTTTGAGGTTACAAGTTAATTTCAAGTATTTTGGTGGAAACATTAAAAAAAATTCGCCCACAGAGAAATTCTCAACCATGTAGTTCTGGGCAAAGTGTGATTTCATATCGGGCACAAATTCCTGATTCGAATTTTCCGTTCGAAACACATAGATGGTGAAGCTCCATCGGTGGTTCAGCAAAATAGGGCGAAAGAATGAAATTGGAACAAAAAATATCCTTCATTCTTGCAAACCCCTCCATGGCATTGCACAGAGTGTAAAGTGACTAATTTGTACCTGGAAATATGTGGGATGAAACGCTCTCAGGGTTTTCGGATGTCAGCCTGAGAAAATTTGTATCACTCCCATGTACGGAAATCACTTCCATGAAAGGAAAGAAAATTATGTTACTACGATATGATACACAACTGTCCCTCCTACAATTTCAGAACGCGAGGATCACCAATGAACTGAACATTTCTAAAATTAGAAACAAAATGAAGGATCGACCATGAATGTTTTGGACAGAACGAAATTGAAAACAACATAACCTCGAAAAGAAATATAAACAAATCTGCATTCAGTTTTGCCAACAAGCGATTCCAAAATTATCCCTCGATTAGCCCACACCATTCCTCAACTAATTCATTATACTTGGTTCATGCTTGTGTTTAAAAAAATATGATGATTCCAGAAAATTTTCGGAATATCATTATATAACACCGCTATCACTCAGTTTCTAATTATTCGAGGTTTTCAGTTTTACTAACAGTACACAAACACAACACCACTAACATCGACGCTGGTGATATCTAAAGAGGGTTGCCAATAACAATGCTATTTCCCCGCAAAATATGGACATTTTGTTGACAAAACTTTGCTTTCTTTTTAACTTTTTTTAAAAAAAACGAAGCAATGAACCAAAAAATAAACAAGTATATGAAATCCCCAGGAATTGGAGCTCACTTTTGATCTGGATGAAGTAAAAAGAACGAAGGTGGAAGTGAGTAAAAAAAAGTTAAAAAGTTCGTGACTCTAGCTTTTCCCGCTGTTCTTTTTTTGGCGCCTTGTAATCAGCCAATGAGAGTTCAATATTTTGCGTTAGTTCTCTCACTCAACACTTGGCATCGCTGCACACGGATCGAAAACTAACCTCAAATTTTGGCTGGGAATGGTCTTTTGTTTAGCTTTTTTAATAATTTCCGGTTTTAAATAAAAATCTCTCATCGGAGTGATAATTTTTTTTTAAATTTTGTGCCTCTACAACTTTCAAGTTTGAGTTGAAAATGTCGGTTTATCTTGTAAATACGTAAGTTACCCTTATCTTTTTAAAAATGTATCTCTCGGATTGACGAAAGATGCAGACGCACTTTTCTTTGCCAATTCAAGCAAGAAGAGTTCCCAATGGCTATTCCACTTGTTTACGCCCTCTAAAATATTCACCCATTTATCCTCTAAAATTCAAATGATATTAAAGATACAGGAATTCATTTATCTTAAGGTGTAATCACTACCCCTCAAGATTGCCGATAGAACTGTCCAGATCACATCTGCATCATGTAAAAAATCAGTCACTTTCCGTAGATGTAAGCTGCATCAACAAATTTCAATCCTTATGTATGAGCATCTCTTGACATTTAGAGTTGAGACATATATTTGGATGTCGACGGTGTAAGTCGGCGATCACATAAGTAACTCGGTTTGTGACGTCGCAGACTTCCTGTCATACTTCATTTTTTTAACGGAAAACCACTCAACAGCAATTCTTTAAAACTGCTGTGATTTTTCTTTTTTGCCAAGAAAATTCTGCAAAAACTTCAAGGAATGATGTCAATTTGTTCTTCAAAAAAATAACATAGAGGTGAAGATTTTTAGACACCGCATACGAGTTATGTAATTGTCGACTTACACCGTCGATGTATGGATATCACACCCATTGACTCTGCATACCATTTCAGCTAGTAATCCTAGTTTCTTGTTCATGCTGTCATGTTTGGACTATATTTGATGTTCTTCTGCTCGTTGCCTGTCTGAATGAAACAGGGGTTTCTGAAACCTTCTGGAATTATGATACACACATGCTCAGTTTAAACCAGACTAACTTAACGCTCAAGACTTATCAGTTTTAATTTTTGTTGATGTTGGCAGAATTGAGTCGAATGTTTAAATTGCGCTCTTTTATGCCTATCACAAGTCAATTCTTTGTAAATTCGAAACAATCAGCCAGATATCTGAATCAATGACACGCCATATCAACATTTTATACTTGATATTACTGCTTCTTTTATCAGCATTTTTCTAAATGAATGTTAACCGATTTTTCAGGACCGACAGTGAAGATGTTGATTCACCTCAAGCAGCTGGTGATTCACCCGGCGACCCTAATAAGTTTTTCATCACAGCTGAAGCACAAGAGGTTCTTAACTCCTTCTGGCCCAAAGTAATGGAAGAAATTAGAAGCATTGGACAGGTTTGTCTTTTTAATTTCCCTTCCATGCACCCATTTGGGGAGAGCCCTTTGGGTACGTTCTCTCATTTTCACCGAATGACTAACTTGAAAGAAAATTTGTGAACAAAAGACAAAAGTCAAGGAAATTCTTACTTGTCAATTTATCTGGATATCCAATAAAATCTGGAAAGAAGAGTCATCAATGAAACACTAAGAGCCCATCGGGCACATAGTATCATCCTCTAATTCATGAAAATTATAAATTAACTAATCACATGCAGAGACAAGATGCCCTCCAACGTTATCTTGACAATGGTGGAAGCTTTTACTTTTGGGACTCCAACATGCAACTATTGACTTACCTACTAGCTTGATGATCAACATCAAGTTGAGAATTTCATTTCGCAAGCCAACTAAAGTTTGGGAAACTAGTTTGGCTTGTTGTGTCACCCGAAGCCCATCATTCACCCAGCAGGTAAGATGACTGTTGTTCCCTTATAATTGCCCTTAAGGAAGCGTTGAATCCCCAAAAGGGCAAGCTTCCACATGCCACCAAGGGTCTCTTCTCTTTGATCATCTGTTAAATTATCTCAAAGATGTCTTTAATTTGGTTCATTTGTTTATCTTTTTAACTCAGCTGGATCTGAAGAATCAGGCCTTACCATTAGCCCGAATTAAGAAGATAATGAAACTGGATGAAGATGTGAAGATGATTAGTGCTGAAGCTCCCATGTTATTCTCTAAAGCAGCTGAAATATTTATTCACGAGTTGACTCTACGAGCATGGCTCCACACTGAAGATAACAAGCGCAGGACCTTGCAGCGAAACGACATTGCCATGGCGATATCCAAGTATGATCAGTTTGATTTTCTAATTGATATTGTTCCTCGAGATGAAGTCAAAGTGAATCGAACGAGTAGTGATGGCACAAAAACATCTATGAATCCAGATCAGGTAAAAATTTATGTTCCTCTAGCTCAAAATTTTTTAGCCTTGTCAAATTATCTATAAAGTTATTATTATTATAATTTTTTCTTCAGGTTCTGTAGTATGACGTTTGATCTGTGGTCTCATTAAGTAGTGCCTGTGTCTTTTAATGGAATTTAAGGGTTAAATTCCCTCACGCCAAGACTTTCAACACCTCTACTTTCAAGGCACTTGTGTGAATAAGTGTTGGGTTTGTTTGGTGGATTCATTTCATCCCTTATTTTTTTCATACCGAACGTATTGTTCTTTTCCAAACTAATTCTGTTAAGTATTGTGAATGTCTGGAGAGTTGTTTAAATGTTATGAAAATTGAAGTATATATGTATGAAATGTAAAGTTTATGATAGTGTAGCCTGGATACTGCTGCCTTGATTACATGTTAGAAAGTGAATCATGAAGCTTTCCTGCACATTCAATAGCCATCATTAGAAGTTAACATAATAAAACTTTAAGTTTTGAGCCAAACGTGCCCCAAAATGATTAAATAATCACCGAAGAGAAATCATTTAAGGTTAAACATCATTAAGGAAAATTATCAACAAAATATGGCGAACAATAAGTAATGATGACATACATACAGGTACACACTTACTTAGTTAATTTTTATAGAGCCCTTCAATCCTTTTGAATTAAGGTAGGTATTTTTTTAGCTGTGGAAAAGACTAAAAAAATCTGAGATACACACGCAAAACATTTTAAACATGTGTCGTGATTTCAAAAGAAATAATTGAAAAAATAATCTCAGATGCAGTCGTCTGATAGTTTTCGTTGTACAATAGGCTGTGCTCATAAATCCTCTACATCTTTTCTTGTCCTTTTTAATTTATTTTTGCTTGTTCGTTTTTGTAGGTGCACTACTACTTTCAACTAGCTCAACAACATCAAGCTGCTCTTCAACAGTCCAATTCCACAGCAACCACAAACGCACAAACAATCCAAGTAGTTCCCGCATCAACACAGTTACAAACAGTGACAATCAACAATGATGCTGGAGATCAGGTACGAATCAGTTACTCATCATTTGCACCTCCGCTTCTAATCTTAGTCCAATGATTTTGTCCCTCATACAAATCAGCCTCTAGATTTTAAATAAAGTTGACTCGTCTTTCTTTGGAAAAAAAAAATGAGTATATTTTGAAATATCATAATGGAGATGCAGTAAGACTTCAATATATCGGATCGTGATTTGAAAAATCGATCCTCTAATCCCTTCAAAAGCTTCAAGTAATTCGAATCATTGGATTCTAAAATTTAAAGGATTGTTTTGTCAGTCCTAAAAAATCTGATAAATTGAGGTCTCACTATATGTGGTTTTGCACTTTAGCTGTAGATTTTTTCCTCATCTGTAAAAGCACTCATCAGTATTGGAAAACAAATGACATGCATGGTATTTCTCAAATGAGCTAGAAATTCCTTCATGTGAAACGTAGTGTTTATTGTATACAATGATGTTGATTTCCTTCTTTTTTTTCACTTAGAATGCCTCTGCTACTAACACAAACACTTCAAATACATCAACCACTTCTCAAGTAATCCAGATATCAACCCCCACTGCTACCACCGCATCAGCTAGCACAAACAACCAAGCTCTGGGAAATATTCAACTGGTTCAGCAAGTTGTCACTCCTTCAGGAGAAGTCCAACAAGTACCTGTGAGTAACTCTTAGTACATTCTTACGGCTTTATGGGTTTAATTTCAAGTGGAACTAGCTCATACTTGGTGAACAATATTTGTAGAAAAGTATTTAAAGAAAATTAGATTGATGAAATTGAGCTTATCCTGAAGGTTTGGGATGGCTCAAAACAGATTTTGAGTCTAAAGCATCTTCTTAATGGGCACTCATTTTTTTTTAATTCATTCTATGAAAGTATGGAGTGAACTAAGCTTCTAGAAGTTTTTTTAGAGTTGTTAAATCCTTAAAGGCAAAAAGGTGGATCTGCCTCATTTGAGTAAAAAAAATTCCTCCAAAGCTTGTCTTCAAGACAGTTTTCCTGTCAACAAAATCCCATTGAAAAGAAACTGAATTAGGAACCCTACCCCTATAGTGCAGAAAACGGCCTCTTGTGGCACCTAATTACAATCTGTCCTGAAAAATAATCATCAACAACAGATTGATCTAGCAACTAGCAACTGAGTCATTCCATACATTTGATGGTTTTACGAGGACAAAATGGACTGTTTCAATATTGACCACTTTGCTGCTTCTTAAAGGGTGGCACAATTCAATTTCGATACATCAAATGACACAGCCATTAAATCAGCCTATCTCAGCATTGAAATGTTTTTTTTTTTTTTTTAATTTTCATTCAGATACAACTGAGTCCCGCTCAATTACAACTTATAAGAATGCAGCTACAGGGGAATAGCAATCAACCGATCATACTGCAAACATCATCTGCAATTCAGGGACAACCTCAAGTGATTCAGGTGCCTTCTTTTTTTATTCATTTTACACGTTTCAATTCTTTTCTGGTAATGAAGTCAATCAAACTTAATTTGAAGAATTTTCTCCTTCGGTCTCCTTTCATATTCCTTTTCGATCAGAGAGCAATGGAGCTCTGGTACCTTTTTTCAACTGTATGCTTCAGTTTTTTAATTGAAATTTAATTTTCAGTTCATCAAGAGAACAATTAAAAGAGTGGGGGAAAAAGAATAAATACGTATGTTTATGAATTTGTGAATAATTACAAGTATTTTAATCGAAGTAAATAAGAATTGTAGGACACACTCATTTAAGGGTGGCTGCATTTACAGTGGTTATAGCCCATAAATGTAAGTAAGAATGGCGCATTGTCCTATTGAACAATTCTGAAGACAATACCATATAACACTAAATGAAAAAAATCTTCACTTCTTGGTCATACGTATAGAATTTATCTGGGAAAGCCTACATGAACGTATGTTCCAACAAAATTAGAAAGCGAGCTGTGACCCCTGATGTCCTTGAGAATTAAAGTCTACCTTCAATGCCAGATATTCGCAAGTGAACATCAATTCTCAAAACCCTCACTTGTAGAACTTTTGAGGCTTGTGAGACGTACACTGGTGAACAGATTGTAAACTAGTGATTACGTACTTTATACAAACTTTGAACTAAAAATATTTTTGATCCTGCTTTTCATATTTTCATAAGCTCATGAAATGGTTCCTCCAACACCAAAGGTTTTTATTGCTCCACGGAAATAAATCCATATACTTTCTGACATCCAATTCATTGGTACCCATAGCATGGAGAAAAACTTACCGTCATTTTACTGACTTTTTCAGGTTCCTCAAACAGGCACTGCAGCAACACCTGTGTTCTTATCGACAAGCAATGCTTCAACATCTGAAGGGGAATAGCTGAATACAGCCATTTAAATTGCGCAACAAACTTTGCCTCTAATTCAAGATGCCTGAAGATGCAGTAATGCTCAAATCCTCAACTACTGTTTCAGTATTCAGAAGATGATTATTTGTAGTAGGGGTACCAAATGCCCCCCCCCCTTTAAGTAGGTATTTGAGCTACAAATGCTTTATTTTATTCTCATCTGTTCAAACATAACCTCAAAAAGTTTTAAGTGAGCCAGTTTTTTTAGACAGGAGTATTTTGATGGTTATAATTTTGAGAACAGTCAAAATTTATTATATCTTTTCAAAATCCAAGTTTCTTCGTCCAGTAAATACAAAGGTATTTCTTTTCCAAAACTTTCGTGATTGACCTTATCCCCCAAAGCACAGCATACCTTAGTAAGATCTAGATTTTTTGGGTCTGACAAATCAATGCATTAAATTGAGGAATCCACTAATTCAAATAAGCTTGAAGGCCTTGAAGGCACCGGAAGATTGATCTGTTAAATCGCCAAACCCATTAAGTTGCGAAATCCTTTAAATCCTAATTCGATAAATTGAGGTCTCATCGTAGTTCTAGCACCATCTTTACTGCAGTTTTATTTTATGAAGGATGTAAATGAAGTAAAAAATACAAAATGCATCTTAGACTGATGAATTAATAATAGAAGGAATTCAAACTTGATACCCTTTACTGCAGTGGATGATGTCAATTATGTACCATGATTATTCAAAGGACGATACCGCTATTTTTATTGGGAGAAGTAACTAGATATTTTGAAAGGTCTCATCACTTTCGGGCAAATCTACAACATTTAATTATTAAAACCTGGTGCTGTGCACCTGACTTACTCCTTGGAATGTAAATAAAGAAAATATATCCAAGCAATTCTGATGAGGTATGTATCAGTATCTATTGACAATGGACTGGAAGTTGAGGTCTTGGTTACTGTATTCTTCGACTAATTTCAGTTTCAAATTTCAAGCAGAAATAGTATGCACAGTGCAAATTAACAGGTGCAAAGAAAAAGGAAAAAATTAAGTATTTGGTTTTATATAACGTTAACTAGTGTAGGAAACTAGATGATGCTGTCCATAAACTTCTTTCGTTTTATATGCGTTCGTTACAAACTTTGATTAACCACCACTCAGTTATTTTTCAACTTTCTTTTTTTTTGTGTGAGATTTTGAAAAAGAAAGGTGTAAAAAAATAATGCTTTAATGTTTACTAGTTATTTTTTCCTCAATGTAACCTTTTTCCTGAACATTGAAAATTGATCTCAAAGTAAATTCATAGTAAATTATACTTGAAGTTTGGCTTAACTGTGAAAATTTTAGTTTCGTGAGAGTGTTGTAATAAATAACTTCCTCTGAGTTGCTGTGCAGCTGTTCACATTACCCATCTGTTATGGGGGAAAAAAAATGTAAAAACACATGTAATATTTTCCTGCTCCGAAATAGATATTTTAAATTGAAAACAAATCCAATCCACTCGTATATATACATGAATATTTTAAAGAAATCTTATCACCTCTCCATTTCAGATTGAACTTTGTATTCTGAAGAAAGAATATAGACGGTGAATTTCCCAAATATCTCATCATGTATCTCGGTTTGCAACGTTGCAGACTTCCTATCATACTTAATTTTGTAATTAGAGAACTAGTCGAGGTCAATCCCTGTAAACTTCTGTGATTTTTATTTTCAGTTTGAGGCAAATTTTGAACAACCTCAAGGAATGATGTTAATTTTTTCCCCTGTAAAGAAGTAAAATTAAAATAGAAATTTTTAAACACAGCAAACAAGACACGTGGTTCGGGAATTTCTCCGTTAATATTTCTTTACTATTATCATATGTGTAAATAATGGGATGCTTTTGATTCTCAATTTACTTCAAGATGGATAGATAGTTTTCTAGTTTAGGCTTTTTAATATTTGTATAGTAAAATACTTTGTACCTAGAATCAATCTACCTATTTTCACTGTAAATATGTAAATGAATATTTTATTGTAAATTCTGTAATTCTTATACGATATTTTTTGACTGTCAAGTGTGATTGTTTTTCCTTTCTTTTTCTTTTATTTAAAATAAACACATCAAATAGAACATTTTTCTACTGATTCTATACTTTAAATTACCTCTCCCTTAATGTTCGTATTCTCTCAGTAAAGAACTCCTGTGTAAGATTGTGTACGACTTCAAGTTGCGTTTTGATTGTAATTTTGTTTTCCTCCAATTTTTAAACTTGGACTGATGCTGTGCAACTGTGCAAGCATTTTTTTTTTTATATCATCAAATCTCTTGTCGTCAAATAAAACAAGTCGTTGAAAATTAAGTTCAGTCATATCTGGCTATAACGTTTTTGAAGATATCTTATTGTTTACATTTTGCAGCTTTGAAATTTATGTAAACATTATGTCCAGTCTTTGAAAAGGGAATAATTAGAATGTTGTTATGAGAAATGACTGGATCAATCTTGAAAAACTGAACGTTGTTATTGGAAAAACGTTGTTTCGAGAAACGTTATTAGGAGATACAATTTCAATCGCACAGTGAAATCTCTCGCAAGTCGAACTTTCCAGAGACTGGAAATAATGTTGATATCTTCAGTTCCTTTTACTCAGTTCTCAGTTCAGTTTTTCAGTAACATCTTAATCTGATGGTGTAAGAAAACTACATATGTATTTATTCCTGCCCATTATGCCTCACATATTGAGCAGGTGTAAAACTTACAAAAATTTTCAACTGAATTTCATCCATTTTCAGTTCCCAGCATCTGTTATTCATTTTAAAGAGATCCAACACCTCAATCCACCTAAATTAAATTTATTTTAAAGTATTATTTACAAAACTACCTATCTACGGAAGTACCAGAAAAATCGAGAAACGAGCCACACAAGGGACAAGTGGAAGTAGCGCTTCACAACAGAAGATGAGTTAAATTCTGGGCACACAATAAAAAATACACCAATTAAAAATAGGATAACAGAAACACACACAAATTTTTAAGTTTAGAAACCAACCTACCTTATTCTTGTAGAAAAAATATTTTAAAAAAAAGAGGGGAGTCATCTGCAAATGCTGGTATGAAGTAAAGAAAGATCTCAGTTACTCTGATGGCAGAAATATTCTGTGTGTTGTATACGAAAGCAAGCACACACTCAGGGGTCGTCACAAATGAATGTTGTTGACTTTGCATCAAATTTCCAGATAAGTATGAGTACTAATTTATGTGAGACATTTTGTCAGTTCACAAGGATACTATAATTTGTATTGTTTTGCAATAATTGAAAATGTCCTCACTGACAGATTACTGGGGAAAAGGAAAAAGATTAAACAAATTGCTCTTGAAAAAATGGACTTTATAGAGGAAAAAATGTAAAAAATTGCATGTTACAGAGGAATTTGATGAAAAAACATGAAACAGAAACTAACCAGGAGGCCAACCTAATTGACGGCCACCGAGGACATGAACATGTAGATGGTAAACAGATTGGGCTCCATCTACGCCATTGTTTATCACAACTCTGAAACCGTTCGCCAGATTTTGTTCTTTAGCAACTTTACGAGCTGTGGTGAGAAGATGGCCGAGAATCTGCAAAACAGAGGGCAAATGAGACATCTGTCATTGAAGTCAAAACAACTTAATGTATGCGTAGATACAATAAAAATTTGGCACAAGAATCAAATGCAGAAACGCAGAAACCCTAAGTTCTTAATCTGTCTTGGAGTCCATACCGAATAAGTTAATACACTTACAGACTGCAAGAGATGACGTGCCATATTCATCCTTTCCTTATTTTTAATTTTCATCATATACCTTCAAAGCTGCTCTTCATAGCACTACTTATTACCTCCTCACTCTTTAAATAAACTTTACTTTCATGCTATACTCACAGCTTTGAGAGAGAGGCAAGTTAGCTTACAAGAGGCGAGAGAAGGGGAAAAGAATAGGACCTTTGCCTACCATGACTTCCAATGCTCATATCTATGGTGCAAGCATAGAAAATTTTGTAGGTAAGTCATTCAATTGAGGCTTGTCCAAAAGGATGATCAAATAAATAAATACTTGTGGCATACTCAGATTGATAGGGGCCGCAACTCAAAGTATGTAGTATAGTTATCCGTTGCAACAAAGATTCTCTTTCATAAAAATTAACTGTCTTAGGTGATTTATGCCATGAGTTTTCATCTTGTAGAATATAGCTATACCTTTTCATCCTCATCAGTGGCATCGGACAACATGGCGATTGGTTTTCGCGGTATGACTAAAAAGTGAACAGGAGCTTGTGGATTGACATCTTTGAATGCAACACACTGAAACATGAGAGAAAAACTGAATGCACAAATGTTGAACGGAAAAACCAGGCATACCTTAGTAGAGAATTCAAAACTCTGGACGCATATCCAGCAATCAAAAGTTTCAAGTCAAAATAGTCATGCCAGGCTTTAAAGTGGATGTACCAACTTCTGAGACACTAGGTACTTAAATATTTGTAAGTATAGAACAATACATGTGCACTAAAAGTATGTGGACATCTAAAATTTTTAATTTTACTGGCGCTACTCTCCTTACACTGAGCTCTAATACTTACTGATTCCTTGATTCCTGTATATCACAGAACTTCTTGTGTAGTGGACTATTAGTAGAGTTCACAGATGAAGACAGAATGAGGCTATGTGAGAGTCCATGATCATTGTGGAAACAGTAGGAAATTAAGAATATTTTATGTTCATTTAATTTTTACTGCAGAGAATAATTGCATGTATTTGAGCAAAGGCACCCATCCACATCGGAGCAACAGCATGAGTATCTACGGCATTTAACTGATCATTTAGACCCTCATGTACATTTATTTATCTTCTCTATTGTCAATTCAGATTCGACTAAAAACCGTACACCTGTAATTAATCCCTCTGATTCCGACATTCCTCACACTCCGGACTGATCGAAAAAAGTTGTCTACGAAAGTTACCGATCGTAAAAGGACCCCGCACACTCCTTATGCGAATGTGCACCATGATCTATTTCCAATTTTTTAATTGCACTTAATTTGTTTTTGGATGCTGATCACAAGTCATCATTGCATCAACTTTTACAAGGCACCGTTTTTGCAGTATTTCGCACAGTCCACTAGTTTCGAAAATGACTTGAATATGATTGAGGCCAGCACGGCGCTTTAACAAGGAAAACCCAAGCCGGTGATAGGTAAGGAAAAGAGTGGAAGAGAAAGAGAATCTGATTTGGACAGTGAAACAAAAAGGCGCATGGAGTCCGAGATAAGACTGCCAGGTTCTCCTCGTTTTCAGCAGGTGCTAAAAGATAGATATCGCCTCGCTAGCCTCACTTATTCAAGTAACAATAGAAACTTCCACCACGGACAGTGTGAAATACTGCAAAGACTGTGTCTCGTAGAAATTTGGTGCAATGATAACTTTTGATCAGCATCCAAATTCGAATTTAATGTAATAAAAAAATTGGAAATCGATGTGGCGCACATCCCTTTAAGGAGTGTATGGGGTCATTTAGTTGATTGCACCGTACAGAGATTATGAGAATTAATAATTAATAGCCCAAGGAATGGCAACTTACAGTATCATCTTCGTACAGGAAAGTAGCTGGGATTTCTTTCCTCAGGATTTTTCCAAAAATGGTATCACCACCTGGTTTGGATTCTTGAGCTTTCGCGACCTCGTCGCTCATGTTGACGGCTGAGAATCTGAGCGGCTCCAAACGGTTGGCCAGGCAAAACTTTATGAGCTTACTGGAATCTAAAGATTTAGATTTGAAGAGGGAAATACAATGACGGATCATTCATAAAAAAATATCATCACCGGCGAGCCGCCGGCCAAAATCGAATCGAAGAGGCACAAAATCACAAATGATTGTATATGACAATGAACTGATTTGATAAGAAACACTGAAACAATGTGAGTGATAACACGCAAAACAAAACAATTTCTAGCTGACGTCATCTATTCGCTCTGAAAAAACGTGACGTGCTGCATCCTCTGTTTGGCGCGAATTTTGAATAGACGCATAAAACTTGAGCATCGCCCGCGGCGCACTATGGTCCAAAACTCAAGATTAGGAAGAGATAAGTCGGATAATGATTGAAAGATCACGAAAGTTTTGTAACTGATGATTTTTGAGTCGCTAATTTTGAATTTGATGTCAAATTTCCTACATTTTAACAGGCACGCTGCGGAGCGGCGTGCTGCCATCTCGAAACGCGCATTGAACGCCTACAAACCTAAAGGGATACTTCAAGCATTGCGCAATGCGTGAAGTAGCCCTTTAGGTTTGTAGACGTCAGTACGCGTTTCGCGCTGCCAGCACACCGGGTGGCGGGTGGTGAACGATTTCTTCCGGGGAGAACTTCCTGATGAAAAAACTCGTGTATCGTTTAATTTTTTTTTTTTTTTTAATTTTCGACTTTCAAAATTATACACACAGATCGTGTGAAGTAATTAGTGAACTCTCAATGCTAGATGAAGTTTTATTAAGAAAGCGCGGGTTGTACGCCCGCTGCGGACGGCGCAGGGCGGCTTATGAAATTCTCCCCTGTGCTCTGTCGCGAACCAAACAGGGCAGGAAGGGGAGTGGGTCAGTCTAGGGTTGAAACAATAGTAAAACGGGGCATACTCATACTCCTCCTGCTCAACTATTGAGCTCAAGCTCGTGCTCATCACATTGAGATACCCTTTAACTAGGATTAAAAGGGAAGAAAATGAGCAATAAAAGACCTTTTCATCATGTGTTCAAAGCTTTGCTTGTGTGAATAATTTCCATAAGTTATGACACGTTTTATTTAGCATTAAAAAATGTTGACGGTTTTTTTTCCAACACTCGTTATATTGGACGATACATTTTTTTTTTTTCTTTCTCAATGCCAAGTGTGTGGTTTAGTGACCACATAAATTTATCATAAATTGTATTATTTTGCTGAGTGAAATGAACTTTGAAGAGCATCATGAATTTTAAATCAAGAATTTTATTGTGTTCTGCAGTAAGTGATGTGGTATCACGAGAAAACGAAGGAAATCTTAGCTTTTCACCTGTCTCCAATTACTGACGTTTATGAATGTAGGATATAGGCATTATGCTCGCATTGTTGAATGCGGAAATCAAACGCCCAAACCAACCGACTGCTGAACTACATGTGTGAAGGTACATTTTTCTAAAAATTACAAAATTGTCAAGGGGTGAACATCAACTATATAGTTGAATGCTGATTGCTAAATGGCATTTCCAATCATATGATTTTAAATGCCATTAACTTTTTATATTTTAATTAAAAATGTACTACACAGATAAGAGTTAAATGAGACTTTTCTGATTGAAAGAAAAATATGGGTTGTTAAAAAATTATGTCACAGATTATTACCACATAAATAAACTATGAAATTGAATGTTAGGGCAAAAAATGAGTCACAGAGTTTAATTTCCAATATCTGAACTCCAAGAACCTCAGATGATGTTTTCCTCGAAACGGCAAGAATCTTAATTTTTTAAAGATAAGGCACTCGGCAATCTGTAAATAAGGTGTAATGCTAAGAAATTGAAGACCACTCCCTCATTAGACCCACCTGCTCTCCTTTTTCTTCGGAAAAATTACGTCACACTCTGCTATAACCCGTTTATTACATGATAATCAAGATTGCAGGTTGGTATTTTGATCAAAACGAATAGAAATTTTTTAAAGAATAGATGCTTTGCATCACTTGTCTTGTTACATTGCGCAGAGTCAGACCTTTCCATTTTCCTCTTCATGCACCCATACCGTGCGCAGAGACACCCCTCTTGAGAGCATGACATAATTTATGGATGGTCCCTGACTCTCAGAACTTCTTCAGTGATATTTGTTAAAAATATGGATTTTTTTAAGGAGTTATTAGTTGAAGACATGTAGTTAGAGGGCAAGTGACAGATATGACATTTCGATGGTTGAAAAGCAAAACCACTTATTTCTACTTGCGACGTTGCAGACTTCCTATCATACTTTAATTTTTCTTTGAAAGACTAGTTGACGAAATTTTTTGAGAATTTCATTAATTTTACTTATTAATTGGCAGAATATTCTGTGAAAATTTTAAGCCATAAAGTTGACTTTTTCTCTTAAAAAAAGTAAAATAAGAGTAACAATTTTGAAACACCGCTATGGAGATGCATAGTTTTGCGCTTTGACCATCGATTTAAATGATACGCCTAAAGAAAGAATAATCAGTATTACTTATCAATAATTCGTAGGACTGTAAAATATGGAAAAATGTGTTTAATGTTAAAATGACTAGAATAATTACAAAAAAATTTAAAATTAGATGCTTCTTACAAATCTCGAAGAGATTGTCATCATTACTACAAACATTCTCATTCACAATTTAGTGCACTGAATTCTAAACACATATCATTGAAAATAATTTTAACAGCCATAGTAAAAAATAGTGAATTTCCTTCGGAAAATACACTAAAAATACCTAATATGCATACAGAGTGCAGAGTGTTTATCAAACAATTGAAAATGGCATCAGTCTAGGCCAGCATTACCTTGCTTGAAACGTTGACACAGAGTAAACATTAATTTGCAGCAAGGTTTCTTGGCTTTTAAACAAGATCTTGGAGCAGCTTTGTTTAAAAATGTACCACTGAACAGCAAATTACAACAAAAAGAAAAATATTTATGAAGAAGAAAAAGAAGAAGAAAAAAACAACAATCATCAAGAACTATTCATATGATCATTGTTAAAAGTCATCACTCCTCAAGTAGCTTTTCATCAACTTCACACTTGGAATGAAAATAAAGTCGTTAATTAAGTTTTAGTTCATTGGAGGTTGAAACAAAGGTTGCAATCAGATCATGATGTATTACATGAAATGAAGGAGTACATTCATACAATCACAGCTCGAAAGTTCAAAAGTGGAGGGGGATGAAAAATAAAATTGAGTTATTATCAAAGATTTACGCTCATCATAGTTTTGAGTTATTCGGGTTTACAATAGCAGCACTTTGAGTTTTTATGGAGTTATGATGAAAAATAAGATAAGAATTATTCCACCTAAATCTGGATCATAGTTGAATAGTTTGTTGCAGCAATTAACTAAATGCATTTAAACTTTGAGGACAATTTTAAAAGTAATGCATAGGTATTAAATTCTGATGATAATAGAAGTTACAGTAAGACCTCGATTTATCGGATTTCACGGGACCGGAGGCCAAATCCGTTAAATTGCGGAATCCGCTAAATCACGCTAGTCGGTCCAGCTGAAGGGACCGGAGGATCGATCCGTTAAATCGCGGAATCCGTTTAGTCGCGATCCGATAATTCGAGGTCTTACTGTAGTAATTTTGACAAACTTCTCTAAAAGAGCAATGAGCTACCAAGGTCTAATAACATTTCTTTACAACAGTGAATAACTATTCTCCTTAAGTTAAAGAGGTAACCTGCTGCTTAATTTATCAGATTAAAAAACCATTCCTTCATCCAAAAGAGGTGAAATACTAGGAGTATAGTGTGATACCAATACTATTCCATCATACTGTTACTTAAAATACTACCTACTTCAAGTTATTGATGTAAAAATTGAAAAAAAAAGACTTTATTACAGTAAAATCTGTGCTCTCTATGGCAAGGGAGGGATTTAAGTTCTGAGGAAGTGAATCTTTCTTTTGATTATGAAGGTTTTCCAGTTATTAAGGTTTGACTTTACTTATTTAAAAGCAATAAAAAGAAACAGCCCCAAATTTTGTTGGCTACGGCCGACCACAAAATGCAAAACCTGGTCTCTGAATTCGATTTTAAGTTGGAAAAGTAATATTCTAAACTCAAGCTGAGCGCAAATTGAACTTTTTTTTACAGCAGGCTCAAGCTATCTTCAGTTCCTCGACGACGCAAATTACTAATCAGCGATCGAAATAAAAAGTCAACATTAATGCCTTAACTTGTGGTGGACCGCACATTTTTCTTTAGAATAAAAAATTAGGTCTGAGACTTTCTGAAGGAAATAAAATATTCCGTCTCAGAAGACGAGCAGTGACCAGTGGAGTCGGGCAAGGTCAAACCATTCCTACATTGTGTGCACCCCAGAGGCAAGTTCATTTACACTGACAGCGAATCTTGCTTGACTAATGATAAAACATGGGTGCCTGTTAGGTGTTACACCTGAAAAAAGGACAATGATAAAATAAAATTACAGATTGGCATCTTTTAGATATGGATCCAGAGATCAAAGAGACTTCTCTCGCGCAAAATATTTATATGAAACCCAAGACCATCTAGGCTCTGTCTGATCTGGCATTTGTGTTCATGTCTGTGAAGTAGGAGTGACTCATTGCTTCCTCGGCTGAAATTCTTTGACTTGGATTACAAACTAACAGGCGAAGCAGCAGCTCTCGTCCTTTGGAATTTAACTTGGGAACAACCTGAAAAAATGCCAATAACTTTTAAAAATATACCTCATATATTAAAGTAGCGACTTTAAAGGAAAAATCAAGTCAAACATTTTTTTTCTTCTTCTTCTATTTTTTTACCTGAAATCAAACAGAGTTTTAAATTTTTGAGCAGCATTGGACTAGTAGAGAATGCTGGCATGCATGCGGGTATATCGAAAAGTAAAAGTTTTTTCACGATAACTTTTAGACAATTAAAGATGGAACTCAGAACTTGCTTTTATTGAAAGTAGACTTAAATCGACTGGATTGTATACATCATTTCTCCCTGGCCAATTTATCTGCTGGTGAAAAAATTGACAATCGGAATGTCAGCATCTCTACAGAATGGAAACTTTTTTCAATAGACCTTATCTTTAAAATGAGTTTATAGTAAGAGAAAAGAGCATCATAAGTATTTCCTTCAGCACAATGATCCGTGAGCAGGTTCTCTGATCCATGCTGATCGGTAAGTAAAAGTGATTTTACCCACAATGCTATTCACCGGCTAACATCCTGCATCAAGCCAATGGTTAGTTTTTCCGGTGCTTGTTACAGCTTATAAAGCTTTCAGAGAGGATTTAGCATATTATCATTTTCGTTTTTATTATACAATTTCATTTTTTTTTTTTTTTTTTTTTTTTTTGACATTTAAAAATAATTATTATTCCATCATTAAAGTACTGGGTGAGTTTGAAACTACTCTAAGTAACTAAAAAGAGGAAAACAAACCTGCTGAATGCTCATTTTAGGGAGGTAAATTGGGAATGGTTTATAGTCAGGTAGTTGAGAAATCCCTGGCCATGTTTCTTCAGTTGGTGTCCCGAGTAATTTGAAGATCTTCTTTAGTTGGTCATCAACATCTGAGCCAGGGAACAAAGGTCGTCCAGCATTTGCTAGCTCTGAAAATAAAAATTAATGGGCTCTTGAAAACTAGGCTGCTAAGTGCGAGAATATTATTGGTTGTTAAGTTTCAACTAAAAAAAGAAAATGGCGCCACTTGACCTACCTGAAGTCTAAGTGGTTGGATACTAATAGAAAATTGAACATAGACACTTTTACAACATGTCAACAACAGCGAGGTACAAAATTTCCGGTGAAATCTTGAGGGAGGGATGGAAGTGAAAGAAAAACTTAATAGCTACCTCAATTTTTTCTAAAATTGGGTTTCTACCTTTGGCTTGAGTTGAAAGTCAGATTTAACACTTTTTCTTTAGAGAGAGAGAGTGGGGAAAAAAATGAGACAGAATTTACCTGCAAATATACAGCCAGCAGACCACATATCGATTGAGGTTGTGTAGAGTTTTGCTCCGAATAAAACATCTGGTGGGCGATACCATAAGGTTACAACTTCTGCAGAGTAACATCTCACAGGAATGCCAAAAGCACGAGCCAATCCAAAATCTGCCAACTTAAGCTCTCCGTTCTGGAAGAATAAAATAAAAATAATTTTAAAAAAAAATTAATCTATTTGATTTGATTGCGAATACACAAGCTACTTTAAGGACACCAAAGTTCAGCATAACTTGAGCAGATAAGAATTTCGACACATTTATTTGGACCATTTTGATTGGGACTCTATGATTTTCTCTAAGAGAGAATGAGTTTACTGAGTCTGAATGTAAGTTGACTATCCATCTGTGCTTTTGGAACCAATGCAATATGCCGGGCAAATATGCTAAAGAATTAGAAAGAAAAATTGTATCCTGTAACCTAATTTCCAAAAACGAATCAGAGGAAAAAATTGATGACTTAAAAATATTGTTTCCAAAAAATTCGAGGAGTCTGTGGGCAAAATTCACTTTTAAAGATAGATCCTATAGAAAATACGATCCTTTTTATAATTTGACTTTTTCAAATAGATGAAATAATCTGTTCGGAAAAGTAAAATTATGAAACTGAATTTTTCATTTCAATACTTACTCAATGTCCACCTTGATGGAATAGAAAAGAAATTTAGAATCTATATTTGTGGTAAGAATAAACAAAACTTCCATGCATTCAGGGGTGCAGGAACTTCCCAATCATGATTGCGTGAAAAAATGGGGAGGCTGTGAAAATTGAAAGGGCAAGCCCACGACTGCATTAAAACCACGTATTTCTTCAAATATCGTGGTAGACTTTGCGTGATTTTCCCGAAATCGCTGCAATTTGTGAATAAAAGACAAAATAGGGCCAAAGCTTGGAAAGTTTTAGAGAAAATGATTTTTAGAGTGGGAAGGGCCGGATCGAAAAATAGGAAAGCAAGGAATTTCCTGCACCCCGGCATGGATTTGAATTATATCTCAAAAGTAAAAATGACATTGCTGACCTTGTTTATCAGAAGATTTTGTGGTTTTAAATCTCGATGCAGAACATTATGGCTATGGCAAAATGCAAGCCCTCTTAATAACTGGAACCTGAAGGAAAATAAACAGATATGAGTAAGCAGTTAATTTTTATTCATTTTTTCATGGAATAAATTCAATATAATAACGATATTTTGCTTGATGTTCAAAAAAAGTAAACCACAAAACTGCACTTGTTCTCTGAAGGAGTTCATCGAAAAGCGTACTTACCTCTCAGTTTTAGTGCCTATGCATTTGTCTATCCATTTGAAAAGCATTCAAAGAGCAAAAAATTGTGGGAGGACAATTTTCGCAATAAGTAAGATAAATTAGTTTTCCTGATATTGTTCCGTATCCTATCCTCCAAAATTGACAGAAATTAGGTACAACTCACATAAGACTTTTAACATTATCCGGGTCAATTTCTCCATTCAAGGTGTCAAAGTATTTTTTTAAATCTTGATCGCAATGCTCAAACACTAAGGTGAGCTTCTTATCACTGTGTAGAACATCATACAACCGGACTATATTTTTGTGTTTCAGTTCCTTCAACAGACAAATCTCTCGGAGAGCAGATGATGGAACTCCCTGGAAAAATAAAAAACCAGGCAGGTGTAAGAATACAAATATTTGTATTAGCTCGGATAAAAATAACACTGGTTTAATAAGATTGAAAGATAGGTAAAATGCTTAAAATCATGCAATAGATAAAGTTAGTAAATTTGTTTGTTTACTCAAGTTAATTGTTCTTACTCCTCTGCCTGTCCAAACCAGGTGGATGGTGACTGAAAAAAACTGCCCACAGACGAGGGAAAATAGAAAAAGCATATTCCAAACTTCCCAGATTGCAGGCTAAGAAATGGATTTTAGACTTTGTTAATGTGCCCAACATGATATTCGTGTGATTTTACCCGTCAAGAGTATATTTATTTGGCTGTGCCTCTCGCCCACAACGACCCATTTTGAAAATCTTCTATCACCAAATGGGGAACTTGTGTTCAGTGTATGTTTTTTTTTAAATCAAGCAGCTAGCTGCAAGGGAAATGCAGCCACATTCTCCATATGATTTCTTGATTGCTACTGTTATTACCATCGCTTCCATCCTAAATCTGAAAGGCTGCGAATTTGGACTAGAAAAATAATGAGAGGCAAAGAGATCCCTTAAAAAATTTTAATGGGACAACCAACACAAACAGCAAAGAGAAGTTTCACAGGAGCTTCAAGTTGTTGCAAGGAATGCACTTTGATGGAGGCAGTGGAAAACTGAATGGTGGTAAGAACATGCAAGAAACAAACCTCATCGTCTTCATCCAATCGCACCCGTTTAAGCGCTACAATTTCCAAGGTTTCCCTGTTCTTCGCTTTGAAAACTGTTCCATAAGTACCTGAAAAATTTTGATGGAAATAAAGTTTAGAGGAAAGAGGATTTTGCTTGAAGCACATAAAATAAGCTGTGGTAACCTGATGTGTCACTCGATTAAAAATTAAAATTATTCAATTTAACTTAAAGATAAAAAATAAAATTCATTGAAAAATACTAGAATGGGCACCTTTATGACTGGTTGATCCACTTTCAAAGCTGCATTAGATGGTGCACAGGTTGAAAATAAGCAATGTTTGGTCAAAGGTGTGATGTCTGAAATTTGCGCCTTTGAATTATAACTTAAGTAGGTATAGTTCGTTAGGTAATAAAACAAGGTTTATAAATTTCTGATGTTTTATATTTTTTACTAACAAAACTTGCAAATAACATATCAAGTCCTTGTGCTACCGTTGCCTACGAGAATGAAGAGGCCGTAACTGGTCAGTTTTCTGACGTCAAGCTAGTAGATATTTACCGGAAACAATAAGCATCTCTGGGTCATCCGTGCATCAATAAGTGAGGCAGTTGCTGCGTGGACCAATCAGAGTGGCCCTCGATCGGCCAAAGTCTTGTCAGCGGCGCGTTCCAATCTGAATTGAGTAACTATTTACGGTATTACGCTTTCATTTCCTCAATTAATAGACAATGTCACATGTGGGTTAGCTAGTTCTCTGCAGTGAAATTTCATCCTCTTTCAAAAAGGTTCTAAAGAATTTTAACATCAAATCAAACCCCGTGAAGATAACGGTACGAAAGAGACATGCGTCAGCCATTCTCCCATAAGAGCACATGTTAAACCGCGGCCAAGTTTCATCTACTAGCGTGACGTCACAGGAACGTAGTTATGGCCTCTCCATTCTCATAGGCAACGGTGTTACCCCTGAGTATGCTAGCGTTGCAATAATCAAGGATGACAATAGCAATAGTAGTACAACTTGGAAGTGACCATTTAGGGTTTTATATCTTTTGAATGCCACTCGAACTTCCGGCAAGAACCTCAAACTTCTGTCAGGACAGAAGAGGATAACATTCATTATTCACCGTATGTTGCTCTGACACCTTGTACCTAATGTGGAGCTTAAAACTTGGAATATACCAGAGCTCAGAGTTTTCAAATTATGACTTTGGCTCCTCCTAGTTTCTGTCAGGGCTCTATTCACTCCATGGAAATGGAAGAGGAGGACACTAACTAATATGGGAGTTGGAAGTGTGAGTACTTGGAGATAGCTGTAAATATACAAACCTTCACCAATTTTTTCTAATTTCTCATACTTTTGCATCCTTGCTTCTGAAAATAGATCCTAACCAGTAAATTGGGTCAGGATTATTTGCTATGCCACTGCAAATAGTAGATTAATTGCAGCTGACAGCAAGTGGATTCCTTTTTAGAGACAGAGATATGAAGAGATCTCAAAAGGATATCAAAGTCACTTTCCTACTAAACTTTCTACCGCGTTCTACATTTTGCCAGGAAACACGTAGGGTAAAAATTCACTTGCACAAAAAATTAATTTATCAAGGAAACTTCACGAATTCTCGCAAGGATGAGTTAAATTTTTAATGCAGAAGAACCATTGACGTATAATACAATCTAGACCGCGCATTACGAAATTCAAGCGAGACGATAGGCAACCCAGCAACACACAGCAAGTGTACCGGCGAGACAATGGTGGAATTCGTGGAAATGCCAGTCTTGCCAGTGCCGTTGCCTGATACGGGTACACTTAGCTCGTATATCCGGCGGTATCAACTAGGCTGAAGGCGCGTCTTTACCCCCTTAGCTGTCTTACCTTCCCCGCCTAAAGTCGGGCCCAATGCGCGGTCTAGATTGTATTATACGTCAATGAGAAGAACGCAGAAGAAAAGAATGATACATAGGTTACGTTCCAGAATTCATCTTTTTGATGGATCGTCAATCAGAAGTATAGTAGAACATGGCGTCATGCTGACGTAACTGATGGAGTCTGATGGAAGGTCAGATGACGTATCCTCGATTGATCCCAAAAACGCTTTGATGAAATTTTCGATGAACGGGTTTGTTTTGTTTACTATTATCACTTATCAGCGAAGCAATCTGTTTTNCCTGCAATCAATGTAATGATTGCGATCTGCTAAGGTTTCACTCCCAATTTCAACCAGGTTACTCTCCATTTTCTTCTCAGAACCCTCACTTTGTAATGGTCAGCTCCTTCACACTGATTCCCTTGTGAAGATGAGTACACAACACACCTTGCGATTCTACAAGGAAGCAGCAAAAATCCTCAGGACATACAAACAATTTGGTGTGAGCATCAAGTCCCAAATATACAACCTCAAGCACTTTGTAAGTAATAGCCCAATTAATTAATTTGTATCATTCACCACGTGTACGTTGTCGAGAAAGCATGGGAGAAGCAAGCGAGAAAGGGCCTCAGACAAAGGTACTTACGCAGAGTTCTAAAAGGCATTTTGGAAGTAAAGCAATGCACCAATTTTAAATGGTCCTCCACAACTTGCATGGTAGAATCTGATTTGACCACGGATGCAGGAGATTAGAGCCATTGTTCTATAGTTTCCGAATCATAATTGGAGCGCAAGTCATAGCGTAGACCTTTTCTACTACCAGTCTCCCAGCTGCTTTCTCTAGAACTCTAAGTAAGCCTGGTTTACAATGAAAGCTGGGCGAAGTTGAATCCCACTGTTCTCATGGCACCATTCTGAACGCAAAGCAATGCCAGGAGCTTAGTTCTCAGTTTTGCTGCTAGATTGTGTACTGAGGTTCGTCATCAGAATAAGTATATGAGCCATAGAGTCCAATAAAGTTGCAATGTATTGGAGCACCAATGAAGTCAATTCAAGAACCCCAGCCCATTCCAAGCCCCTTGTTTGACGAAAGAGTGAACCTAAGTCACAGCATTTTTTAACATGGAGAATCGCGAGCTGCGAGTGGTTTTCTGGATTTTTTCAAGTAAATCTTATTCCTGCAAATTTTGGCAATTAATGTGATCAAAATCATATCAAATCAAAACAAGTACGAAACTCCCGCTTTTTTTTAAAATAAACTTTACACCTGTACATCCTGAGCAAAGCCCGTAGCGCAGTCCTTGCGTAGACAATATTGCCTGTCGCCGCACACTAGTCTTAGGAGTCCTGGAAAAAATAGCCTCCGAAAGTGACTACATCGGGGCCCTAGTACTTTACGACTATTGTACTCTGTGCAGAAGTTTAAACATCTTTAACTTTTTACCGCATGATGCAAGAATTGTTGCACTGTGGCAGATGTAAGCTGTTGCGTCCATTGGAAATCAGGTTTTACTGAATTGATTTGTTGAAGAGAGGGCAACATACGAAAAACTTGGACTTTCGACTAAACTAAACCGAAAAAAAACAGCCATGATCAACCAAAACCTGGAGACAAATTATAATCTGAAACCAAAATAACTAAAGACTACCACTGAGACATTGATTTTTCAGCTGATATAAAGTCCTAATGGCTAGTGAAAATGTATGAGAAGTAGGGTACGCCGTGCGTATGTCAAATCAAGTAGCTCTTTTAAGTGAGAGTGCAAGTAAAGTGACACTCATTGAGGGTTGTTTTACCGAATCATCAGTAGAACAAGCGCGCCAATCCAATGAAGGGTATGCAAAAATTAACAGCGAGTAGAATTTGGGCAAGATAGCACCCTCAAAAAATTTCATATTAGCTGATAGTCGCTTGATTGTGGTAGTCCCAAAATTTGATTATTTTGTCGGCTTCAAAAAAAACTAAGGCTTTTTTTTGCCTGCTGTTTTCTTCGGAAAAGTATAATTCTCTTACTGTTGGCAGTTACCTCGCAAGTAGAGTGCTTCAGAACTGCACCTAAACAACTTCATTTAAATAAGTTTTCTGGGTACCTGGTTGTCGTTCCAGGAAATGTTACCTAAAGCTATGACATGGCATACTTCTAATGCCAACCTGATTCTGTGACTGCATCAACTCACTATACTAATGTTCAATTTTGCTACTATTTTAAGGCTCAGCAAAGTAAACAAATAAAAAGAGTCAAATTTATTTCCAAAGGAGCTATTGAAAATATTGAATGATGAAGCCACTAAATTTATCTTTTGCTCTCAAGTACCCATTTTAAGCATCGATAATGTCCTTACAAAGATGATAATGATTTGTTGATGATCTCTCGCACTCTATTTTTTAAGGAATGTGTCTTCCGATTCTCTTTATTTGGTATTTGTGTATATATTTAACCACTCTTTTATTTAAGTACTTAATGCCAAACTACCAGACACCATTTTATGTGTAGTCCAAATTGACAACCTGACATGAGTCATGGCTTGGTCAGATTTGCATTGCATTTCTTTTCAAACTTTAATATATACTCCTCCATTACTTTCATCATTGATACTCTCCAATTTTAGTTACTTATTGGAATTTTTCTTCAAATTTACAGAGTAAAAAAGCGTTGTATGCTCTCATCATCGAGACACACAAACATGAAGCTATCATTGACAATTTGCTCAAATCCTGTCCCATCGAATTCGAGCCAACAAAAAAGAAGTACTTGAAAAAAAAGAATGATTCGCTGCTAAGAATCATGGTTACTGAGCTACTGTGGGGGAAAAAGGAGCTTTTGCCTGAATCCAAACTTGTGTCAATCCTCCTGTTGAACCAAGAAAAGTTATTAAACGAATTGTCAAAACAGGAGAACCAAAATCTATTAGGCAGCATCAAAAAAAATTTCTCTCTCAAAGGTAGGAAATTGTTTTTTATTTTTACTTCATGATAATTGATTGCTTTGGTGTCTTTTTCGTTTGTTTCAGGTCTTATCCATTGATGCTCCTTGAATGAATTTTCATTCTTGAGTTTATCTGCGAAGGATGCTGATCATCAACATTTCTGACCTCTTCACCTCAGTCTTTCCTTCTTACTCTTAAATTTTACTCCTCTAATCTAAAACTTTTACAAAAATGGATGAACCTTCACCCCCCTTCGAGCAATCATATCTAAATTTTTAGTGCCATTCTTAACTCATCAGCAAATGTCAAACTGTCTCATTTAACTTATCAATACATTTTTTATCTATCTGTTAAATAGGTCTCAAGATTTGAGTGCTCCGAAAATTCACTTTTTTAACCCCTAATTCTGTTTGATTAACCGGAAAAATGGTTCTGGCAAAGTTTCATTAAAATTGAATAAGTGCCTCCTACAGCGAATGTAGTGGATCAAGAGAGGAGAATCTACATGCTGTCGCAGGAAATTATTTTCCAATCTCACCGAGAAATTCAGCAACCACTTTGGCCTATTTGATCAATATTTAGGGGCATTAAGGGTTTTTTTCTCCCGAAACAATTTCTGACGAAAACTTAATGTCTTTTGACACCTCAGAATCGGGCTTTTTTAATTGGTTAAGCACTTTCACAGCTTTCTCAATAGACTTTAGTATTTTTATATGTACAAACCAATTTATACCTTGATTGCAATTGTTGAGGTCCGTTTTGTGCATGGTACATATCAGATTTGAACACTGGCAGATTGTTTTAGTTCTTCGTAAGATGTATCTAGAGAAGACACATCTCTTCCGCAGTATCTTAAATTGCTCCATTTAATGTAAATTATTCAGCTTGTTTTCAAGTTCTAAGGGGGGTGTTGAAGTTCATCCAAAAAATCACTTCTTTTCAGTATTTCTCCTCTATTTTGTTGTCAGGCATCAATCAAAAATTATCATACAAAGTTCAACTGCATTTAAATTGTTGAGATACTCGTTGAATTAATCATGTCAAGGAGCAGTGTTTTGGGGCAGTTGTTCTGTTATAGTGTTGCCATGTTTACACTTCCTTTTGCAACTTTTTTTGGAACAAAATACGTATTCAAAACCTATTTTGATGTCACTGGTTTTGCGAACACTGTTTACTCCGTAATATTGGCTGTTCTGATGGTGAACTGCATTATATTCAGTTACGCATATCGTGCTTATCATGAACATGATCACCCTGTAGAAGAATCCAGGGAAAAGAAAAAGGATTAAAAACCCCTCTATTAGCAGGTATGTATGGTCGGAGATTTTAAAGCAGTGTGTATCTCTTTTCAAAACATTAAGTCAAACTGTTGATCTATCTTTGTTACTTACTTCAAAGAGACAGATATCCCCTCATTTTTAAAGTATGTTGAAGCTCTCTAAAATTGAGGTCCCTAATCTGTAAGGATGTTTCACACTTGAGATCTAAATTGTCATTCACGTGTACCTAATGGCTGGCTACTCACTAATTTCCTATCAATTACAAGTTCAATCATTGTTTCCAAAGTAGAGTCAACACCAAATAAGTTTAATTATGCACCTTTAGACTGACCGAAGATTGTCTGATGTCATTTTAGTATGAAAGGTAAATGCCAGAATCAAGATGCCGGATCTTCTTTCGCAATCTAAAAGTGCATTAACTTATTTTTCGTGCGTGGTATCTACCATGATTTATGCAAACACATCTTGTTGTCAATATTGCTGCTAAGATTTGAAAATCCTTTAATGATGAAACAGTTCCTGCTGTAAATCTTGGACAATAAATTGTAGCACAGATGGTTGTTCCACAGTGTGTAATGAACCTTCAATTTTTTTCGGAAAAATCATGCTTCTTTAATCTTTTTTCTTGTGAATTAGTGAATGAGCCTTTGTCAAAAAAATTTTCTTCTTGTTTCAGTTACCATTCCACGGTATGTGAGGGTTAATACTCTGCACTGGTCTGTGGAAGAAGCAATAGAATATTTCAACTTTAATGGCTGTGAGCTGTTATCAACGGGTGACAATTATGAATCATTTCTGACCACTGTGAAACATCTATCGGACAGTCAGTACGTTCAGGATATGCATTTAAAAGAAGTTTTTATTTTCCCTCCTCAAACGGAATTCTTCAGTGATGTAAAATATTTAGAAGGATCTCTCATTCTTCAAGACAAAGTGAGTTCATTAATCTGAATACCCTGTTCTTATTTTGTACCACTTAAAAATACAGTAAAAACTCATTAAGGCTCTAGGAAGAGAATTTTGGCCGGAGTGGTTTTTATGGCAACTATTTCTCCGCTTAACACGAATATTTTCGTCAAAAGTGGCCTTCTTTGGCAACCTGGCATCGAGGAAACAGTCGTTGATAGTCTACAAAATTTAGAATTCACTAATTTCAGAGATGCTCACAAATCGAAAATGACTCTTTTCAAATGAATGTCACACTTGTGTATGATAATTTTTTAAGGAAAATAATTCTTAGAACTGGAGAAAGGAAGAAAAATGAACAAATGTCACGTAGGGAAATGGCACCACTTAACATAAATTTATGTGGTAACCAGTGGGCCAACTGATGATCCATGCATTCAGGTTTATGTGGCATTGGTCAATTCTTTTCTTTCCCCAGTTCTAGAAGGTTGTTTGTGACCTCATGCCTTGTAGATTGCAAAGCAAAGAGTGCTCTATGGATAGAAAGGGAGGATTGTTCGATGGAACCGCCAACTGGGAGCCCTGCAGAAGTCTTAAGAGAGACACCATTATGGTAACCTGAGAGGTCACAAGTTAGCCCCTTATCAGTGTTCTAACTTAGAGGCCATGGGCATGAAAGCAGAGCAAAAAAAGTGTAGTTAGCAGGGTTGCTCTTCATTGCAGAAAAATTTCAAAGTATGCTGGAAGAGGATGGTTAACCAAGAAGTAATCCCAAACATTGCATTACGATGTAATTTCAGATGTGCCCATATCTGTCCATCAGTCGATGGATTAATTAATTTTTTCATTATAAGCTGCTAACTACATCCTAGACTGTATTGTAACGGGAATTGTATTTTTGGTTTGCAGGCAAGCTGTTTGGCAGGACACATTTTGAATCCTGAACCAGGAAGCACTGTACTTGACATGTGTGCAGCTCCGGGAATGAAAACTTCCCACTTGTCTGCTATAATGAGAAACGAAGGGTAAGTGAATTGATGTGTGTGTACAGAAGTGCACAAAGTTCCGAACACAGATTGTTTATTGCGATCCAACGGTTTCTGTTTGGTGGTGACCGCTGCAAGGGCATGCAATTTACCAAGCCTCTACAGTTCATTCCTCAAGTTTTGGTTCATTCGCTTCTCATTTCTACCCTTCAATTTCTGAATCAGAATTTCTTTTGTGCTGTGCAAATTTTAACTGAATCGCCATTTTCTTGAACAGATACCATAGCTCCTAGGAGCTAGGAGCTGTGCAAATATTTGCCAAATATTTTTGTCAAATCTCAACAAATAGTTGTGTCCAGGAGAAAAATTCTGTCCATAGCAAAATATTAAATACATGCAAGGTAAGAAAAACTTGATGAAAAAGCATGTATTATTAGAAACCCCATAGAAAGGAATTTTTGGGAAGTTATAAAAAAGCAAGAAAGTTAAATGATGAAGTATCCGTGAACACCTGATTTATCTTTTTATGGGAGAGGAATCTGCGCTCTAGTATTTATGTTGCAGGCAAATAGTGAAATCAGGCATTTTGTCAAGTGCCTAGGCAGATAGTTAAATTTTGATGGTTTACAGAATTTTTAAATTCATGGCGAAGATCTTGCGAGTTTTCAATATTTTTGGAAGAATAACTCATGAAATCTACGAACTCTTTTTGTCTCTTCCTCTTCAATTGCCTCTCATATTTTCAAAGGTTAAAATTCCGAAAATTCTGTATTTTATGACATGCTGAAAAGTTCAAGACAAATGGCTGTTCGGAAGCTAAAAATTGTTTAAAATACTATTGTGTGATGCAAATTTTTACTGAAAATTTTTTCTCACATGAGCAATGAATTATTTTGTGTAAAATTAAAAAAATAATCAAAATTTCAAACTAAGTTGGGATATTTGACTCTTTGCCTAGGCATTTGACAAAATGCCTGATTTTACGATTTGCCTGCAACATTTAGATCATGGAGGCAACCATACGCCTAGGGTTACCTTTTGGCAACGCACTGAATCGGGCACATCCCAATAGGAGGGGCTCCATGCGGCTGCTGAGGTCCAGATGCCAGTCGCAAGTCAGATGACAGCCGAGTCTCACACCAAAGACCCAAACTCGTGGCCTTGGCATCTGGGAATGGTGTCCCCCTTTTCCCTTTTTTCACCCAACCTATTTTTTATTTTTCCAAGTATTTGTAAAAAAAGTCCAAGAACTACTTCTAAGTAAAGTGATATGCTGAATGCACTCACTCTGAAGAGTTCTAATTTTTAAACGCATCTCACATTTTCCAAGTTCACTCAATCGCATGCTTTAGGGGTGCAGAATCTTCCAAGCTTCCACATTTCCTCGCGTCTGCGGGCTAGCTTACCCCATTTTTCTCATTGGTTTTCCACAGAATTTCCCACCAGTTTAAAGAAGATTACCTTTTTCTTCTGTTTTCCGATGTTTGACCCTTCAAAATGTTCTCTCCTTTCACATTTTTGGGGGCTTTTTCACATTTTCATGCGCCTGGGCAGGTGCATAATTGAGCATTTTCTGCACTCCTGGCATGTTTTTATGGAACAGAAGGTATTGTAAGAGAATCAACTCTTTAATATCTGTGGTAGTATTTATCCCTCTTTATCTCGATTATCACTAAGTATGTTTTTCAGGTGTATTTATGCTGTTGATCGTGATAAAAAACGATTTGAGACTTTGAATAAAATTGTCAATTGGCATGGAGCAACCTGTGTCCAAACAATCAACGCAGATGTTCTAACGATCTCAACAGAGCAGTGTGAAAATGTGCGTTACATTCTGTGTGACCCTTCCTGCTCCGGTGGAGGTAGGTATTCGCTCTGTTTTCAACTATTGTAATGGTTCATATTTTTTATAGCTGCCTCTACATGCTATCAATATAGGGCTTCTTCAAGGTGCGTGTTGAAACCAGCAAAATTGCCCCTGAAATAATTGTAAAATTTGTTTGCCATATTTTCCAGCTTAAGTAATTCATATGAAATCTAGGGGTGTTCGAAATAATGTTTATTCTAAGCTATTGTTACCAATTGCTTTAAATTACTGACACCTTCTGATAAGGCGGTCTTTGTTGGAAACGGCTGGCATTATTAAAACTGTGAGAGTTTTGAGTCAAAGCATTGTTGCCCTGGATATCTGTTTGTTAGACTGTTTATCCTGAATAAGAGACTCATAGCAACAGCTCATTTTAGCCAGTTCTGAAAACTCAAATAGGCATTAGTAAGGGTCCTCCTTTTATTGTTACATTTCAACCAACAGTACTTCAAACTGTCAAGCTCACCTACCGAAAGCAGATAGGACACCTCTAGTAAAATCCACGAAGAGGCCAGTCAGAATCAGAAATAAATAATCAATGGAAGTGAAGTCTCGGAGTGAGATGGCAAGACTTGCTCCTACCTAAAGTGCATTGAAAATTATGCCAGCCACTTAAAATGTCAACGTAGTTGGATTTTTGCTGCCTCAGTTTTCTGGAAAATGAATTTATAACAAATTTTATTCCTGTTGCAGGTATGATGGGTCGAAAAGAGGGTGCTAATGATCATAAAGACGAATTTCGGTTAAGAAAATTGGCAAATTTTCAAACTCAGTTACTTCTCCATGCCCTTAGAGACTTTCCATCAGCTGAGAAAGTAGTGTACTCAACTTGCTCAATGGAAATTCAAGAAAATGAGGAGGTCATCCGCGAAGTGCTTAGCAAGGTCAAAGATTTTAAACTGGTTGATTTGAGAGCCAAAATTCCGGACTGGAAAAATTTTGGATCCAGTGATTACAAATGTGGCAAAAAGTGCATTTATTGTCGAGCAGATGAAGACCTGTGTAATGGGTTCTTCGTTGCACTGTTTAAACGGAAATCTAAAAAAAATAAACAGATAACGATGGAAAATAAGGACAATGAAGGTGACATATTAAATGAACTTGAAGAAAATTCAATAAATGATAGTTGTAATTTTAAGAAGAAAAAAAATAAAAAGAAGAAGTTCTAACGAATTCAATTTTTTACTGTCAAGTGATTCAATACATATCATTTTTTTTCAGAACAAAGAAATTTTATATGTACACATGCTTCAGCCATTGTTGTTCTTAAAATCTATCTGTGTATGAAATGATTGTTGAGTTCCTCATTTTTATCAAATGAAATAAAATTTGATTATTTCTCTTCTTTTGGTAATATGAGTTCAAACACCTTTTCATTTCTCCAAGATTGTAACTACATATTAATGTTTCTGACTGTCCAATCACGGAATACTTTTGTCAGACTTTGATAGGGTGTTTACCATTAAAAGCCCTGGTTGAATCATAAGCTCTAAACAGACTTAAGGAAACGTACAGAATCCTCAAATTACAGAACACACATTAGAATCCCTTTGTTGTGTTTTTTATTTATTGAAGTAATATTTCTTATCAATAATGCGAAATCAGAAAAACCCACATCTTGATTGCGATGTGTCAAAACTTCTGTTCATGTTTTATTTTTTCAAGTGAATATCACAAGATGTCTCCCATGATATTTTTAGAAAATATTCATAGAGATTCCTCGAAAAATCACACAATATTTTGTGCTGCAGTGTTGAATGTTTTTCCTATTTTCAAGGAAGTTTTTAATGAGACGTTGCAACTCAAAATGTATGTCTTTTCAGTTTCACCATTGCGTGACTAAAGAAGAAGAGGGAAAAAATTCTCTATCACCAGAAACAACCATAAATGAGTATGTTGATGCCTGAAGTAATAAAATGCAAGAAAATCCCAGCTCATGTTTTATTTTTTTTTATTGAATCAGTTTACTTTCCCCTTTGAAATTTTGATTATCTTTCACTACAAACATTAAAGCAGTCGGAGATTTTGAAACATAGCAATGGAGCCAGGCAGGATCCGTAGCAATTCAATTAGCTTGTGTAACATTTTTGAGAATTATTAGATATTCAGTTAAATGAGTTCTCAATGTCTGGCTCCCAAACTGAATTAATTTGTCTGAAAACATAAGAATGAGTTTTTTAAAAACTTCTCAGGTGCATCACCATCAGCTCCAGAAGACCTATTCCTATTAGGTAATTAGAAAGAGGATTAAATAAATAACTGACATAGGTAGTCATTGACTTTTTTTTTTTTTTTTTTTTTTTTTTTTTTTTTTTTTTTTTTTTGTAATGGACATTTTTGAGAAGCTTTAAGTAAGGTATCAATTGCTTTAAACAACCAAAGGCAAGTTTCTAATTGAAGATCCTGCCCCTTTGTATCAGCTTGGAAAATATGTTCTGAAGGACAGATGCATTGTTACTAGCTGTATTAAGCTCAGAATTACTTGGAGTCTCACAGTAATATTGTCGACCAGGCAATATTGTATTCTGAAAGGTCTGAGACAGCCAAATATTTCTTTTGATTCCCTGAAGAATTATGGAAATACCTCAAAGAGGTACTTTCCTTCAAATTTGTAGTGAATGATTGATTTTGAATTTTATAGTGAGCTCCAACTCCTCCAACTGAAGTTTGACAGAGCTTTTATATTGAGGCAGTCCTAATGCGAAGCAAGGTTCACTACTTAGAGGTCTTCTCTTAACAAAGTAAAACCTCCTGAAAGACCCATGGGCTTTGGACTTAATCTTTTACTCAAGAAAGAAAGGAAAGAAGATGAAGGAAATGAGGTTCTCTTTAAAGTTTGATCTACTAGAAGGGACTCAACTCCCAAGGAGGACCCACCTCGCTTTCAGGGATAGAAGGGTTTTACTACCTCTTTTCCTTTCGATACCCTTCCCGATAATATTTTCATCATATCGTATTTTTCCTCACACTTTTTAAAATCTTTATATTTGCTATCAGAATTCATTTCACCTCCTGCCGAGATAGTAATATTTCAGGAACTTCCCCGTAACTCGTTCTCCCCTCCTTTCCCCCCTCACCATCTGTCATGTCAACACAACTCGTTCGTCACCTGCGTTCAGTGGAGGTGATAAAGTCGTGCTGTGAGTAATAATGTGTTACTGAGAAAGACTGCGTCACGTAAATTTTTTTTATCTTCGCAGGAAGTGGAAGGCCATGAATAATGCTTTTGAGGATAATTGTCATGGCCGGTCGTGCCGTGATTATCCATTCCTTTTTACTTATGTTGGCAATGTGCATGCAATTTGCAAACGAACCCTAACCTATCTCAAGCTCAACAGTTGCCAGCCCTGTGAGCAAGTTTCAAGTAGTGAACTCAACAAAAAAGGTTATTTTGGTTTTGGAAATGTATTGTCTCTCAATTTGCAACGTTTTCTTTTTCCTAAAGTAGAAGTGATGTCCAAGTGAATTGTGTCTAACTTCGTTTCTGTGTCGTTTTACATTTTTTGTAAACTTCGCGGGTGGTAGATATTGTCAGTGCAAGACTCCCACAGTGGAATAACATCCCATGGACCAACAAGAGGCCATATTGAATTCTGATTTGAACTAGGTGGAGTACTTTCTTGATGTAAAGTAATGAATTAGAAAGCAGAATCATGGACAAATAAGTTTTCAGATCTTGTTCAAAATGTTGAATGAGTTTACTTCAACATTCTTTCCCTCTCAAGATCTATTGCAACAATGACCCGCAATAATCTTTCTCCGCATCCTTGCAAGTGATGTCAACACAGATATTTCTCACGTTTTGATTTGTAAGTAGTTAATGAAAATTCTTTTACCATCTCATTACTTTTTACTCTTCCCTGGAAAAATCCTCTCAAATAATTTTCATTATTTGGCACCTAATAGTTCAAGATCACTTAGTCCAGCAGTTCCAGTTAACAGTCCCTGAGCCTCATTCGAGGATTTCTTCTGTTTTACGTATAATCAGTTGTAAAAGCAATTTCAACATACTTTTACTTTGGCATCATCAATATTTTTTTGCCCAATTTATTCATTTATTCGGCCAGAGACAGATTAGCCATCCTAATCCTTCCTGCTTTGATGCCCGCGTCCGAGAACGTTACTAACCTCGAATGTAGAACAAGAGATGATGAGCGAATACGCTCTATCAGAGATGAAAATCATGTGAATCCATAGTTTGTGAGACATACACAAGTGTAGCAATGGCAACATGTCCTCAAGTTAAATGTGACAGTTAGCAGTACCAGAGGTCGAAAGTAAGTTGTATAACATATCTCCAAGCGATGAGCAATTTGGTAAGCAGAGAAATACTTCGAAGTCTGTTCGGCCACTATTTTTAATAGAGGTGAATTTTTAGGAAACAACATGCACCACAGGTCACTTGTGGATAGAACATTGGTTAACATCACACACCTGTTTGCACTGACATCACCAAAATGATAGTAATGTTGTATTCTATTCTCTTTCAGCAACTTTTACCTCCTACTTCTCTGAAATATTTCTGCACAAAATACATGAGCATGGGAGGTAAAAGTAGGGAAATTGTATTACTGACAGAGTTGAAAAAATTGCTTATTTTATTTTGTCATCCCTTATAATGGACCACTCAAAAGAGTTAGAAATTACGGCCTTGTCTCCACGGGACGTTTTCATGGGATTTGTCCCAAGTTCGAATCACAGGAATGAAACTTCTGGGATTTTTCCCAGTTACCGTCTCCACGGGACGGGGCTCATGCAGTCCTGCGACTAGTTTGCGCGGGAAGATAAATCAGTTAAAGTCGAGTATTTAACCGGGATTAAAATAATAATTGCACTCAATTGACAATGAGACACATTTTTTAACTAAACAAACATTAACAATGTAGTAATGAATAAAATATCGCACAGTTCGTTTACACTTCTTCTCCTTCTCTCAGTGGATCTTAGGGGTACAAGTACCATAAGTACTTGGTACTGGGAAAAATATTGATTAACTCAATATTTTTCCCAACTTTGTAAGTGGGATTTTTCTCTGGGACAAATCTTGTGAAATGGCTCGTGGAGACAAGGCCTCAAAATAGTCTAAAATGTTATTTTTAAAACTTTGAAGAATATGAAAAATTGAAGATTTGAAGATTGAAGATTGAAAAAATCTGCTATTATTGAGGATAAAATTTGTCTAAAACAGTCTAAAGTGTAACTATTAGTAGTTGTCAGTTTGAAGCATATTTACCTAAATTTCTATAATCATAGCATGTGTTCTACTAACGTGAATTTTTTGCTCAAACATCTAAAACCTGTCGCTTGAAGCCAAGGTTAATAGTCAGAACGGGGTTATCTCTCCCTAAACTTTACATTGATTTTACAAGAAATTTTAGCTCCTATTTTTCCAAGGAAGCATGACTTGACACAGTTAAATTTTACAGAGGCTTTGAGGTGGGACTGGTGAACTTCCAGCTAATGGAGCTGATAGCTTATCTTTTGCCAAACTTGTGAGGAGTGGCTGGGTTTGTGATAGGCACTAGAGTCACACTGTTTACCAAATTATCTCCAGAAACAAGAGTCAGTGATAGCCTAATATAAACATTTTGCTAATTTTACCCTTTCAACCAAAGTGGCTAGCAATCAAGAAAGTTGTAACCCAAGTGTGAAAAAAGAGATATGCATGAAACCACTATTTTTAGAGTTTTCGTTCAATTTAACACTCCAGCTATATATTGACTGATTGTAGTCATTGGAAATGATTTTTGGTTAGCAACTGCGACCATATTGGTTGATAGCGGGGTCATCGTTGAAGTCTGCCTTATACCCCAATAGACAAAATAAGAATAAATCTAAGGACAACAAGCTGGCGCCTTGGAGCACTTTGGCACCTAGTGAGTTTAGTATGCATCGTTATAAGTCGGCAATCACATAACTCGGTTTGCGACATCGCAGACTTCCTGTCATACCTACTTTATTTTTTAAATGAAAAACTACTCAATGGCAATTCTTTAAAACTTCTGTGATTTTTCTTCACTCTGTGAAGAAAATTCTGCATAAACTTCAAGGAATGATGTCAATTTGTTTTCCTTAAAAAAAATAACATGGAGGCGGAGATTTTCAGACACCACAAACGAGATATACAACCATTGCAGATTTGTGCCGCATTATATATGTATATTATCATCTCATGCCCTGATGAGGGAGGCAATGGGCCTCCGAAACGTTGGCGAAATAAATACCTAAGTTGTATGTGTAAAGGTTGTACATCTCATTTAAAACCATATCCATGTGTATTTTAACAACCATAAAACAGTTCTTATTATTATATTAATATCATTATTAATTTAATATTATTATATGCTAAATGAATAATTTATTTTTTTACAGATTGTGAGCAAGAGCCAAAAAAATGCCGAATCCTCCACCACCCCCACCACCGGGGCCGCCCCCTGCCCCGATGATGGCATTCAACACATCAAAGTCAAAGAGTTCTGGTGGAGTGGAGCCTCAAGCTCGGAATGCGCTTCTTCAGTCTATACGGCAGGGTGCAACCCTTAAGAAAACCGTCACAAATGATAGAAGTCAGCCACTTATTTCCGGCAAAGCCAACGGAAATGGAAGTGGAAGTAATGGTTCAACTGGTATCAACAACTCTTCTAGTACATTGAAGAGACCTGGAGTCAGTAGCAATTTGAATATTCCCAATGGTTTGGCCGGTCTTTTTGCTGGCGGTATGCCGAAGTTGAAACCGACTGGTCTAGCGGTGGCAGGACAAACTTCGACGCAGCACAGCAATGATAGTGACAACGTTGCTGCAAACCAAAGCTTGGCTCCAAATTCATCTTCATTACACAGTAATGTAAGTTATTTTATTTCTTCAGCTTTTCTCTGTTTCTTGTATCAATTTGATCAGAGGACCCTGCATGATATTTTGTGACGACTAAATTTTGCCATCGTTTGATATGATATTCTTTCTGATCTCCTGAATAGAATGAGGGCGATGAGTACTTTTTAATGAGCTTTTTTGCTGTGGAAAATTTGAGAAAACTACAAAAGCAGATCTGAGAAGCGTATTTCTTTGCATTTTAACCAATGTTTTTTCATGGAAATGTGGCATTGCTGCTATGTTGAATGTTTTAGAGCCCTTTGATCTGAAGCAGTTAAAGTTGGTTCTGTCATATCTTCCTGGCCAATACAAGTTCAAGGAAATTTGTCACCGAATCCCGAAAAAAAATTTTAATGTATTTTCCAATTTTCAAAACTCTATAAGTAATTTTGTTTGATTTCAGAAACAAGATGGAACTACACGACACTTTTCGACTGATATCAGAAATAGGGGACCTCCTCCTCAGCCACCACCAGTTGTCCAAAAATCTGTTATGCCAAATGTAAATATTTTCTTGGGTACTTTTTACATATTTTGACTGTTTCCTATCTGTTATACCAGGTCTCTCTGAGTGAAACTGTTCCATGGATGAAAATAAGTTTTTTTATGAAAAAAAAGAACAATGTCAAAGTTTAAGAGACTAATAAAAAGATTAAGATTTGGGAGAGCAGGTTATTATTGCTGGCACAAAATTTGGATGGAAAAAGACCTACTTGAAATTCTCAAAATACTTGCAAGAGACTTAACTTAAAGACCGCCGGTCTAATGGACAACAAGAGATCGTAAAACTTCACAAAAAACAAGAAGTATGCAAGGACGCGATGCGGTATCGCGGGTCTGATGGATGAAAAGAGACCTCAAACAATGGATTGCACGAGTACTTAAAGGCTGTATAACGTAATGACATTACGCCATGCCTGGAGCATGCTCATTGGTGGGCTGTTTTCGACTGTCTCCAATCTTGTCGATCAAATCATTATCATAAAGATCTTAATTAATGGATAAGGGCGTCAACGGATTTTGAAATATTAGTGCAATGATTAGGACATTCATACAAACTACCAAAAAATAATATAAAAATCAAAAACAGGAAAATTTTGTATGCTTTCTTTCCTCACATTTTCCCCCTTTCAGGTGCCTCAACATTTTCCTTGCAATCAGGTGATCGAGCACTTTCTGTAACCCTAATAAAACTTAACCTAAAGTCTTAAATTCTGTTCTCCATATTAATGGTATAGCTCATTATGAATTTGTCATTAATAAATTAAAAAAAATGTCGGTTGTGAAAATGTTTAGGCCCATCAGCATTCAAGCACATGTGAATTCAATAGCAAGGTTGTGTTTTGATTTAACATTGGAACCTGAATAGCAATATATATCAAATGGTGTAGCTATTAAATCAGTCCATAGGAAAATAAGTACAAGAAAGGGCTTTAGCTTGTGAAGTGTACAATTAATTAATAATGCTCAGAATTTTTCACGAAAGCTGGCAGGAATAATTAATAACGGTCTGGACTCATCTTTTTTTTTTCTTTCCTGTGATTCTAGAGTGCATCTGACTCTGTTTTGACAAATTCCAACAATCACAACCGAATGGGTAGCACAGCAAGTTTAAATGCAGATGTATCTCCACGATCTGTGACAAATGGACCAAACAGAACGTCACAAAACAGCCACGGCAAACCAAATGTTGCTCCAAAACCTCCAAATACCTTAAACAAACCGACTGTTGCTCCCAAGAACAAAGTTATTGTAAATGGTAGACCCACTGTCTCAAGAGCTCAAAGTATGAAAGCACCCAGATCGCCCCCTGTTTCTTTACCGACAAGTGGTAAGTCTTTGAATTTTCTTGAAAACTGTAAGTTTGCTATCGTGCAACTTTCATTGAAGAGTTTTGGATCAGTACGTATTTCAGCACTCTACTTGAATTGCCCTTTAGTAAATAAAAATCAGAAAGCCGAATTTTGGTTGTTATGAAAAAGGAGCCAAAAGTCAGAGAAGAGTCCATCAACAGTTTCAGTAAATTTGATGCTTTCGGGCTTGAACTTTTATCGCAAGTAGCTCTTACGTAAGACTGGTATAGTACTTGATGTTAAAGAGTTTAACCAATACAGCTCAGGATGAAAACTCAATGCCAATTTTAACAAGATACTCAGTAATTATTTTTCTCTAAATTTTCTTGTGAAGATGCGTATTTTCGTTGATGATCGGTCGAACCAAAATGGGTGGATCATGCGGTTTCATATTTTGTTTTGACACGATCATAATTTTTCAGAACAACATCGGGACTCACCAGACAGACAGAAGGTGGAATTCTTGCAAACGTTGGAGCCAAAATATAATCCTACAAAAAGTAGGGTTTAGAAATGACCTGATGAAGATGACGGCACCCGACCAGCATCAATTTCGAAAGTCTAACCTCAAATGTTTACTGACCCGATTATAATCTTGCCATCATTATAAGGGCATTTTAGCTCAATCGATCATCAACGAAAATGCGCTTAAGGAGTATAAGTTTTGAGGGATTGACATTCCAATTTTTTTTTTCTATTGTGGAGGATTCAGTTGATTGAATCAAGGATTGAAAATAGAGTTATTACGCTCAATTTTTCTGTGATTTTCAGCTCCTCAGTATCCTGGCACTCTAAACCCTAGTGAAATTAATAGGCTGAACAGTCAAATGAACGCAGTCTCGTTTCATCAGTCTCAAGAGACATTAAATCCTTCGCTCTCAAGCCGACCCATAGCCTCGTTACCTAATAATTCAGGTCTTTGGAACTCAACGGGGACTTTACGGCATCGTCCAGGGACTCCCATCAGGCCACCATCCACACGGCCTCCGCCGCCTCCTCCTTACAAAGTTGCAATGACACCACCCGTGTGTCCTCCCCCTCCTCTTCCCATTACACCACCCCCTCTACCCCCTCATCGTACTTCCCCAGCTCCACCACCTCCAAGGACTGATTCTTATCAAAGTAGATTAGTGCCGTCTGTAAGTACCCCTATTTCTTCTTCAAAAATTATTCCTATCTATTTTTTTCTTGCATCAGGGAGTCTACAAGTCCGGAAATAGGATAGATTTTTTAAGGCCGGTCCGGAAGTACTGAAAAAATGCTGAAATTCTGCAAGAAGGTCCGGAATCTTTGTCATTTTTGAGCGAGAGACTCAAATTTTTCGAATTTCGTCGAATGGACGTACTGAAAAAGCACTGAATTTTTCTGTTGAGTAGGTACTGAATTTCTTGGGAAAGTACTGTAAAAGTATTGTAAAAGTACCGGTTTTTGGGCAGCCTGTTTTAGTAGACACCCTGGCATTCATTTTCCCAGAGGAATATGATCTTTAAAAATATATTAATTATTCAAGTTGCCTCTCACTTTATGACATGAATTGCGTGCGTTGAGGAAAATTTCTATTTTTCCACAAGTTACCTCCAGTATAACTTGGTAACTCTCATCTTTGAATTTGCAAAATTAAATTTCTTACCAAGTTTTGTTAGTGTCATCATGAAGCATGAGAAGAGAACTGTTTAATTATTTCAGTGCCAAGTCAACATGTGAGCGAAGCATCAATAAATAAGAAAATGAATTGTTGTGAGCCTCCCTCCCCCCTCCCTCCCATTAAAAGGGTAAAAATAAAATACAAGTTTTATGCTTACTACATATTTCATTTTTGTAAAAAAAAACTTGATTTTAATAATGTCTTTAAAATTTTAGGTGCCTTCTGGAGCCCCGCCCCTTCCTCCCGTACGAAATAGTAACTCGCTGAGGAATGGATCCTTCTCTAGCTCTGGTATGTCTCAAATATTTTCATCTTCTCAAGTGCTACTTACTGAAATTTCTAATGCGCAAAAAAAAAGAAGAAAAATAAAATCAGCATTCCTTGTACAATAAATATTTACATAAAAAAGTGAATACACAAAAATAAATTTCAAATTGCCTTGAGGACTTTTCAAGTAAAGTTAGAAACTTTTGATGATCATCAGATAATCTGGAGGTTTGTTTCATTTTAAAAAAATTATTGTTTTCTTTTTACAAGAAGCAAGGAATACTTGAGCCATTCTATACCTCTCATGTTTAAGTTTGCCAATGTTTTTTTTTTCCTCAAGCAGGAACAGTTGGGCAGTTGAAACTCTGTTTTGACAACCATTCACTTACAAGCCTCTTTCCTTTATTGGATGTAATTTTTAAGAGATTTTAATGTACTCGAGCAACCTAAAATGCCGGAAAACAACTGTAAACAGGCCAATCCCTCCAGAGCTGAATAGGCTCATTTTTGTTCAACATGTAAAAACAAAACAAATTTAAGCCTCTATCATTGTGTTTATAATTGTCTCTCTATGTGTGATTTCGATGACTTGACTATTTCTATCTCTGCAGCAATGTAGGATTTGTAGTTTTGCGATTATAATATGATGAAAAAGCGACCTTTAAAACGCAGGTCATAATGATTGCTTTGGCAGTGAATGAGTTAATTTTAGATTGTATCCAATAACAAACAGCAGCGCTGCAGTGTGTTGTCACCACTCTGATTCATGCTCAAACCCTGCATGTAGGGACTTGTTCTCCTTTGATTTTTTATGAAGCTTGGAGGGTCCATTTTCCATTACATAAGAACTGGTCATTGTTAGATTTTCATAAGCTATTGGCCATTATCAAAGTCATCCAACTCGGAGGCGGCGATATTGGGCCCTCTTTTTGTAAATCGAAATGCAATGGGTTTGTTTGCTTATTCCAACTCAGCAAGGTCTCCGATTTGAGTTAACTTTCTATTATTCCCTTTTGCAATTTCGAATTTTGTGCCTTAAATACACTAAAATTACTTGTCTTTACATTGGTTATCGCAAAGAAATTATCATCGAAATTCATTGTTTTATTTATTTATGTTTTTTCTCTCCGAGCGTCTTGTGTTGTATTTTGAGAATGTTAACAACTACTTTGATGTTGATAGAGAATGTATTTTATTGTATCCTGGGCACATATATTGTTTAAAATTTTGCAAGGAAGATATCAAATAGAGGGTTTTCCAATGAAGCCAATTCTGAGTTACGTGGACCTGACATTTTGTAAAAAGGCTGGAAAACAGATTTGGGCTAATGATGAGATAACAGAGTTTTTAGCTTCATTGGGTACGGACTTAGTGAGATTTGACTCAAGCTCAAATGTTTTTGAAACATTGTCTTTCAGTTTAACACGAAAGTTTTTTTTTTCTTGTTGATCAGTGATAAAAATTCTGCATTTAATTACAGGTGACATGGAATCTAGATTTGCTGACATGTTTCATAGTGTACATGAATTCCCCCCTCCCATGCCCTACAAAGGTGTCATCAAACAGTATAACAGCAGGACAGGTATACTAAACTCATGATATTTTTACTGCATGATTTTTCATTATTCTTATGTATTTCACTTTATTTTATTTTTTTTTTTTTTGTATTTTTTCCAAATTATTTATCCTATTATACTTTTTTTTTTTTTTTTTTTTTTTTTTTTTTTTTTACATTTTGGTCCACAGGCTCTTTTTAAGTTACATGCATAACTCCGTACATTTGGTATTATATTGAAATTTTTTTTTTCTGTGCCTGCTTTTAGAGATTTGAAACGTTTCTCTGTTTTCTGTTAGTTCTGGTACATAACCAAAAAAATATTTTAAGACAGCTTTACGTTAACTCAACCTGTCATTTCAGATTGTTCTGAATACCTCTACAGTAGATTGTAGAATTTCAACCTTCTACAAGAAAAAAAAAAGTTTTTGTCAATCGGGAGTCTTTCACAAAATATGTAATGCTTCAGGAGGGAGGGGTAAGGTCCAAGGCTGAGGCACCTAACTTCAAAATTTGCTGTTTTTTCAAAAATGTAAGATAAAAAATCAATGCCAAATGTCAATCTTTTATCAAAATTTCATCATCAAACACAGGAATCAAACAGAATGTTCCGTAGGTATTTTAGGGGGTGCAAGCTTGAACAATGGGGGAAGAAAGAGTCAAAAATTCTAATTTCCAGTGTCTTACATTTAATGAGTGGCCCACAAGTTGCAACAATGCTGAAAAACAGGAGTTGAAACATCTGCAAAATTCTTCTAAGAATCAACAAACATTTTTGTCAAGTGAATTCAAGTAGCTGTTCTATAACTTTCATTGAGTGGAAGAGAATTTCAAATTTATCCTTTCAAAGCATCATTGTCACTTTAATTACGCTGCCAAATGAAAGTGAGAAGGAAATATAATCGGCTTGACTCTACCCTCTGCCTCTGATTTCAGCCTGTAGGATTTTACCCAGCAAGAGCTATGACTAGGTACATATGAGCAGTATGGAAATAATAAACTTGCAGATTATATATTGCTTCCGGTCGGAGACAATTCAATTCTTTTTTTTTCTTTCAGCTAAGCAGCCAGCTCCGCAACCTCCGACCCATACAATGATGGCCAACAGGATGTAGCATGTTTGAACAAATGAAAATATTTTAACTGCTCAGCAAAAGACACTTGATAGTCTTTATTCTCCTCGCAGTAGATCTGTCAGCATCAATATACAGGTATTGTGCCCTTAAATGACTAGAATCTATATTGGAAAGGAATGTTTTAATTGTCGGATGATCAAAATGGAGGTTTAATTTTATTCTTACGCTGTGAAATTCTGTTTATTGTTACGAAGGAGTTAAGCGCTAAGATCATCTAATGTCTGGCTCAATTGAAGAGCTTCAAATTTTGAGGCAGTCAGAGTTGTTACTTAAGTCGCATCAAGGCACTATGCTTCAAAATTGTGATACAAGTATGTGTATTCAACTTGTTTTGTTTTATGACTTTTTCTGATTTCTTTCTTGAGTGATTTTCTAAAAATCAAAGCCATGTGAAGATTTCTCTTATGAGTCAGTGATCAAATTTTGGAGCTAACATAGCCAAAACTGGCGTGTGAAGCATGCACGAGTAATTTTGTTGATCATCAGAGCTTTCAGCCAAATTCTTTAAAAAATTATTTTTGAGCATTTAACGAATGAGGGTCGCCAAGAGAGTGCTGTCAACAAAGTTTATGTTTGTATGAATTTTGTCCATAAAATTTTATCGAATACCCAATAGAGAAGCATCCCAATACCCATAAAAGCAGTTTTAAGAGAATAGCAGGATCAAAAGTAAAGAATGTCATAAATTCAAACAAGTTTAATTAGCCTAAAAAACAAATTGTGATCCCAACACGCTGATGCGTGGATCTACTTCAAGTGATGCCAAGAAGCATACAAGAATTTTCCCTCTTTGGACTTCTTTTGGGGAGGTTGAGTCAGAGAGTTTAAAAAAGAAAATTTGGAAAAAAAATATCATCTCTGACTAGCACGTGAGTGAGTCAAAACTTTCAAATTTTAAGTTTAAAAAAATCCATAACCTAATTCATACAGGGATTCCTAATTTTAGTAAATTATTTTTTATACTCAAAGAGGAGTGCTCAATGAGCCCAGTGGGCAAAAGTATTATCCCTCCTTAACCCTCTGATTTTTAACAGTGAAAAATCTTGCTTAGTTGAAAAGATTGTTACTGAGGATTAACATCGTAGGATTAATTAATTAAGACATGTTTCCGGTGATAGAGAATTTTTTGCAGTTATCTTTACATCCATCGTTAGATCGTAATACTGTGCCTTGTGCACTTATCATTGCTTCTACACATTCCTTACCAGTTGACTACCAATTAATAATGAACTTATGAAGTTCGACTGTTTGCTGGTGGATCTTAGCACCATGTATGTACTCTCAATGGAGCAATATTGTTACATGACTACTGTGACAGGGAACTCATCAAGCTTCATTTTTTATTATTTCTGTGACTTCATTATACTTTCAGCGACGCTGTGCTGTTTTTTTTTTTTCTCGCATTGTGGCTATTTTGGTTTGTTTTGTTTTGTATCATGGGTTTTTAATCTTTGAACTCAGCTGGTTTGAAAGATTTCACAATTTAATTAATGAGGTTCTGTCTGAAAAAATTTCAATTTTTTTATTATTTTTGTGGCTATAACTTGTAATAATCAGTTTTTATTATCTGGGAAGCTAGTAAATTTGTTCTGCAAGTTAGTTTTTAATTTTGTTCAACAAATTTTGCTGACCTAGGCAAGTTACCAACATGACAGATCTGCCCTTTAACTACTTTTTACTTCTACTTTTGTGCCAATATTTGCTTCGTTTTAAAAGATTTTAAATAATCTTCAGTGTTTTGTTGAAATAGATTGGAAAATTAGGAAAATTCTGTAATTAAAGCTTCGTCAACTGGCTTCTTGGCCTTTTGGGTGCTTCTCAAATCTGCAAAATAACTACTTAATGCAAAAGTCGACTGAAATTTCCTCTAGTATGTTCTAACCTTTACTACGCACATATTCATGATATGAGCCTTTTCCTAGTCCCCAGTTATGCATTTAGAAAACTCTGTTCATCTGGCAGGGTAGCTCATCTCTCATTGCATCAATTGAATTGTGTGATCTTATTCCGGAAAACGTTTTTGTCTGACTATAATTTCATATCAAATCTGCTGAGTGGCCCTTAAGGTATTGTTTTTCTTTTTCTCTTTTTCTTTTTTTTTAAATTTGGAGGTGTAGTTTCATTGAAAATGAAAAAGAGTTATTTACTAATTGTTTTAAGTTCTCTTGAAACCACAAAAGAAATCACTATAATTACTGAAAAATATCCTAAAAAGCTTGTAAAAGTATTATTACATGTATTTTTCCAGCATGGTGCATATCTTATTGCATTTTTTTTTTTTTTTTTAACAGTATCCAATAAGTATGAAGATTAGCGCTCATAGACTCCTCACGGTGTTGAACCCTCTTTAGCAATATCATTCCTCTCTAAAGGTGTTAATCTCCAGCCATATGATGGTTATTTCTTTTTACGATAGAAGATCCAAACCTTCATTTTCTTTCTTAACCTAGTCATCTTTATCTTATTATTTTGCTTCTCTCTCTTTTCATTTTCATTCTTATTTAAGTTTTCTTTTTGTCTTATATCGGCTACTTTCTGTGTATTTCTACAATTTTTGTATCTTAAGTTAATTTATGTTAAAACATTTAAGATGGGGTAGTTTATCGATTTTACCTTGCGTCTTATTCATTTCATTTTATTTATTAATTTCTGCTTGTCGTCTGTTTATTTTTCTGCTTGACTTGGAAAAAAGGGAAAAAGATTGAAAGAATGACAAAATGGAACACATTTTCTTATTTGTAACCAAGATAACACCTAAAATTTAAGGAAAGCAGCATCAAAAACCATAAACTTCTACCCATGAATTCGCTCCATGGAGCCAATGCTTCGATAATTTAAGAAACTGAATATCTCATCCCCTCATTTTGGCATTCTGTCATGTATTTATAACTTGTGAGGTTCATCTGGGAAGAGAGGATCTTCTCTATTTTTTGGCCCCTAGTTTTTATTAGGTCTTGCACATGAGTTCAAATGTGAACAGAAAAAAAAAATTAATTTATATGGGCAAAATACACCAGACATCATTTTGAAGTCATTAGTTAGTTCTTCAACTTTGCTGAATGTTGCAGTCTATATTTTGTAATCTACATTGGAAATTGACTTTCAATCTCTAGGTTTTGAAACTGAAGTTCTCTCTCCTCGCTCCCTCTAAAAATGAAGAAATAAGTAAACAAATTAAAGGGAAAATTATATTGTTTGCAAAATTATATTGACATTGAGACGTAGAGCCAAGAATCATGTGGGTACAATGAATAATGATCGATCAATGATTTTTGACTCATCAGATATATTCGTTGCTCTTCTGACATGAGGACATATCTTGATTTCCACATGAGCCTTAGAGTGAATGGAGTTATATAGACAACAGGGCTCATGCAAAAAAATCGAGGTATGCCCTTACATCAGTGGAGCGGCATTATGTTGTAGATGTAACAGAAATGTCTTGTCAACTGTTTGAAAGTATCCACCTGTGATGTAATTCATCAAACGATTGTTTCTTCGATAAATTGCACCAAAAATAATTGTATTTCAATGAATGAAGATAAATTTATCGTCAGTTAAAAACTGATACATTGCTTTGAAGCAATCATTGTACTATGTTCTGTTTGTGTGATTATGACTTAATTTTATTTTTTTTATCTTGTTGATTATTGCTGTCAAACATTTTATTTTTGTATGTTAAAGATGAATGTGAATGGATGTTATCATGAAACAGTCATTTTTACAGAGCACTGATTTTGGCGTGAATCATGTCTGTATGTATTAATCTAGAAAATGCAATGGAGGGACATACATTTTCAACTGAAACACTATATCCTTTATTCCTGTTACTTACGAGTTTTATTGATTTTGGCGGTCAAGATTTATCTTGAATTTGCCTAAGTAAACGAAAACCTAGTGCTTGGTGACAATAGTTGTTTTGTGAAAGTGCATTTTCTAATAGAGGCAAAAGAATTTGCTTCAAAATCCATCTCATCGGGTACGGTCAATCATTGAGGCGTTAAGTAAAACTCCATTCAATAGAATACTCCATCATACTGTGCTCATCCTCCCATAATAATCAAATGTACAGAGTTGATGGGAGAAAAAGGATACATACCGATTTTTTTGAGAGGAGAGGAAGTGCGTCAGGTCTATTTTTAATAATAGCTATAAAAGATGTAGCAAGGCTCTTTCTCTTCTATTCTCCCTCTGGAATGATCTGTGGAATTATTCTTTTGAAGGAGGCATTTTATTTAGGAAGCAAAAAAATGAACCCAATTCTGCTCAAAAACACTAGCTTTTATGGCAAAACGTCAGTTTCTCTCGGTAAATTTTTTTGTGTTGCTCCAATTTTCGGTAATTGGTGAGATTTGCAAATGTAGTTAAAGTTTTTCTTGAAAATTTTTAAGCTCGTGTTGTTGAACCATAAACATACAGGAGAAGCAATTGGAGCTGGAAATAGAGCCGCACTCATTAAGTTGGTGCCTTGCATTGAAAAAAAAAATCAATACATTGAACCCTTGTGGTTAATGGTATCGTAGCAAAAAGAAAACCACTTTGAAATTTGAAAAAATTGAAAATGGTTACCAAGTTTTCACTTAGCTCAAGTCTGAAACGTTGTAGGTAGTCCCGGATTTTTTAAAATTTTGTCGTACTGTCCCAAGATTTGCAATTGTAATGACCATAATATATCAGCTTAAAATAAGTATTAAAGACAAAATGATTTTTACAATGTCTCTTCTGTCATCTCATTTGATGAATGTCTGTAAGCTCTCCCCAGTTTTAATGAATTTGGAAGAATGAGCATCTTTTAATTACCATTTTAAGTAAAAATCTACCGGTAATTTACAAAATAGCATTTTCTGGGCTTTGGTAGATCAATTTTTCCAGAACTTCCCAAAACCAAATGCGTCATTTTTGGGCTCCTTCTCTGATTACAGGAAGGCACAATGCGGCTTAGCTGCTTCAGTTCAGATGTTTGTACTCTATTTTCTTCTTTGTCTCAAATTTTTCCTCCTCTTGGAGTGTAAAATATTGTGCCGATTAATATCTGGAACTTTTTTTTTTAGAAGGGTGGTCTCTTTCTCGAAAAATAGTCTTACAAATTTTGATAATGTGAAGAGTGTGCTGGCTGGACAGTAGTGATGTGGTATAAATATTTTCGACAGCTTCTCTCTCTTTCTCTCTCTCTCTCTCTTTGAAACTAAATGTATAAATGAAATAAAGGATTAGGGTAGAGAGCAAGCAAGCAAGCTGCTTCCTCTTCCCCTTAAATGTCATTTCAACAGGGTGATTCTGAAGTCCTACACCACCCCTACAACCCTTAGCGCCCTTTCCCGTTTTTAGAGTAGTCCCTTGGAAGTGTTGGGGATCCTTAAAAATTGGTTCCTTTTTCCTGAGAGCTCTCACAAAATTTCAAGTCTGCATCTCAATTAGATCAGAAGTTACAGGGGCTGCTGTCGGTGGTGCAGGAATTTTTGATCACCCTGTATACTGTAGGGAGCAAGCAAAGGAGAGGATTTCACATGATGGTATACGTGATGATAATTCTTGTTAAGAATAATTATTAATAGCAGGGTTGCAATAACTTCCTCATCACGCGACCAAGTAGGTTCAAAATTGACCCCGTTCTGAAAGAGGAAGGCTCCAAAAATGGTCAAAACCACAATTTTTTCATGAGAAGCACAGCGATTTATACTTACAGAGCCATGGAAAAGTAATCACCTAGATATTTCTCTGGGAAAGAGAATTTTTAAATGGGGAAGACCATGAACTCTCTGCATCCATGTGTAATTGTACCTAATAGTGATGCGCATAATGTATCAGTGATAGAAAGTTTTGAAGAATGTTCATAATATGGTTAAGACTATCATATATTGACTCTCTAGACACTTTTTTGTACTATAATTTAGTATTGACTCTGATGGTATGCATGGGTATGAAAAAATGAAGCACTGGGAATGTAAAATCCATTGTAGTTTGCAGTTAGATATCCGTGTCCTATCAGCTTTAATATATAAATTCTATCCATCAATTTCCATTGTTCATTTTCATCTATAATTCAGATTATCTTTTAGATTTCAGCGGTTCTTTTTAGACCATCTGCAATAACGTATTGGTTCTTTCATAGAAAGGAACACTGTAATATGGGAGAAAATCTGTAATACCCCTGCTTAGTCCGGATCAACTGTTTTGTTACTGCACAATTTATTTTGAATAACAGTCAATCCTTATATGTACATTTACATAGTGATATGTTCTTTTGTAGTATATCTGCAACTTAAACATCGATGGCCAAAATGCAAAACGACGTATCTCCGTTTGGAACGTTGGAAACTTCCTATCATGCCTCATTTTTTCTTTGGAAAACTAGTTAATGTAATTTCTTGAAAACTTTGTTGATTTTCCTTCTTTGTCAGAAGAATATTTTTTGTAAATTTCAAGCTGTAAAGTTGGCATGTTTCTCTTTGAAAAAATAAAATAGCAGCAGATATTTTGTAACACCGCAAATGAGAAACATGGTTTTGCATTTGAACACTGGATATCTCAGGTGGCTCCACTTTACTTAAAACCACTGAGATTATGATGGTCCAGTTTTCATCTTGGCTTTTAGTCATAATTTTTTCATCTTGTGATTATTGACTTACTTCAAAATTAAATTTTCCAAGAATCACTGTAAAAACGTCACATAAAGTAATGAAAAACTAAAAAATCTCTATCATTGCAAAGTCACTATTACCCACTCATCAATCCCTTATGTCTATCCTATGAAGTTCTCAAGAATTTAGAATTCATTCAATATAAAATAGAAATAGTTTCAATCAACTAATTGACATAACTTCAATATCCCTTTATACATCTCAAGTTGACACTACTTCTCCATTATAATTTTAAAGATCTGATAAATTAGAGGCGAAGTTGCTGCATAAATACATTAAAACGGATTTTAAATCTGACGTTGTTATCCGTGGAAAATTGATGAGCATCTGTAGTTAGCAGTAGAATTATCTGTAACTGTAATTGTAAAAGCGTAGTGTTTCAAAGCTTTTCAAGTGCAGTCTTCGTAAATGCATTTCATTTATTGTTTTCTTTTCTCTCCTGAAACTTCCTAAGTTTCAGCTACCGTGACCCCCCCTCCCCCCCTCCAGTTAAAGATAGCAAAACTCTTTCCATTTTCTTTTATTATTCCTCTGTTTTTAATTTGATACTTATTTGTAATTCAATAGATTTCTATCATTAACGAAGCCATATACTTCCAAATTAATTTTTTATTTTAATACATGTAAATAGTTTTTAATATAGCTATGCATATTCTGTATATAACAACTGTAGTTACAATTGGTAGGTGTACGTATTTGTTTGTACATTTATTAGAGAATGAATCATGTTATTCAACTGTATACTGAATTGTTATGAGTTATTATTATTAACAAACAAAAAATTAAAAAGGAAACAAATGAAACTGTGATTTATCTCTTCTTAGATTATTCCTCCTTCTAATTATTCTATGCAGTTTGGGCTGCAAAAATTTAAGAAAAAAAGGTAAATAATCAAGCTAACTTGGTTAAAAGTAGCAAGTTTTAGCGCAGGTTTGCACTTATAGTTTTATGAATAACCTGAGTTTTCTTCATCAGAAATATGAACTCGAATTATCATTTTATTTTAGCAACAGGCTGATGTTATTTCTTTCAAATGTACTTCTTATACCTGTGTATAATAATTCCCGAATACTTGAACAGATTCTGGCACGAGGCTACCGTACATTAAAGTAATACCTTAAAGATTTATCGAAATTCAGCTTTATCTTCAATGCAATTTTAGCTATTTGTAGTAACATAAAAATGTAAGTATCTACATAGATACGCATTGTTTTGTTGAGACGGATATCATCAGTCCAACAAAGAAACTAGGTAGAGAAAGTGAGTAAAAAAGTAGTTAAAATTAAACAATGAAACCTGATACAGTGAAATACAGTTGATACATGAGGATGTGGGAGCTTATTAGTAACCGTATCAATCGGACAACAAAACTAATTCACTATGTATCTATTGCAAATGATAATAATGGAAGAAAAATCAGGAAAAATAAAATTCTATGCCGCCATTAAGTAATCTAAACAGGAGCACAAACTAAAATAAAAATTTGCACTTCTAGTAGTTTAACTAAAAAAGTAAGGAGAATGGTTAGAAGAAAAGCAGAGTATAAGATTCGTTACTGAAGAAAATCTGGCTGGAAAAAAAAGGAAGGAAGAAACTTGCTATTCCGACCCTCTGCAGTAAACTCAACTAGCTCTTCAAAATCCTGAAGTGGTTTGTTCGAATATTTTGCCAACATATCTGCAACTTCCCGATGTTTTTCATCGTCTGAAATTAAATTTGAATCAGCACTATTTGCAACAATCTCGAAAAAGAAAACCGTCTTTAATCACTACGTAGTTAGCCCTCTCATTACCAGGTTAGATTCTGGGCATGCCAACTCCACAACAGAAATTAATTATCATGCAAACAAGAATTGATTTGTCCCAATGAGTGACAATATTTTTCTTGTTGAATAAGACGAAAAATAGAATGATGTACTCCTGAATGAATCATGAAAAAATGTTGTATGTAGCTTCAAACAGAGCTGTTTTCATACCTCTCTGTTGTTTCCTCAACGAAATTCTAACAGTCCTCTTGAAGCAAAAAATAATTTCATAAAAAATTCGACTTTGATGGTTTGGAGAGTAGAACATAGTGTTGTAATGATGAGTTTGTATTATGAAATAAAACGAATGTATCAAATTTTTTTATAAGTTGGACTTGAAATTTAGTGAAAGTTGGAACTTACTGTAAGCATGTGCTACATCCAAGGGATGAGTTCCATTTCCTGCATCGGGATCAGCACCATGAGACAGAAGCCATTGCGTTAGAAGCACATGACCCTCTTTGGCTGCCACATGTAATGCCGTGTGTCCTCTCTCATTTTGGCTGTTTATATCCATCCCTGAAAGTGCCAAATGGTTCAGTGTGTAACATAGCTTCATGCTCATTTTTATCAAAACAAAATAACAACTTAATTTGAGGAAAAGGCTGCAAAAAAAAACAACAAAGGATAAACAAAAAATCCGGAGGGTTTCAGAATATTAGCACTTCCATTTTCAACCGGAAAAATAAAAATTAAAATGAGCCGTCAATTCTCTGTTATTGCGAGACCAAGACTCTCGGCTGTGAATCTCGGTCTTGCAATAACAGCGAATCGATGGCTCATTTTTATTTTAATTTTTCCGGTTGAAAATGGAAGTGTTAATATTCCGAAACGTTCCGGGTTTTTTGTTTATCCTTTGTTGTTTTTTTGCAGCCTTTTCCTCAAGTTAAGTTGTTATTTTATTTTGTGAATTTTGGCTGATTAAGTTGTTTTCCACTCATTTTTATTCTTTTTTTTTTTAAATAAGTTCCACTTTTAGAAATTTTCTCATTTCCTATCCCCTCTTATATTCTCTTCGATATAATAAAATTCTCAAAATTAATAATTTTGTTTTCTCGCACCGCTTATAATTGACACAATGTTATACATTTACTATTCATTAAAAACTCAAATTAGTCATTGAGACAATTTGAACGCATTTCTGCCAAACAGAACTGTGTGCATTATGACGAGAGCCCTGTCATGCATATATCGTCACCTTCCCGGCAAAGTATCACAAGCGCCATTTTTACCGAAATTGAGTTATGAATAGTTCCGAAATAACGAGATGCATTTACATACGAAAATAATCATTTTTTTTACAACAAATATGTAGAAATATGAATAAAAGTCGATTAAAGTTGATGTACTTTCGTATCACAAGCGCCATTTGGGAGAAAAGTATCACAAGCGCCAAGTTCGGCAACCGTCTACCTTTCTGATTGTTTTACAATTTTTGTCACGGCAGTCTTCGGAATGACTTGAAACTAAATTATTTTCGCATGTAATTACATCTCGTTATTTCGAATATAATATTTTTTTTAGACTAAATATAAATAAATATTTAAAATACTCCATTGAAGTTGACGAACTTTCGTATCACAAGCGCCATGTAAGAGAAAAGTATCACAAGCGCCAAGTTGGGAATAATCGCTCATCTTAGAGATTGATTTTCGATATTAGTATCAACAACTTTTGGAATGACTTGGAGCGATTCGTCACTTTTCGGCCGAAGTATCACAAGCGCTATTTTTATTAAAGTTGAGTTATGGGTAGTTTTGAATTAATAAGATGCATTTACATACGAAAATAATATTTTTTTTAGATTAAAAATGAAGAAATATGGAAAAAACTCCGTTAAATTTGATGGGCTTTCGTATCACAAGCGCCAATAGATTCTCAGAGTGCCCCGAGAAGCCGATATCACAAGCGCCAATTTTCAAAGAAAAACCCGTTTTTTTAAAGAAATTTTATTAAAATTCGAAGCAGGGAGGTGTGCTGGATCTATATTTCAAGTTTCAAGCCAAACATCCGTCTTTTACGGTCGCAATTCAGTTTTTTGTGTCTCTTGAAAAGTTGGCAAAGTGGCCAAGTGGCTTGTGATACTTTGCCGGGAAGGTGACGATATTCTTATAGGTCTGAGGCCTGGGTCTCAATGCACATCGTTCTGTTTGCAATTTCAATGAAATGAACTTTTCAAATAATACAGACATCATGAGAGTCCATCTAAGTAAGTGAAAGGTTATAACATAAGTAAATAAATTAATAGACAATGGATGATTACTCTTAATATGTAAATGAGAATAGGTTTAACAAAACTTGCTACTCTTTGACGTTTTTAAAAAGGAAACAAACATCGGTCATCTCACTCCTTCTCTGAGCGTCACAGTAGGTTGGTGGAAAGAGCCACTGAGGGAGAGATCAGAAGACTCTAAAACGCGTTTGGTTTCTTTAAAAATATTAAAACGAGTCTTGTGAAAGGTAACCACTAAAATCAATCAGAAATTCAAAGTGAAAGGAAGTATGAAAAGAGAAGAGAGAGAGAGAAAAAATCATGGAAAATTAAATTACTGCATACCTGCATTTAAAAGAGCACTCAAAATGTCAGGGTTCCAATCATCCATCTTCTTTTTTGACTGTTTGTAAGCTGCCAAAAAGAAGGCATTGTCACCATTTATATTTGTCATGCCGATGTCCACGCCTGAAAATGTGTGAATGTTATTAGATTGGTTACAAAGCTTGAAAGTATAATTTCTGTAAACTAGAAATTTCAAAGTGGGGATGGGATATTGATCACTTTTCCAGTAGAAACCTACCTACTTAGGTTTAAACAGGAATTTTGCGAACTGAATGTGATATCCAGGTATTATAGCACGAGCATGGGTTGATTTTTTTATTGGGGTATCATTGAATGTGCTATGGAGTTGAAAGATTAGGATTTAATGATAAAGTTGGCTATTTTTCATGCCTTCATTCAAACTGGACATTTTTTTGGGTATTTGAATTTTTTGAAAGTTTCATTTGAAAAGAAGGCAGGGAAATCGGAACCGGCTAAGTCATTTTCACAGTCATGAAGTGGATTACTAATAATAATTTTCTTTTTAGTTAGGTCTTTTTTATCAGTAGACTTGAGGTTTCATGGGAGAAAAAAAGACTTTATCCAATTAAGAAGATGGATCTGCTACCCTTCCCCATCAAATTTCATTCACTTCTTTGAAAGTAATGCCTATGCACTTAGAATATTAGTCCTCATGGGAATCATGGGACAGCAATTGTTGACAATTTTTCTGTGATCCACTCAAGAAATTTTGAGTGGTTCTATGTTTTCATTTCTGTTTTTAAACAAACAAATTAACACACTGCCTACTTTTCGTACAGAAGTTCATTTTCTTTACAAAATGAATGCAGCAAACCCTTTTTTAAATTAGATACATATTTAAATGAAAAACTGAACAGATTATTAACTGTTTTTAAAACTCTTACCTTGTTGGATCATAAATTTTACCAAATCTGTATTCCCTGCCCAGCATGCTCTCTGTAAAACAAAAAATTCAAAATTTAATTTTTAATGAGGGGCAAATTTTTGCATGGCTGAAAAATAATTGATGAGTGAATGAGAGAAGGGTCAAATCATGTGCAAAGGACGAGCCAATGAGTTCTTAATGAAGATCTAGAATGTTACAAACACAAGCTGTGTTAATATCTGTCCTTTGCATCAAAAGTTAGCTCTTAAGAAATGGATTAAAATATACCACAAGGTATGGGTACCTGCGTAAGTGGCGCATTAGTTAAAACCAGTACTGAAAAGTTGGAAATAACTTACAAGAAATGGAGTGAAGTCATACGGTCTCATGGAAGAATTTATCATTTCAGGATACTGTTGCAAAATGGATTTACAAATTTGATGCTCCTCCTGATTATCATTCTGGTTGCAAAATCAAAAGTATGAGTAAAAATTTAAACAGTGTATGATGCTCATATACAGAAAGGACAAAAAAAAACCACTAAAAATAGGTGAAATTCACCCACTTAAAAGTACTCATCGTAGGTATTCTGTGTTTTTTACACAATGAAATATCTTAAAATGAAGAAAAATACCTAGTAATAAAAAAAAAAAAAAAACTTCTTGAATAAGAATTTAAAGAAAGGTCATTTACTAGTTAGTGAGTTTATTTCAACATTTTTAGAATTGAAAACCTTCAGTTACTATTTTAAGAGTTTTTAACTTCTTTAGTTAAACAATACCTCTCATAAATTTCATTCATAAAAATATCCACATAGGGTTCCCTAAAACGAAGATTATAACAGTTTTTTAAGAGTTGTCTTCTTGATTTGTACGATTTTTTTTTAAAATTTTCTAGAACAGTTGCTGCCACTAAAGTAGTAGGTGTCTAATACTACAATTCCTACACTCAGCATTTCAGTTTTCAGAAAATACCTTATTTTTAAAAGGACAAGGAAGAATGGAGCAAACTTTTGCGCAGTATGATGATTATGTAGTCTTCTTTATAAAGGGTGATAGGAAATCTTCCATTTTTTCAAAAATAATACAGGTTTTAAAAATTTTACAGCTGATAAGTGTCTATACTCACTTGTGCTGCTGAGTGGACTGTTTTGAGTAGTTGATGATATTCGGGAGTTCCTCTTCGCAGCCTCTTTTCTGAAATAGAAGGGAAAAAAAATAGAAAATTCATCAAGATCAGTAAATCTGTTACCCAAAATATCGATGGCCAAAGTGCAAAAGAATGTATCTCATTTTCGACGTTTCAAACTTCCTGTCATCAACTTTATTTTTTATATTGGAAAACTACCCACCCAGGTAGCAAGGTCTGCTATAAAATAATTTTTATTATATCTTCGAAATAACAGTTTTATTGCTATTAAATGAGAGTTTTAATTCCTATTAATATATTATAAAAAAACAATTTATATCGGTTGAAAAGATCGATTAAAGTACTCCCCAGTTACAACAGTTTCAGGCGCTATATTCCTATTTTATGAAGTTAAAAATAACAGTTTAAAATAATTTAATGACATAAATCAACAATGATTAAAGTAGTGAAAAACAAATTTCATTTGGAAAATTTACTGGTGTAAAGCGACACTTGTCTTAAAATAAAAATAAAAAATTTAAATGTTGAATACGAGTTTTGAATTATTCTTGTAAAGTATTAAAAAAAACTTAAAATATCCATAGAAAAACTAATTTCTAATAATAGAACGACTCGTAAAATTGTAGTTTTATTGAAAATTAACAGTGTCAATATATGAAATTTTATTCGTTTTTAATATTTTGTTAAACTGTTATTTTTTGGTTTTAAAAGATCAATTATAGAACTCCCCAGTTTCAGGCCTCATATTTCTATTTTGAACACCGATGACGGTGAGCACCGATACTTCCTCTAAGGAGGAGCAACAAAGACTATGCAGCAGGGATGTGACTACACTCGACACACCACACTACAATCAACGCTATAGATAGGCCCATGCCCTGTCTAGGCACAGTTAACCACAGGGGGGTCATCAAAAATGTGAGAAGAAAATCCACTCATATGCACCGAACAAAGCAAACATAGAAGCCGTCGATAAAAAAACGTATGTCGTAGAATATAAATAATATATTTTATGTTTTCACTACACACAAAGGTTAGACAGGCACCATAAACGACCCATCCAAAAACAAAATAAATCGGAGCTCTCTATCGGAAATAAAAGGAAACACCCTGATTACAATAAAACAATCGGAAATTAAAATCGGTATTTAAAAAAATAATGTGATACTAATTTATATTTCACAACTGTTTAAAATAAAATGTTTTGCAGAAAAACTGCAATAAATCAGATATTTAAACTGTCATTTTATCACTATCACTTGTATCTTTTTATCGATTTAAATTATATTTTCCTTGTTAGTGATAAATAGTTATCAAAGTTTTTTATAAGGATTCTTTTTCGACAAAAATTAAAGCTACACCGGTTTTCAGGAAACAATGATTTAAAAATAGTTTCTCACCAATATTGTTTAATAAATAATGTAATAATAATTAATATTTCATGGTTATTTATAAGAATGTGTTTTGCAAAAATATGGCAACAAATGAGATATTTAAATTTGTTTTTTATTGTCTTTTTTTTATCTTTTTATTGATTTAGATTAAATTTTTCTCATTAGTACAGTATAATACTTTATGTTTTGTAAAATAGCTTTTTTAAAACAAAATGGTCTACTTCTGTGTTTTATGAAATCAACTTTAAAAAAAAATAAATTAGAATAATTTTTTTAACTTTTTTTAGTTATTAAAATGTTAATCTACTTTCCTTTCTTTAAAAAAGTTTTGTTAAGTAAGTGATTTTGAGTGAGAATTTTAAACCGTCGTTTTATTTCAAATCTAAGTATGTTTTTATTGCAATAATAGTTTCCTTTTCGATCGGTGTATAACACTAGTTAAATTTGTGTTATATTTTCAGAAAACATGACTAAATTATAAATTTTCCACTGGTATTTTTTAAGTATGTAAGAAAAATTTTTCAGTGATTATAGTCGCAAAGGACTTCTCTTTTCCGTTGGTTTTTCAACTGTTGTACTAGAGCAAATTTTTCGATGAAAAAGTGCACAAAAGTAACAGTGTAAAAACTGTTGTGAAATTGCAATTTTGAACTGTTACTATTGCTACCTGGGCAGTCAACTTAATTTCTTGAACAATGCCTTGATATTTCTCCTTTATCAGCACCTAGAATATATTCCATAGCAATCTTAAGCTAGGAATAGTTGACTTGTTCTCTTCAAAAAAATGAAAAAGGAGCATAGATTTTGAAACATTGCACTGGAGATACGTGATTTCGCATTTTAGTCATCTATATACCATCTTGTTAAATAGGTAGAAATTTTTGGGACGGTCAAGAATTTTATTTTAGCTTCTCTTTTCTTTTGAATTCCCCCCTTCCTTTTAATATTCAGTATCTGTAAATGAAAGACGGTAATTTGTGGTTGAAGAAATCATTTTCCCCCCATTTTTGATGGTAAAGGGGGAAGGAGAGGAGAAATCCATGATGTTCAATTTTTTGCAAGGATGCTTTTTAGTGTTGGATAATGAAGAGACCAAAAAATTCGATCCAGAAATATTTTGAACATATTTTGCAGAGGTTCAAAGAATGATTGAACCTAATAATCAGTATCACCTACCTTTGTATAAAAATCTGATGGATAGGAAAATAATGTACAAAGTGAAGATGATTGAAAAACTTGAGGACAAGACCAGAATGTGAGAATAATGCCTGGACACAAAACCGAGAATTGTCTCCAAAAGAAACTCTGGATCTGGAAAAATAGAAAAGAATAGATGAAGAAAGTTAAGTTTTGATAAAACCAGGGTGATGAAAGGTTTCATCAGTTATACCTACTTTATTAGGTATTTCACTGAGGCTTTACGGGCTTTGCACATATTGTTAAGGTAGATTGAAAGGAAACATATAAGGTACTTAAACCAAGTGGCTAGAGAGCAAAATAATAATTATTTACTTCGATTAAATGTTTCTTGCACAAAATATTCATTAAAATAATGGTCTATCTTCATGATAAGTATACAGGTAGGTACCTAACTGACTGAAAATTTTTTTATCGCTCAGTCTTGGTCAAATAACTAATTCTCATTATGGCCCTTGAGGTACCTACCTAGAGAAAATGCTCACAGGGGTATATCGCCTCTAATTTTACACAGTTCATTTAGTATATCTACTCAAGTAGACACTTTGAGGCTGAGTAAAATTTCGTGTCAGAGAAAGTTGGTAAAGTACCGAAGAAAAGTTCCTACTTAATAAAAAACCATAAGTATGTGAATATATGAGTGACTTGTCTCACCCCTAAACAAATTAATGTTATTGATAGGGCATTATCGTTCCTCTATGATGTGAGATTATTTGTTACACGCCAATTTACTAGCATTATAATGTGCGTTTGGAAACCTAAGTGCTTACCCCTCAATTTCTGCTCACTCGAGGCCATGAAAGATAGCTCCTGCTGTGTGATATCATTTTCAATCAATTCTTCTTTGACATCACTTTTAAAACTAGAAATTTGCTTTAAAAAATCCATAAGTACTTTATGGAATGAGACATTCACGTGTATTTTAAAGAGTGAGTTACCTACGTATTATTGAAAGAGAGATCAACAAAAAATTTAACCTGAAGTTCGGAGCGAAAAAAGAGCGACGATTCAAAACTTGCTCCCAAAATTCAACCGTTGGCGGTTGTTGAATGGTGGGGGTGGTTAGTCGCCGATCAGCTGATCGCACATTCGTCCTTTCTTTCCTCTTTCCTCTTATCTTATCACAATTCGTAAAGGTCTAAGGTGGACGATCCTGACGATCCTAGATACGTACCTATTTTTTGAATACTTTGCTAAGAAACTTTTAAAAGGTTGTGCACATTACAATTTATTGTGTTTACATACCCAGTGTTTTCCTCTCAAATTAATTATGGATACGTTTCATCCCATCCGGTGACACGACATATTATGCAAGACGTCGAAGATAGCTAGTTTTGCGATTTCTTATCATTCACCGCGACGTAAACTTCAAGTTGACGCTCAACCTCACGTCCAATTGACACTTGTTAATAGATGAAGTATGTCTCATCATCTGTCAGTCAGCGTTGATCGTATACCCTGTGCTTACATCGAGAACAATGACATCTCTCAATAATGGACGTTACGAAGTTCCTTCGACTTTCGATAGTGAAAACGGTGATGAAAACGAACTATTGAAAGTTAGTTTAGAAGGTGATAAAGTTACAGAGTTTAAGTTCGGCCGTCTATCTTTGACAGAAACAAATAGTCTGCCAGTTTGCAATACTGATGAACTCCGCCGATACAGTGTATCCAATGTTGAAACCAGCCATTGCACCTATCCATCTCATTCGGACGGACCTATTGAAGAACTAAGGCCGGAAGAAATCAGATGGTTTTACAAAAATTGTGACTCTAAAAGATGGATTGAATTTTGCGGATATGACTCCTTGCAACTTGAGGCTGCCTACCGGAATCTGCCCAGAACGTCACCGGTCAAAACGAACGGACAAGGCTGTCTCCCGAAGAGTTTCTCTGATGATGCATTACGCTCAAGTTTTAGCAATGGAACAGATAGACTTGGATGCAGTGTTGGGAAATTGTCTAGTAGGCCATTCAAAATTGTTGTTAGAGGTGGACTGTATGAAGTTGATCTGATATCAAAAAGAGGAGAATCCATCTACTGGTCAGGTGAGTAAGCTTCTTCAGTAATCAGCATAGGATTCAGTAATCTATTTCTGTCTGTTAAGTACCATGCAGTGCGTGTGGCAAATGCTTGAATTAATGAACTATGCCTTCCAACGGCAAGAAAGTCTTAATTCACTTTTTGATGCTCACAAATTAGATTCAAGTGGTGCATGGAATATATTTTACGACTAAGTTTAATTCATATCATTAATATCTCAATTTTTCAAAAACTGCATTTGCGCGCCCTATCCTCCAAGCCCCTCGGTATGTTCAGAATTTTGCGAGCTTCATCCCCTCCTAACACTCTTGTGATGTAGGTCCCTGTTCTTTAATATGGATAAAAAGAATGGTGCACTGCTTTCCTGCGGGGCGATTATTGAAATGATAACGACTCTATGTCGCCGCTTTGTCGTGTCACGCAAGCGACTGAGTGGCACTCAGTCAATTGTGCGACACGACAAAGCGGCGACATAGAGTTGATGTCATTTCAATAATCGCTCCGCAGAACCACTCATCCTCCCTAGAACATCAATTATTGTATGAGCGAGTCAACTGATCAGTTTCCTGTCAGCACCATCGAACATTTTAATCTGTGATTTCAGACAGCACTATTGGTTAGTGATAATGTAGGTAAGACTTGACTCTCATCTGAACTTACGATGAATGAGCTTTATTTGATCCTATTATGCGAAGGATCAATGGAAATCCCGAAGCATGAATGAATACGCAAGCACTAACTCGAAAAACTTAGCACCACTTCCACTTCTCCAGGCAAAAGGGATCCCTCAGCAAGTCTGTTGCGGTGTACATGAGAGCAATAACTGGTATGAATTTCAAAGTGCATAGGAACTTTTGCAAGTTGCGAACCTCGGTTCATACCCTAATAGAGTTGCTACAATCTTCTTTAACACGGTAGAAATTCTGTTACATCCATTTAAAAGTAGCTTCTAATTGATACTCCATATTATTTCCTCAGCCCTAGTTTTATATCTTTTCTCACATCTTTTTAATTGAAACAGCAAGGCCAAAATTTGATATTCGAGTCGGCTCCCCCTTTTACCTGAGAAACCCATTCATAGTACACCTTTTCAGTCCTCTTCTATCTTTGATAACTGTAAGTAAGCTAAGTTCATTCTGCTGTATCTTACCGGCTCAAAATAATGCAAAAGCTGGGTTGTTTTTCGAAGTGCAAAAGTCTTCGAATGAGAATAATAGCGAAACATGCAGGAATGAACCATCCAGTTTTTTTCACTATTCTCTTTCAAATTTTCAGGGGAAAATTTTTTAATCATCCGAGGCTCCTGGTTGTATGAAAATGGACAGCCCCTGGATGAGCATGATGCAGATATCATTGAATCAGTTCATCTCAAACTTTTTGGTGGGCGCAAATCATCTGAATATTTGGCTGATGCAAAGGCTCCAAAATCAGGTACGTTAAATATTATGCGGTACTTTTGTTGAGAGTATGAGAGTCCTTTTAATTTAGTATTATCTTTTTATAAAGCCTCAAACCTCCATAGGGCCATTTTCTCAAGTAGCCCAGAAGGAGTGTTTAATGCTTGAATCGTACCAATTTTGTCTTGGTGCAATTTGAGGCCATTTCGAGGTTTAAAGCTCTTCAGCTGTGTAGGCTTTTTTGTGTTCAAAAATAAACCCAACTACCTATATTCTTCAAATTCTCTAGGAGTGTTCTTGAATGAATGAAAAAAATTAGCAGATAAATTTTTTTAAAAAAAAAAAAAACCAAAAAAACTTTTGGCCAGTCTTTTAAAGAAAGTAAAACATGGGGGGCAACTTGCATTTTCCAACTTCAGTCATTAATTTACTCGAACACACAAGAGCAACTCAGTCACAATGCAAGAGACTAAATGGTAGAATAGTATAGAATGTATTCTTTGATGCTACCTGAAATTCAAGTGATTTTCAAGTTATTACCTACAATTTTATCCCTGTATTTTTTCTTTTTTCAGTATTACACACCGAAACCTTCAACTCATTCAGCGTTGTGTGGTATTCTTCATCTCCGTATGAAGTATATCTGTACAGCCAAGATACCCCATCAAAAATCATGAGATCTTTTACCCAAAAACTAGGAGGTTACTTTCAGAAATGTAAGTCAATACTCATACAATAAGACTTGCCAGCTTACTATCAGTATCAATTCTTGACACCTCTTGCATAAATAGAATGCCACTTTTTTATCTAAAGGACTAAAACTGACCCACTAAAAAATGTGGTTATCTTACCGAGCAGAGAACTCAATTGCTCAAGCAATATGAGCACCAAATGCAGTTTTGAAAACTTATTTCTCTACCAGTTATATGTACTACACAGTTACAAGCAAATGCGTTTGCAACATTTGCCCTATCAAATTACCAAATTCATGAGTAAAATCCCTACATTTTTGCACTGTTCAGCATCCAAAAATGTATAAAATGTCAACAATGATTGGGTAAAGTGGTGACCAGGAGGCAGAAGCCTTCTAGTATCATTAGCAGTCAATGAGTACCAGTAGAGAAGAGTTAATGTTTAAGTGAGAACTGTATGCACAATCATTAATGAGATCCTTACTCCAGCAAACATTTTTTTTTTTTTTACTTTTTTTCTTTAAGGAATCATTCTAATGAGAAATTATACCAAAAAGGATCATTATTAATTCATGGAAAAGTTAAGAAATTTGATGTTAAAACCCTGAAAATTCACGGAAAAGTCGGAAAATCTTGAAATCCAAGAAAATTAATCATTCAAAAAAGAGTGCAGTAGTGTACGTAACGTTCAGAACTTGCACAAGTGTGTACATTACCTCGCAAGATCCAAATGGAACATTTGGACCGTGTTAAACAGAAAGGAACCAAGCCATATCAGCTATCTTCAAACATAATTTGGCAATTTAATATTTTACATTGAAAAGGTTGTGCGGATTTTCGTGCACATTTCAGTGAATTTTCTTCACAGAACGAAGCAAACTCCTTAAAATTTCCAAAGAAATCTGCTCAAACATTCTCTCGTAAAAAATTAAATTACCTAGTTCAATTTGGCAATGGCTGATGTGGCTTGGTCCCTCTCTGTTAAAAGCCGTCCATTTGGTTGCCATCAAGAAGTGATGTTTTCTTTCATCAAGATTAATGTGTCTGCAATTTTATAAACTGCTAATTTCCATTTCAACTTTTATTCATTTTGCTTGTATTCTTATGTTCCAGCAATGGGGTATCGACTGGTACGAGGCTATAAGATCCTCTCGTCTGAAGAAGACAAACCAGCCGATATTAATCATCTAGTGTTCGTGATTCATGGTATTGGGCAAAAAATTGACACCGGGAAGATAATTAGAAACACTTCAAAGTAAGAGCACCAGCCAGAAATTGATACTACTTTTCCTGCTATCATGAGTTACCATCAATAATCCAAGAGATTACAATGTTTTTTCAATGATCAGCTCACAATCAGTGGTAGTTTGACGTGTCCCTCATAGTCAATATTTTCTCTTATTTTCCCAAGTAGAAAAGACTGTACATGCAATTAAAGGCGTTTACATTAATAAAGAGCCAGTATTTCTACTACCAGTATTGTAGTTGCCTGTGCCAAATGAATCAATGAGAATGAAGACACGCCAACTTGGAAAAATGAAAATGATCAGGAGACACAAAAACTGCTCAGTACGTGATGAAGTTTGATTAGTAGAAGCTTTTTGGTGGCATTGTCTAGAGCACCTCTGATCACGTTTTGGGAATTTCGTTTTTCAGGTAGATCAGCAATACTAAACTGTAAAAAAGTGAGAATTGAACAAACCAGATATGGTGTGCTTTCATTCTCACTGGTTCAAATTTGCTGATGAGTTTTATCCTCCAAAAATTTGAACGAAAGGAGGCCCCTATGACTCAGATAGAACAGAAGAGAAATCATTCGAAAGTACATTGCTCTTTTTCTTTTTAATCCTTTTCCTTTTTTTAATTCAGTATCAAGTGGCCACAGGCTTTGATCGTAATCAAAGAACCTTACTGGCGAAGAATCGAAATCTTATGTTTGTCCGTGAGTTAAGACAAAATTGATTTAGCAAAGAGATATGTGATCAGTCGGTTCTATGATTTAAGCTCTACAACCAACGCCGAATGAGGCCGGATAATTTTTTGATTATCCATAACCAAAGAGGTGTATTTTAACGACTTATTTTTTGTATTACTAAAAGTCAGGCCCCTAAACTCCAATAACAGAACCAACCAATCGTACAGTGCCATTTACCTCAGTCTGATTTTTTCAATAGAGGAATAAAAAGTTTCAACAATAAAACAGCACGCCAGTCTATGGTGCGGGCTTATCTGTGAGTTTCTTCCCAATTTTAATTTGAGTATTTTCTTTTTTCGGACAGTCTTAGAGAAAGTGTATTCCGCATCAAAACAAAATATTTTGAAACGGCCAAGCAGCGCGTTGAGTTTTTCCCTGTGGAATGGCGGTCATCTCTTCAGCTTGATGGAGGTTTGTCACTTTTCTCCCACATGTGAACTTTTCCTTCTAAAACAATGGAACCTTTCCAAAAATTTTGTACAACTTGTTATTTTCATTGACAAGACAGGTTGCCACTTTATCCTGGTTTTTTCCCAACATGAACAAAATGAGTCGCTTTCTAGGCTGTCATCAATAAACTAAAAAAACCTAATATTTTCAAGATAACTTCTCCATGTATGGTCACAAATTTCAAACTTAATAAGAATAAAACATCAAGGCTCTAACTGTGTAAGCATGCATTTTATCCTCGTTCCACTCAGTGTACCACAGTTGTTTCTGTTTTTTACTTTCAGATATTGTTGAAGCAATAACACCTTCTAATGTTCTAAACTTACGACAGTTGTTAAATGCATCGGCGATGGACATAATGTATTACACTTCTCCTCTATACAGTGCTGAAATACAACAAGGGTTGACGAAAGAATTAAATAGGCTTTATTCCATGTTTGTTGAACGTAACCCGAACAGTGATGTGAAAGTCTCGGTAGTAGCTCATTCTTTAGGATGTGTCATTGTTTATGATATCATCACAGGTTGGATGCCAAGAGTAAGTAACACCAAAGATTCAACGTCTTTTATCAACCTCTATCCAGCCAATTTATTCGTACTTGACTTCATAAAATTTTGAAATTTTTCAAAATAATTTCAAATTTTTCGAAGTTTCGTAACCTCCCAAGGTATAGATAAACACCAAGCCAACTGAAAGAATAAATAAATAGATAAAATTAGTGCCAATTTTAAAACTTAGAGGGCCTTTACAAACGGTTTTATTATCTAACTATAATCTGACTGTAACATACTTTTGTTTTTTTTTCTTTTTCTTTTTTTTAGAAAAAAAGGATTTTAAGGAAACAGGCAGATGCCCAATAGTGCTTCCTCTAATCAATTTTTTTCATGTTTCTCGACCATTCTCCTGCCATTCATTTTCATTTCTTGAATGTTTTTTTATCACTCTTTCATTTTATTTTCACTTACTTTCATGATTCCTTTATTGCAGTTGTACCAAGAGGATTTTTTAAGCAAAGAAGCCTTGCTAACAGGAAAATCGCGCCTAAAGTTCCAAGTAAGCCATCACCTTTTGCATTTATTATGTTTAATTTTACTGTAGACTTAGGCATCAAATGTTCTGCTTAAACAATTATGAATGAGTTCGTATGTATCAAGTAGCCAGTTTTTTGAATTGAGAGTTCTTATTTTTTTATATTATTTAACTATGGAGTAAAGGAAATGCAAGCAGTAGAATAAAACAGAAGTAGAAGAAGAAAAAAGAGAGCATGATCAACATTTAAACAAAAACAAAGTCAGTTTCCTCTCACTCAGAAGTCACTATTATTCAAAATATTGTTATTATTAAAATGGTTTTCTTCATGGTAATTTTTCTAAAATGATTTTCAACCTAATCAATTTCTTGGTTCGTTTAAAAATATAACAGTGAAAAAATCATAAGCTTAATTTTCTCAATGTAACTTTTTTCACTCAGGAGCTAGTTATGTGCTCACCAAGAAACGTAGATCAATTAATGAATTTATTTTTTGCTTTTTCAGCTGGAAAATTTTTTCTGTCTTGGCTCACCGCTCGCAGTTTTTCTTGCCTTACGACTTCCTCAAGGTCATCATGGGAGTCATTTATTTCCTCCATCTCTCTGCCATAGACTTTATAATGTGTTCCATCCATCTGATCCTGTTGCATACAGGTATGACACTCAAGTGTTTTTCCTCTGTCAAATTTCTAAAAGGGAGGGTAAATATGATATAGTGATGTGAAGTACCAATTTCTTCTCTTCTTCTTATTTTTTCTTTCCTATTATATGAAAAGAAGTATGTTGCTCTAAGGTCATGTAGATTAATTTTAAAACCAGAGTAGTTCCCCACTCGACATGAGTAGAATGACAATTTTCATTTAAAATTTCTTCCGTGGAAGTTTCCATTTTAGTCACACTTAAACTCACGATTTCTTGTTAAATCCAGTTGTTTATTTGAAAATGTTTAATGTTTAGCATAGATACTGCTAACGGGTAAAGCTGCTTCCGTAAACATTTTCATCAGTCCCTTGACACTTCTTCGCAACGGAATTTTATTGTCATCACAGCACGTTAGTTCTTAGAGCAACACTCAATGGCAGGGGTACAGAAACTCTCCACCGCGGTCATAAAACTATTCTAGCCATGTGAGGAAATGGGAAGGCCAGGGCGTGTCAGCATGTAAAGTGCATGTACTTTCCAAAATTGCTGCAGTTCCTAACAGTTGAGCAAATGAAAAAAGAGATAAAAAAGAAAGCTATCACTATGAAAATCTTAGGAAGAAAGGGGATTTAAAATGAGCAGGAGCTCTCTGCATTCCTGACCAAGGCTACCAACCAATTCATCAATTCGCTATGCTTTATCCTGAAGTCCCTATTTAAATTTCTTTATTGCTCTCAAGATTTCTTTACTATTTTGAAAGTAAAGGTTGCACTACTTTGTATCTGATTCTCTCCTTTTTTATGCTTTTGTAGGTTAGAGCCTTTAGTTTTAAGAGATTTTTGTAAAATTGAGCCTTACCAAATCCAGCCTTGTAGTGAACAAGTGAATAGCGCTGAAGCAAACTATTTAGAAACTACATCTTCCGAAAATCAGGGGACAAACAAGGATGAAAACCCAGTTGTGTCACCCACTGGGACTCCTCTCAAAGGTATTCTCTACAATTTCATAATTTAGTATTCCTAGAAACTCTTCGTAGTTTTGCAGGATGGACATATATCTGCACTGCTGTGCCAAAAAGAACGCCGTATGAATATTTGAGAGTTACCCAATTTTCTCCAGTAAAATGTCTATTTTTACATTGAATTATAAATGCGTATTTTCTCTTGAAGTTTTCAGATAATTTTGATCTGATTGCGAATAAAATTCTCGGAACAATTGGGGGAAAATATTCACAGAAATCCCTAAAAATTCGTATTTTACCAGAGACAATTTGGTAGTGTCTGAAGGCACTTACAACGTTCTTCCTCAGCAAAGTAGCTCAAAGTTGTATAAACTGAAAACTCCCAAGTTTTCCTGATTTTCTCCTGCTTTTTTAATCAGACTTGCTTTGAAAAATTTGCATTCTATTGACCTGGGAGGTTGTCATATCAGCTGCAATGCGATGGATGCAGGAATGCTTTTGCAAGCTCGCTAGAGCAGGTAGAGCCCATTTCAGATGACTTTGCCCTCTTTGCTGCATGCGTGGAATAGGGAAATTCCCATCCTGCACATACAGCAAAAAAAGCAAAGTTATCTGAAATGGGCTCTAGCATTATCTTTTTTGATCTTAAGGAAGTTAAACTTGCACACATTAATGCAGTTGGCAGTGACACAATCATACCAGAGAGATTGGTCTGTATTCACCCCACAGAGAAAAAAAAACCATCCCCACGTATTCCCTATTATTTCCCAATAATGTGTCTAAAGCAAAACTTGCTTCACCACGTGACATGGCTTCTAAGGAATTGGTCAAAAAGTATCGCTAGTTTTTTCAGAAGCTTTTCCAAATTTACCTCTTCAGACATATATTATCAACATTCTTCCCTTTTTTTCTTTCTTTCAGAACGATCCTGGAAACTTTGGAATTTAGTTCAAGGAAGCTCTAAACCACCTGAAGAAGTAACCTCCCCTCAGCAGCAGGAGTCCCCAATGGAAGGTACGTACATCACCAATGCATAAAAATATCAGTAACAATTGAAGTCATTTCATTCAGGTTTTTGGATCTTCTTTTGTACTGAATAATTAAACAGAACCCTCGTGGGTTTTTTATCCATTAGGGTGGTAAAAAAAATGACTTTTTTAAATATTTTATTACATCCTCCAGATTGCTTCCAAATTCTGCAAAAAATTTATGGAATTTTGAGGGAGCGCAACACTTAAGTCTTACCCTCATGAGGAATACTAAAGAGAAGGAGAGACAACAATAGAGGCTACCATAAAAATTATTCGACTCCAATAATAAGGAATTTTTTTGCATGGTCCTGTTTTAAACCAGTTGAACCTTGTTAGTTTCTAATGACAATTTACAAAAGTTGGGGTGGACGAGTGTAGGAAGAGGGCAGAACCTGAGCTGCTTACGTACTCGTGTTTTTGCTATCCCGGGAGATTCGGGGGATGCTGCATTGTATTATGGGCTCATTTATCGGTTGTAATTTCTTTGAGTATGATGGATAAAATACAATAATTTCACCAAACATGGTGCTGCCAAGCTTTTGTTGCCATACTGTCATGACTCGACTCCTTTGGTCCAAGGAGTGATTTTTAGTTCTTATTTTCTTAAGTTTTTTTTTTTGTTGTTAAAAGTAAGACTTAATCCTTTTTTCTATGAAAAAAGGTAATTTGACCGCATGGTCTGGTCTGTTTCCCTCTGAATTAATGTAATTTTCCATGGTTGAAAGATGGGGCTAGCAAGGAACCTGAAGATTGGCGATGGAGCAGCAAACTTCACTTCCATCCTAAAAGAACCTGATGGAATAAGGACAGCACCAAGGACAAAGGTTTTCAAAAGTCTCCCATAAATAGGACACTCTCATGCTGGAGCCACTGTCTCAATGCCTGAGCTTTACTTATTGCAAAAACACCAATAAGAATTTAAACTGGGAAAGGGTAGGCACATTGAACAACCCCACTAAATTCTGAGTTTTGGAATCAAATTCCACAGTCAAATCTCCCTCTGAGTTTGAGGTCTATTTTAAATTTAAAATATATTTAGTTTCAGGATTGGAGCATCGCTTAGATTTTGCATTGAAAGATAACACAGGCTCTTATCATGCAATACGAAGTTACTGGGCAAGTTTGACTTCTCACACTTCATATTGGACCAGTAATGATGTGGCCTACTTTGTTTTCACAAAAATATTTCCCGATATAAAGCAGTCAAAAGCAACAGCAGAAACAGGGCCTTCCGTTCAAACTGGTAAGGCGTCTTTATATGTATCATTTTTCTCGTGACTTTTTTCATGCAGCAAGTATTGCAGTTCCATACTGCACCATGAGTTCTAGACTGATCTTTATTTTTCAATATTTTTCAAATGAGTAACTTTTCTCTCAGCATTTCAATAGTGCCTTGATTACAAAAATGAAAGGTTTAAAAGGAACTTTTCCGTCTGATATTTTGAGGGTTATTTAACTTGGTTTCCCAGGTCCTTTCTTACTGATATTTTATATTACACCTATCAAGGAACTATTTTGAGTTATGTTGTAAAAAGTAGACAAGGAATTAAAGCCTTTTTCTCCTATCATGGTTTTACCTTTTTACCATTTAAAAATTAACCAACAAACCCCAAATGAAAAATTTGATTCTTTGAAGTTAAAAGTTCTTTTTTAATTTCAATGAATTGAACAGTTTTTATGAGTAGAAGCAAATGAGAGTTTATAAGTTTTTCAAACCAATAAGATAAATATCCCCATCCACAAATATGCTTGCCCAATCTATAAAGTTGTAGTATTAACCAAAATCCCTTGTTGCTTTCGTCTTTACCTTTTTAGGAAGGCCATTCTCAAGAGCTTCACAATCCTAAAAGTTTCATTTAGATACTTTCATCTTACAACACAGTAACTGATTTTCTGCTTTTTCCACGTACTCATCCAAAAAATTGGAGGTTTTGGGGTGTCTTTGTTCATGATCTCTATTAGGAATTGGAGAATCCAGACAAAAATTGCTCCTCTCAATTCTTTGATCCAAACAATTACCCGGCAGCTTCTCAAATTTTTTAACCCCTATCAATCATAGAAAGATAGTCATCGCGTTGTTCTAAGTGGGGCATCAATCTGGGCCTCCTATTACATCGTGCAGTATCCTATACTTTGAAATCTGCTCATACTGAATCCATACACTAATTTAACTTTTTTTCTTTTTCAGATACTGAAATGAACGAGTTCAAGCTGGATGAAGAAAGGTATTTGAATTCAATCATGCACTCTTTTGACTGAGTGAGTAAAATAGTTTAACTCACCTTCATCTTATTCAAAGTCTACAGCTTCACTTTGTTTGAGAAATACCGCACACTTTATTTCAGGTGAATTCAGAAAGGATTTGCTTTTTCAGCACAAGAAGGACTAACCCTCATATATGAAATGATGAAAATTCCTCTCTTTCTTAAAGGGCCCTGCACAAAAAACTAAGGTATTTAGCGCCAGCTGAATTTCATTGTTATTTGATATGATATTGTTTATAAACTCTTGAGCACAATAAGCTTTAAGAATCAAAACTTTTCACGTTCTAATTCAATTGAATGCTGAAAGCTGTCAAAAAGTCTTTGATCAACCAAGGATCAGCTGAATTGGATCAGTAGATAAAGGATAATCAAGGCTTTTCTGCAGTATCTATTTTAGTATATTTCTTTTTCCATGTAATTGAATGTAAAAGAATTAGCATTGATTATTAAGTAAATGGGAAAGCTGGAAGTTTGTTCACTGTATTAATATTAGCTATGTAATTAACAGTCATGCCACGTATGTATTATGTACATTTCTTAAATTTTTCATGCTCTAACTCCAAAAAATTAAAGCCCTCTGCAGAATCATAACAGTCTAAAGGAGTGAAAAGTTGAATTATAACTTTTAATTTTATCCTTTTTAATACCAAAGAGTTGAAGATCTCAAAAAAAGGTTCTTTTGTGGTCCTCAGTATTTCCTCATGTATGTACTGTTAACGCTATTTTAAACTTGCTTTTTGAGAAATTTGTTTATATTGAAAAGTGAAAAGTTATCTTTTTCCTTGTGTCCTATTACAAAATAAATTGAAAAAATTGGTTTCAGCACAAATGAGCAAAGAAGGAAGAAGGATGATTCACTGGGGGATGATGACCTACCTATGTAATTTTTTACGGACTCTTTGGAGACAGATAGAGCGATAGAGTTCAGAGACAGCCATGGGTCACTAAATGAGATATGGCTTAAAGCACACTTTTTATATTTTATTTTCAAAATTTTATGTAAAATGCAACCCTTGCAACAGAAGTTTAGTAATCAACTCTTTAGCAAAATATCAACATATATTCTCAATGCTGATCAAATGGTACACAAATCTTTGAAAACAGCGTCATTTGTATTTTTTCTTTTTTCCATTAACAAAATTTGAATTATCAACGTGTACTTCCGTAGGACGAGATTTCTGAATTTTTCTGTGGTGCCTAGTATTTTCTGTGTAAAATTTTGAAGAGAAAACTTACAACAGGGTGTTTTAGTTCGTGAATTTCTACACCCCATCATGTAGGTAGGTCTCTCTCAGCATAATCACCTGAACCAGTTGTCGAAAGCATTACATTTAAAAATAAATACCAAATTAGACGCTTTTGTTTCTTAAAAAAGTTATTTGATCACCCAATCTGAAACAGCCTATTTCAGTTATGTGCGGAAGTTGGACTATTTAAACTCTTCTCTCATCATTTATGTCCCTATAGGAAGTAAGTCATTGTCAATAATTTTTCAGGTATTAGTCAAAATGTTTTGTTATGAGTACTTTATTTCCTTTTTTTACATTTTATTTTTAAATTATTGAAAAGTTTTAAACTTTTATTCAGTTTTATGGAAAACTATAAACTTATTGCGACGCACATGTTTTTGTTAACTGTGATTTTTTCTTGTTTTTTAATTTGTTGGCCTCAAGGGATGAAACAATTTATTGGAGCAGAGAAAAAATGTATTGGGGCACTTTAGATTTATTCACTTATTTATCTATCAATTTATTATTTATTTAGTTTTAATACTCTTCTGAGGGAGAATGTGATTTTGATCTAGTATTCTAGTGACATTGGCTCAATGAAGAATGTAGTTGTGGCATTGTCTCACATGCAGGTTTTATTTTTCAATTCGTTTTGAATGTGATTGTTTTCTTGAAAGTATCAAGACAGGTGCTTTTAATTAAAAAATTAAGTTTGTGGAAATAAGATTTGTTAATAGCCCACTAGACGAGGTCCAAATTTAAGCATCATGATATAAGTTCTCCCACAAAAATTTCATGAAGAGCAATATTTGTACATCAAAAATTACTGAAATCAACTCGTAACTAAGACATCAAAGTTTTTTTATGCATAAGTTCAAACTTCCTGCTCTTTAAAAAAACCTCAGGTAATCTACTTGAGTTAAATTGCACACTAAATGTTACTGTGATAGTCTTTGCAATATAAAAATATAACAACCTTAAGTTCAGCGCTTTGGCTCAGCTATTGCACATTGTTTACACTTTGGTAGACTCTGGTTTTTTTTATGAGGAAGGAATTCAAATTTTTCAAAATCAGTGTCAATAAATACGCTAATATGTACCATTGTTGGGAGTTAACTTCAGTGATTTTCAGTGCGCAGATCAAGTTCTAGGTGACATTTTGCATTAAAAAGAAATATTTATCAGAATGCTGAAACTCAAACCTTGTCTAGCAATCCATTCGATCTTGGCATTGTTTGAAGAGTCAATACTAATGCCATTGATTGAAATTGTTTTCACCATGTTTCGGCAAGAGCTGTCACGGTAGATTTTCCTTTCATTTCTATATTATTTATTCGTTCATTTTCCTGTGTGTATATTTTTGAAAAATTTAGTCCTCTTATGATTCTACAATGAATATACAGTTGAACTTTTAGTCCCAGCTTTTACTTGTTTCATCTATCTGCGGAAGAATACTTGTTGCTTTATTGCAGTTGTGTCTAATGAATGTGATTCTCTTCCTATTAATTTTTGTTATTTCACCAGAATTCATTCTTTGAATACCCTTTTAACGTTTAGTTCCTTACAATGATTTAAACTGTGAGAAGAGTGTTTAAGGAAAAGCTCACTCCGATTCCTTCTTTAAATGTTGGACTATTGACATCTGATGTGAACAAAAATAAGTCTCCCTCTTTCTCCGAAGATTTTGTCCACAGAATTGATTCCTGACATGAAACTAGAGATTTCCGTTCAAACTAAATTAATTATACTTTTGATTTTAGTTAATAACTAATAAGTATCTCCTTCTCTTTAAAGACAGCAATGAAAAAGAAAATAGGCTGAAATCTTGTAAATTTAGCTTCAACATGTTCAACCAATACCTAAATTTGGCAATATCTTCTAAATATTTTCATTGGCTATTTAAGGATAATTTCCATATGTTTATATGTTTTGCCCACCATATATTTTAGCAGCCTAAAAAAAACTACTGGACCTCTTTTAGTCTAATGACCTAACTACTGGTCAACATTTACTGTGAAACACCAAATACTAAGTACCTATTGAAGTACCTTGAATACAATAACTTTTATTACATTTTAGGAAAGGTACTTGTAAAATTGGTACTTGATTTTTTTCTATTCAGTTTTTATGCTTGAATACTTATTGTAGTAGTGGGTACCTAATTTATGGTAGCTTTTTTACATGCGATTTTTTATTTAAATATCAAATGCCCAAAGTATATAATAATAGGTACCTGTTAAACCTAGAAAGGTAAAATCCTTGCTTTCTGGTCGCATCAAATTCATCGGACTTACTGTGTATTTTTAGTTTGATTCAGTTTACACTAGACGCACAAAATGTGTAGGAAGTATGTAAAACAAAAAATAAATTTTTGACAAACTTAACTCTTTCCCTTAAAAAATTGAACCTAAAGCGCATTATGGGCTGCCCTGAAGTCCATACGCAGAGTTATAGCGCTTCGAGTTTGTGCCGTGAAGTGAATATTGGCTCCAGGGCAGCCCAAAATGCGTCTTCTGTTAAATTCTTCAAGTGAAAGAAGTTAATTTGTCAAAAATTTATTTTACATTTTATGCTTTGATCATTCCCTGTTTTTTTTAAAAAAAAGTTTGGAACACACTCTTCCTGATCATAAGTGTAATCGCCAATAAAGATGCTCTCCTCAATTTTATCTGAACAAGCGTTCATATATTGTTGCTGTGTTTGCTCTCTTCTGAAGTTTTTACGTAGAGTGTCCATGTTCAATTGCCCAGTAGTATGTTATATTTTTATCAAATCCAATGATTTAATCTTCAATCGAAAATGCCATCCCTTATTCTTCAATTTTTCTATTTCAAGTAACAACTTGCCTTCATGTCTCCTTGAGCCACACTCATGAATAATAGTGGAGTCTCTCCTCCCAACAGAAGAAGGTGGAGCACGACTTTGAATTACTCCTAGTTTCTGTCTGTGTATTCTCTCTTGAGTTAAGGATTGAAGGATGTAGAGGTGAATGGATGTATGGGCGAATGTCCAGTGCCATATTTGAACAACTAATCACTCATTTTTAGGAAGGCCCATGAAAAAATAATGAATTTTTGTCCCTCAAAAATATTTTTATAATGTAGGTAGGAAAGTTTTTCTTTTCTTTTAATGACTTTTTTAATAACTATACGGCAGTATCCGAACTTATTACATGAAATGAAGGCAAAAAAAGTCGCACAATTTTATGAAAGGATGGCAAGGGACATCTGCCCTTTCTCCCTGTTTCCTTCAATCAGTTTTACATTTTTGTGTATTTATCCATGCTTATTTTTGGATTTTATTTATCAAAAAAAATGATAAAAAAATTAATTGAAGTAATTATGCTTGTTATTCTTGAAAAAATTTTAAAAAGAAAGAAAAAACACTTGCACGTGTATACAGTCTGCAGACATTTGAATGGATACAGCAGGTTTTGCTTTAAAAATCCTTATTTTTCCATCAATATTTTTAGAGGAGGCAGATGATAAATAAAATATATCGGAGCATTTAATATTATGTAAGAGAACTAATTTTTAAAGAAGGAATATTATTATAGTTTAAGTAAAAGTTGCGAAATTTTAAAATTTATTGATCCCTGTGAACATTTGAAGCACCAGTACAGCAACCATTCATCTCACAAGTTCCTCTCTATACATATTCCCCTATTTTCCAACTTGAACTGCCAAGTCCCTCTCAAGTGATTAGAGCAAGCTTATGCTGGTGCTCTAAAACCTTACCTCCTACCTCCTAACATTTCATAGTGAAATGTAAAAAAATGTTGATCTTAGTCGTTTACTAATTTTTTCACTTTAAATCGTTCATTGGTGGTAGTAATGAACTACATTTTCGAAGTTCATTAAGTATATCAAAGACATTTTGCCAAATTTTTTGTCAACCATAATTAAGCTTTCTGGTTTTAAAGGGTATGTAAGAAATTAAAGTTTTTATCAATCTGTGTTTGTTACTGTGTAATAAAAATGTTGATATCAACTGGCCAGGGAAGTGTCTATAGTTGTTCCCTCCAACTAAAACGCTAATTGTACTAAAAATAACGTTTCCTCTGTTATTATTTTAGAACATCATCGTTCATCATTTGTTTATCTGGGATGTGAAAATTACTCACTATCTTGAGACAATAAATACAGCATCATCAGTATTAACTTCTATGTCTAATTATTTCTACCATCAGGCATTACATTATTTGATTCCTTCCATTTGAAATAATATTTTATTGCATTACACAGCTGTGTTGTATTGAAATTCAATTAATTTTTTTAGTGGTTCTGTGTTGTGCATTTCATCCTTATTTTCAAACATTCACCTATAATTTGTAAGATTATAGAGTAATGTCAAGCGATGAGGCTATAGAAGACCTAAAAAATGATGTCAGCAAGATTTATTTTTAATTTTAAAATCAAGGTTACAATTTTTTTCCTCTATTTTCTCATCTACACTCCCTACTGAATGCCTGCTGTTACTTATTTTATTTTTGACCGTTTTCTTCTTAAAAAGTTCTTAAAAGGATCCTAAAAGTGATCACAAACAGGCTAATAGGAGTATTAGCTCTTTTTCCAAGATTTTTCTTCACAGAGCAGGGAATTTTACTTCGAAAAAAGATACTTACTTTTCAGTAGTACGAAGTAGGAAACACAGAGAAAACATCCTTCATTAACTGGGAGAACCAGATAAAAAACTACCAATCACAGAGAAATAATAACAAGTGACTTGAAGACTAGGAAGTTTAATACAGTAAAATACAGGAAAGAAAAAAAGCAAATGGTAACAGAACACAATAAAAAATGATTGAGAGGCCGTGATCTGTCCAAAAATTATGAGCCAAAACTTATTTTAAAAGTAAACTTTTCGGTGCAGTTAAAACTGTAAAATTTTAAACGGCCAGGGTGGCTCAAAACTGCAGCAGATGCAAGCATTCTCCATTTCACTATCACCTTCTCACCACAGAAAACTATTTTCTTTCACTCGTTTCAAAACTACTTAACAGGGTAATTATGAACAAAAAAGCTTTTTAAAATTGTTCCACATTACTAAAAAGTCTTCAGTTATTGTAGAGCTTATGAACAAAATCATTGAAATTCACAAAAACTGTAGGTATTAAAAACAAATGGGTCCATGATTAATTTTTTAAAAATGGATACAGCTAGGTGTTTAAAAATAAAACCTATCTTAATACTTATTTCAAAATAAACTTAACAATTGTTTTGTGAAAGATAATAACTGTTTAAATCGGGACAATAGAAAATTGCTGTTTAACAGACTCTTTTCCCAAATTTGTTCACTGTTTTTTTATGGAGAAACATATTAGAATACTGAATGCAAGTGACAACATGAGAGATCAAATACCCTAATATTGAGGCAAAAGAGCAAGGTATCGGCCATATTTGCCATGGTCGATCCCAGTCAAGAGGAATTACAAAGGCGCCAAACCAAGCACCAACAAGGACAAATTGAACATTTCTAAATAAGATTTGCTCAAATGCATTCGCTGGATTTGCTGTCAGCAGAAAATTAAACAATGAATCTGGACCAAGATGTAAGCAAATTGGAAGAAATATTAATACAACAATTAAGGAACTGAACATCAAGGTCTCTTCATGCTTCGCTAAAAATTCTGCACCCAAAAGAATAGAAATGGCAAAAAATATTGCCACTGAAAATGCAAGCAAGACGATAGACTTCAAGATTTTCTTTAACTTAACCTGAGAGAGGACTTGACTTGCTGCTAAGTCGTACAGAGTTTTGGATTTATTCCATTTCTTGCTGCCAGAATTTATGAAAGTGGAATTTTGCACCGTGCTGTTTGAATAGATAAATTTTATAATTTCAACACATATTAAGAGTATCAAAAATGGCACAAAATTTGTACTTCCTATTTTCAGATAAAGGTCAGAGAAGTACAGGAAAGTAAGTAATGTGAATAAGAACACCGATGAGTACAAACTGTAGGAAATTATCAATCGATTGGAAATAACCGGCTCCTGAAACGCTCTCATTTTAAGTATTATTTTTCCACTAAGAGAGGACTTACAATTCAAGTTTGGAATTCTGACACTTGGATGAAAGATGGAAGGACAGCCATTAAATGATACAATTTCGCAGCAGTTTTATCAAAGACAGCAGGTTGATGCTACCTTCCTCTTTTGCTCTTCTTCTGTTTCATGATGAATTTTTCACTCCATAAACTTGATTTATTGGTCATGCCAATACAAAACTCCCATGAATCTGTAACAGGAAAAAAATAAAGTTTTAACAAATCTGAAGTAAAAAAAAGGTCGACGCTGCATGGACAAGTCCAGCTTGACAGGGTGCTGAGGTGGCCAAGAAGCCAGGGATGCTTCGATGCAAATGCAACTCCCAAACCCTAGATTTAAGTGGCATCTGCCCCATTCGTTCATCATTATTTAAAGTATGTGAGTACATTATTTTTCAAATTTTTTTTTGCTGCAATTCCCTCTAGGACAAAGATTTACACTCGTCCTCAGACAGCAAAAACAATTACAAAAGGTGCTCTGAGTAGATGCATTCATTATCGAAATTAATTCAAAGGTGAAATAGGAAGAAATCCTGATCTTTCCATTTACCTATACTTTCATCAAATTTTACCTATTATAAACTGATCAAAGGAGACACCTTCCAGTAATCTTCATCATTTTCCGTGAAAAGTTGCGAGGATAAGTGACCCTACGGAGGTTAATTTCATTTGTATCTCTTAAATGCAGGAGTCTATTAAATGTAGGCATCGGCCAACAAGATCCACTTAATGCCTTGTTGACAGATTATTTGTGGTTTTGATGGGGATGTGACATTCTGCTGAACAGCTTGCCTGGTTTCCTCGAGAAGTATCAAGTTTTCATGGCGCAAGCGGTAGTTTTCTCTCAAGTTGAGTTTGGCCTGTATTATACTAAAATGAATCAGCAACGCATTGTTTTTGCGGGCAACTTATTGACTGCTACCTAATACACAGGACTGAAACAATCAGTACCAAAGTGCACAGAAAAATTGCGCAAAAAATGCACTATTTTCCAAGGAGTGACAGCAAAGTTTATCCTCACTTACTTCAAGGATTCTAACATACCGTGTTGAGGACCAATGTGTGCCATTGCACAGAGAGATTTGCTGATGTCATTTGAAATTTTAAATTCTTTAATCAATGATACTTCACCAATAAGTAAATTCTAACTTACTACACAGTATAATGAGCACCATAACCTTACCTCCGCGTTACAACTTCAAGTTTTAGTCGAATTTTCCTTCGTTGGTGTACATTGAGCCTTGGATACGGTTGATATTTTCTAAGGTTCTGTATGCCTCTGAAGTCAGTCTGTTTCAGAATGTAGTTACAAAACCAGTTAGGTGATGAGAGGAAGTGCGCAATGCAGACAGTGCATGTTATGATTCTAAAAGGCACTTGTTTTGTTCGCTACTATAGTGTCGTGTTCGCTTATTTCAGGTAATTAAAATAAAATATGTAAACCTCAATATAGACCAGAGACAGGAAGCAAGCGGAAACGTAATATAAACAGTAATATTAATTTAAACTCTGAGAGCCGCTTATCAGCAGGCCGCTCCTCGTTATCAAAACAAAACAAAACAACATCGATGCATTGATGCAATTGGAGAATTCCTAAAATGTAGCATGCATGAAACGAATGAAAATAAAATTACTCTCGGTGTGTTTATCGGGTTTATAAAAGGACTATTTTTTTTAAGAACCAAAAAATAGGATCTTCCGGCTTTAGTTCTAATTATATTTAAGTGCAAAGACCAGATAACACATTGCATTACGGAAGTAATAGAGAAAGTAATGTCATCTAGATTAACAGACTTGATTGCAAAAATCTTGCCGCGAATTTCAAAAACTTTCTGTAGGTTCTTACAAGCGGCATTGCCACTCAAGCAGGGCCGGATTTAGGGGGTGGCCACATGGGCCGTGGCCCATGTTGGAAAATATGGGGGGCGGCAAATTTTGCAATTTTTATGTAAATAGAAAATAAATCAGATTCAGGAAAAGAATTACAAACGAGAAAAGGCGACAAAATCTCTCATTTCCTGAGAGTATAGTGATTTCTAATTTTGTCGTCTTTCAATGATACAAGAGACAGTACCTTTAATTAGTCGAGTTAAGAGAGAAACCAAACACGCACTTTGGCTTGGAACGGCGCGGCGCAGAGAGCAATGATGACGAGGACTTGAGATGAAAAGGAGAAGCCCTCGGCGCGGCGATCGGCATGTACACATATTGGCGCCTACAAGAGTGCATGAATACTTCACGCACTGCGTCAAACACAGTGCGGTCAGCAGCGGTCGCGTCGGTGTGAAATGCATAGCGCCGACAAGAATGCATGAATACTTCATTGCATCAAACACCGTGCGGACAGGGTGAAACGCATAGCGCCTACAAGACTGTAGGAATACTTCACGCATTGCGCCAAACACAGTGCGGTCAGCGCATATTATTTTCGAACACATATCTAGGAAACCGGTAAAACTAAGGGAGTTTGAGGGGACTGGGAAATAAGGGGGAAAAATCAGGAAATGGCCATAATAACAGCCATATCGATAACCAATGGACTAGTTTCGCCTTCACCTTTATCTTTGTCGTTCAAAATTTTCAAAATTTAACGATCAAAATAATCACTTTATGGGACAATAAGTTGGATAGCATTTTGCAATTCGGAACTATAGGCAGAACGGTAGGTTTTCAGGAGAGCAACTTTTGCAAAAACCATTGGCGTTTTTCATCAAAACGATCAATGTTGCGGTTTGATGGTTCATTTCATAGCTATGGAGTTCCTTTAACACCCTGTGTCGACAGATTTGTCAAAAACATCACACTGTTGCCAATAATTACAAAAAAAGGCTATAGTTCCTTATTGCAAAATGAAGAATCCGCGGAAGCTCATTTTGCAATTAGGAACTATAGATTGTTTTAGCACTGACTGCATAGGGGAGACGACCCTGGTGTCACTATTACAAATTGGAGGGTTTACCCCAACAGAGAAAACACCCCTTCCTTCCATCATACGAGGAAGGGGGGAGGTGCATTGTCCCTGCGGAAAGATATTCTACAAAAAACAGGGTGTGCCAAAAATATGGATACCTACCGACTTGCTAATATTTCGAGAATGGTGGCAAATATTAACATGCAATTTGGACGGGAGGGTTTATAGATTTGATTGACATGAATCGATCAAAAAATGAAAGCATGAATCGATCAACACCGACTCGATCGACAAATTATTGAAAAACCGGTGTCATGATTCCGACATGACCGACATGAATCGATCGAAAAGTTAGAACATGAACCGATTGACGTGATTTGATCGGCACTGATTCGATTGACGACCGTGAATCGATCAAAAACCAGCGAATCGATCCGCAAATCCGTGAATCGATTGACAACCCCGTGATTCGTTCGAAAAATCCGTGAATTGATCGATAAACCCTTGAATAGGTCAACAAACCCGTGAATCGTGAAATTTTGAAAATTCGAAAATCCAAGATTAAGGATGTGGCCTATAATGCTATCTCGGCTCCTGTTCGATCGATCATGCTGATTTTCGGGGTTGGGGGTATTTTTGGACGGGAAACTCGAATTTCTGGTCAAATTTTGAAAATTCAAAAATCAAAGATGGCGGATGTGGCCTAAAATGCTATCTCGGCTCCTGTTCGATCGATCTTGCTGATTTTTGTTATCCGGGGGTATTTTTGGACGGGAAACTCGAATTTCTGGTCAAATTTTGAAAATTCAAAAATCCAAGATGGCGGATGTGGCCTAAAATGCTATCCCGGCTCGTGCTCCATCTATCGCGGTGAATCTTGGTACCAGGTAGTATTTTTGGATGGGAAACTCGAATTTCTGATCGAATTTTGAAAATTCGAAAATCCAAGATGGTGGATGTGGCCGAAAATGACCTTACTTGAGTAAGTATCCCCTGGGGGATCTTTCATTCCTCGGACACACGTTTAAAGGGGAGCTCAGAAGACGCAACCTCAAACTTGTTTTTCGTGGATTGAAATGCGAAAAATATCGGAGAAATTATTTGTGGCTTATGCGTAGTAAATACTTCAAAAAACGCAAAAATCAAAAATCACTGAACAAGCTCAATGTCAAAATTTGAAAAATTTCAATTTTTCGAAACTCGGCTAGGAATTTGAGTTTCCCGGCCAAAAATACCCCCTATACAACCAAGATTCACCACGATAGGTCGAGCAGCCCGAGATAGCATTTTAGGCCACATCCGCCATCTCGGATTTTCAAATTTTCAAAATTTGACCAGAAATTCAAGTTTCCCGTCCAAAATCCCTAATAGCACAGTTACACAATGGAATGTTTTTAAAATGTTTCAAATTATGTCAATCTCGGATTAGTCATTGACATATGTTTCCAACAAATTTTCAAAACGAATACATGAAATGGGCAAGTTGGCCGTGTCTTTGAAACGTATTGAAAACAAATCGAAAATGTTTCTAATTGCGGTCATTCAAACTTTTTTAAAAATAAGTTGGAAACGTTTCAAACTTATTTCAAAAAGGCATAAATAACCCACCCAAAAAATGTGTAAGAATTGTGTCAGCTATGTGTTGTCAATATATTGCAGTCCGTTCAATAAACTATAGCAGAAAGGTTTCAAAAACATTTCAAAACCATTGTCACAGCTAAGCCTATGATTGAAACATATTTACGGAACATTTCTGCCACAATTTATGTGAAAATCAATGAACCTTTATTGACATCCATCGGAAAAAATTTGTAATTGTGTCAATTTTTTTTTTAACGACCCAGGCACAGATTCATATTAGATTTGTGTACGATATGTTGGGAAAGGAGATCAACTAAATATTTTGGAAACATTTCTAAAACATATTTAAAACGTTGCTGCAGAAATTCTTGGAAGTTCGAAGTTTGTGAGAAATAAACCTGACATATTTCTGACACAATTTAGCAACGTTTCCAAGATCCTTCAAAAACATGTTTCAGAAACAACTGGCAGATATTTCGTATTTTTAATCTGATAAGGTACAGCTATATGTTGAATCTATGTATGAAACGTGACGGAATGGTATTTGAAACGCCTTCAGATTTTCGTGTAAGAATTTCCCTCATTGCTCTCTAGTTGAAATACTCGTATCACTCTCATTTAATTGATCCGCGGCGATCGTACGTCATAACCATTTATAAAATTAATTTAAACGCATAAGGGTAAGGAAATTTATTTCAGAAATGTGTCAGGAATATATCAGTTAAACAAAACAATGCCTTGATTTTCATTTAAACCTGGTGAACACAAGTTGAAAACATTTCTCAGACCTTTCTAAAAATTTTCCTAGATCAAACTGAACCTACCAGAGAGCGTTGACGTTTCATTTTCCAATTTTACCAAATTTTGGTTTATTTTTTTGTCTCAAGGTTTACTTTTTGGCTATTTAATTATGCAGAGTTAAAAATAGTTTTAAATTCTTGGTATGCATCGCATTTATCTCCATAAGAGCTTATAAGTTATGGATTATCTAAAATATTGAAACCGTACATCATGCTTTGCGTATACTTTTCTAAAGAGAGGACTTCCTAATCCCTCTGATAGTTTAATACTGATGGCGTGAACCCATAGTTCCATACTCTCCTTAGGCATAGTCTGTAATCAGGCCGCCCAGGTACTTGATTTGATAGCTATAATGCCTCCACGACATTTGCTAAAACAGATGTCTGAAAATTTTTTTACGGTTAAGAAGTGTGACATGCGGATGTATTCAACACAGAGTGGGCTCGTGTTTAACACTACATGGACTGTAGTGATTATACCGAAAATGTGTCATAAACATTTAGAAAATCAGAGGAAAATCTGAGTTAAAGGCTCATTGTTTTACAAATGTGTCAAAAATGTGTCAAAAATGCACTGCCAACGGAGACCTTTGGCCATTGTGTCATTGAAATATGTAAAAAATGAATTCGAAACATTTCGGTGACACAATCTGCAAATGTTTCACAGACACATAAAATGTGGTGACATGGGAATGTGTTGAACACAGAGTGGCTTCGTGTTTGACACTTCATTCGGGTTTTTAAAGTATCACGTGAAACATTTCAGAAATAAGGCTTGGTGTCATTGACACGTTTTAAAAACATATCTAAGACTAGGTGTGCTATTACGGTACCTCCTAGTACCAAAAATCAGCAAGATCGATCAAACAAGAGCCGGGATAGCATTTTAGGCCACATCCGCCATCTTGGATTTTTGAATTTTCAAAATTTGACCAGATATTCGAGTTTCCCGTCGAAAAATACCCTCGGTTACCAAAAATCAGCAAGATCCATCAAACAGGAGCCGAGATAGCATTTTAGGCCACATCCGCCATCTTGGATTTTTGAATTTTCAAAATTTGACCAGAAATTCGAGTTTCCCGTCGTAAAATACCCCCGGGTACCAAAAATCAGCAAGATCCATCGAACAGGAGCCGAGATAGCATTTTAGGCTATATCCGCCATCTTGGATTTTTGAATTTTCAAAATTTGACCAGAAATTCGAGTTTCCCGTCGAAAAATACCCTCGGATACCAAAAATCAGCAAGATCCATCGAACAGGAGCCGAGATAGCATTTTAGGCTACATCCGCCATCTTTGATTTTTGAATTTTCAAAATTTGACCAGAAATTCGAGTTTCCCGTCGAAAAATACCCCCGGGTACCAAAAATCAGCAAGATCGGTCGAACAGGAGCCGAGAATGCCGAGAAAGCATTATGCCGTCCTGTCTATAGTTCCGAATTGCAAAATGGGAAATCCGAGTTTCGCATTACGCAATAGGGAACCATAGTATAGGTCCCAATTGCAAAATGAACTTCGCGTGATCCTGCGACGGCAAATTTTTGCGGGGTCGCTGAAGCGGGATAAAAATTGTTTTTGAGGATTTTCTTTTTCTCAATAGTAAGTAAATACCCTCCTGATGCGGAATTCATCATAAAAAAAAATTTGACCCTAGTTCCTTATTGCATAAAGCTGTCCAGTTCATGATGGTGCATCTTTCGGCCTGAATTGTTCCCTTCTCCTCCCTCAAAATGGTGCTACAAATGCCGAAAGTAATTTTGATGAAGTTTCCAATTTTGTTCGAGGTATAGTCCTCAGATGTCTCCGGGGGGGGGGGGGGGNGGGGGGGGGGGGTCAAAAATTTAGGGGAGGGGGTGCTCGCTCCATAGATAGCTTCTAGGAGGGGCCTCAGAAATCCTACAGTGGAACCTTGCTCTATGTTTTCCTCCCTTTTACAATTCTCTCTCTCACAAAATCTAACTTTCCGACAATTTTCAACTTTTGTTTCATTACTTAATTTCATATCAGTAAAGAAAGACTCCATGAGGTTACAGATAAGAGAAGTTCCACGCAAGAGTCGATCATTAATTTGTTGAAAAGGGGTTAGTAGCCTCCTAAAATGTTTAGATCGTGCCATCCTAGTTTTGCGTTAACTCTGATCCATGCTAGGATCCAAAAAAGTCTCCCGAAGTTTCTGGTCCACGAATCGCAAGCCTCTTTCTCCCCTTTTAAAAATGATTTGGGCGCTTGTACAGCCGACAACATAAATTCGAATCGTATGTAAAGCCTGTGTTCTAAAATGAGTCACATTTTTGTGGTCTCTAAAAAATGTATGAACTTATATTTTACTGAATGAAATTTTTGGGAATCTTATTCGATTCTCCATACATTACAAGTGGTTAAAGGAATAGATTTTAGCAAAATCAGCGTAAGTGTATTTTTACAGTGCCTAATATTCTCTCCTAATTAATTTCTTTATAAAGAATCTTAGCGACATGATGTCTTAAAGCTTCTTGTATATTTCATATAGATTACCTAACAGGAATGAATTTTAAAGATGTACTTAAAATGCTTGGTTTTTTTGTGAAAAAAAGCTTCATATGACGAGAAATCAAGCAACGTGATATGCTGACACGTTAGGACTGAATCTGATACATTCTATCCCAATAAAACCGTACATTTCGTTAAATTTGATTTTCACACCGACTTGAAATGTTGATATTTTAATTTTCAATCAAGCATCGGTAGTACTACAATACCAACCTACTTAAGATTTCATAGCTCCTTTCCTCAATTCTCTAACATTTTTTCCTCCCATCATTTTCCTCTAATTATTTTCCTGAACACAAGATAACCGCGCGATAAAGCGATCCTCTGAATAAGCCATTTTTGAAACATGCAGCGTTTTATGAAATGGATACTACAAAATCGCCTCCAGCAGTTTACAAAGAAATAAAATAAGTGTACCTATCACTATATCATGAAGAATACATGAAACCATGGAACATGAGCATAGTTAGAGAAATTGTGTTTGTGGGGGGGAGGGGGGGGGGAGGCAAAAGCCCATTCCCTCATTGCGGGTGTCCATTGGTATTGAGCAGCTTTATTACAAATTTTCTACAACGAGGGGCAGACCCCCTCGTTCGAGACTTCCCTCTCTTAGTTATGTTCTGCCACTTTAGCTTATTTGACTGACGGCTGTGTCGGGCGTCTGGACGTAACTATTCGATTAGATGGTTGTGCGTGTTACACATGCGCTAGAATGAAGGCGCCCCGACTTCCCTTGCGTTAAGCATAATCCACGAGTCTCGCTCAATCACCTTCTGTCCGTGTTCCACCCTAAGTTTGTTTTTAATTATCTTTCAGCCATTCAGTGGATTGTTCAAAGCAGTAGGGGAAAATGGTGGTAAGACTGGAAGGCAGAATTAGATCGCTGATGGCACTGCTTGTTTGCGAGTGTCTTTGCAAGTCAATTCACGGATTGAAGGCACAGGAATACGGACATGCAACCGTGGCGCTCCCAAAGACGACGATCAACACTATCAGGATGTTTGAGAAGACAATGCCCCCGGGTTACACTATAGAGACCGATTTAGTCATCAAGCGAAGGCCGACCGAAAAAAACCAAAAGGAATGGAAACCGCGAGACATCGAGAAAGCTTTCTGCGAGCATCAAATTGTCCCTGACGTTGTTGATGACCCACCTGTTAATAAGTCTACGGTATGAATCATAATTAAATTTGATCCATCAAAAGGTTTCCAAAGCCGTTGTGAAGATTCAGGTCGAGGGGGAAGGAATTATTAATAACAAAAAGGGTTAACTTTCACAGTTGCACGTTTATCAGGAGGGAACTTTGTGGACGCTCTGGATGGGAGGGGATCCGGGGGTCTCAATAGAGAATTTGCAGGTGCCTGAAATTTGATGAATTTCGTGTTTTTCAGTGGAAACTACAGAGTGAACTGAACACGAGGATACCCTTGGTTCATGAATTGGACAATTTTGAAATCGCCTTCATGCACGCTGGGCTTGTCGATTTCCTTCGACATTTTTGCAGTGGTGAATGCATGGCTGAAGTGCGCTCCAGCTAGAATTGTATATAGCAAATGGGTAATTTTTATAGGAGCATTATAAATAAACAAGTGGTTAGAAATGAAAACAAAAGAATATGAACTATGCAAAACGATAATCCGGGTATCGGAACTTGGCTGTTTTGAAAACGCCTTCAAATGCGGCGTGATACCTCACGCATTCCGGAGAGTTCAAATAGTTGTATCATTGCGCCGTAAGAATGTGACGGAAGATTACAAGCGAAATAGCCTTATACACGCTGGCTTTGTCGATTACCTTTGACACTTTTGCAGTGGTGAATGCATAGCTAAAGTGCGCTCCAGCTAGAATTGTATTTAGCAAATGGGTAATTTTTATAGGAGCATTATAAATAAACAAGTGGTTAGAAATGAAAACAAAAGAATATGAACTATGCAAAACGATAATCCGGGTATCGGAACTTGGCTGTTTTGAAAACGCCTTCAAATGCGGCGTGATACCTCACGCATTCCGGAGAGTTCAAATAGTTGTATCATTGCGCCTTAGAAATGCGACGGAAGATTACAAGCGAAATAGCCTCCATGCACGCTGGGCTTGTCGATTTCCTTTGACACTTTTGCAGTGGTGAATGCATAGCTAAAATGCGCTCCAGCCAGAAGTGTATTCAGCAAAGGAGTAGTTCTTATAGGAGGATTGAAAACAAACAAATGGTAGGAAATAAAACATAATAATAGGAACTATGCAAAACAATAATCTGGATATCGGAACTTGGCTGTTTTGAAAACGCCTTCAAATGCGGCGTGATACCTCACACATTCCGAAGAGTTCAAATAGTTGTATTATTGCGCCTTAGGAATGCGACGGAAGATTACAAATTATTGGAGAAGATATGATAAAATAATCTAATCTGCTAAAATACGTGTTTTTAAACGGGCAATGCCGCCAGATGACGTCACTAAGTGGTGCATTTTCTCACTTTTATATCTATTTATATACTATTTCACATATCAAAAGAAAATTACAAAAATTACTGTGAAATCAGCTCTTTAAGCACTTTCAGATGAAGCAATAAAAAAATGTTCATGCAAATTCTACATTCGGCAGATGTAAGCAATTTTAATAAAAGCGCAAGCGTAATCTTTAGCATGTCGTGTAGGACATTCAAAAAATCACTTTCAGAGTTCGAATCTTTTTTCTTTTCTTTATTCATTTTTCATCGTAAAATAGACCACTGCTTTCAGATTTAGATACCCGTTCTAACAAGAACTGCTCCAAAAACTGAGCAATTTTTCGGTGTAACGATATGGAAATCTTCACGCTATGTGCGCTGAACGGTGAACTGTATGTATGGATACGGTATTGTAAGAATAGTAATCATAAGAAAGCTTTAGTCTACTTCGTAATAAAAACTCCGGTTCAGTTTGAACTAATTGGAGTTGTTTGTATCAAAGTGTTCATACTCATATAACATTTGCCAAGTTATGGATGTCAGTATTTTCATTTCGAAATTCCGGCACTAAAAGAACGTCCCATAAACGTAGTGATATTCCCTTCCTAGTAAAAGACAAATTATCTGGAGAGCTCGCGATTCTTTTATTTGACATTTTCGGGAAATTTCATACTTATTTAAGCGTAAGATATTTATAAATGTCGATGAAAAAAAAGTATACATTTTACTGGTTGAATTCGCAATTTTCAAATGCTCACACGGCGTTCTTCTTTAGTGCAATAGTATTCTGACTCCTGACCGCTTTGCGGTACCATCTCCCGAACCGCTTCGCGTCTCAGGCGTTATGTGTTACGCATGTGTCTCATATGCTTTTATATTAAAGAGTAAGATATGTTTCTTAAAAACCTCTCTCATCTTTGCAGATTCTATTTCCCTTCAACCGCTTCCCCGAATTTGGTAATGAAATGAACCTGTCCATTCACAAACATATATGTTGGGCGCAGTGGCCTGGTACCATGAACGATACTTACACTTTGATCTATACAAGTGAGTTGGTAAAGTCATTCGCATACATTTTTAAATACATTCGTGTTTTCACCAAACACCTGAAAAGATACCCTCTGCGATTAATATTGTATTTCCTTCCACTGATGATACGTACTACATAAAGTGCTTCATGATAAACATTTTTAGGGAAAGCAACCGCCCCGGAATAAGATCCACCATCCACCTTTGTACATAGTTTTCCTTCTCTCATTTTAATACTACGGTCTACTCGTAGGCATATGTATCTATTGGGCTCATGAATATTTCTCACCGTTTAACGCAACGCCATTTTTATCGGATTTTTAATATGATCTGGATTTGAGGATTAATGCATGAGTATTTAAATTAGGTTCATTTCCAAGAAAAACTTGCACAGGTGAATTCGCAAAATCTTGAAAAAAATCTGAATGATATAGGCTGTATTAGTATTATCAGTAATCATGATTCTTTTCGGCTCATTAAATACATTATATAAATGCAGAGGTGATTAAATATTCATAATTCATTCATCTAACTCAAACTCATCGTTTGTTTGCGTTACATTAAAAATAATCAGAGCAATTTTCATCGTGTCTGAGTTTTCTTCCCGGAATAATGATTTTAGTAAGTCCAATAAGCGTGCTTTTTTCTGTTCTTATCCTTCGAAAGTTCCTGACGTACCAAGTCGGGATAACCCAACATCTGGGGAGTACCAAGTGTGGGTTGTTGGAAATATCGAGGGACCGATTTACATGGAGAATGGAACGTTAACTGAATATATTAAACCAACGCACCCGAGCGGAACAGGTAATAAATGATTAAAGTTTAGCATTTGATAAATATCGGCATATCGATAGCCACATAGTGCGAAACAACGTACCCCCCTTGCAGTGTTTCAAAATGTCCATCCTTATTTTATTTTATTGAAAAGAGACAATCCAACTTGATAGCTCAAAATCTTTACAGAATATTTTGCCAACAGAGAAGAAAAGTCAAAGAAGTTTTCAACAAATTACTTTGCCCAGTTTCCGAGCGAAAAATAAATTAAGACAAGAAGTCTGCAAGGTCTCAAACAGAAATATGCGGTTCAACACTTTGGCCAGCAATATGTAAGTCCCGATTTAAGGGTTGGGGCAAATAGGAAGGAAAATGTCTGACCTAATGTTGCGCAGTATCTCAATCAATTAGAAAAATACTCAGCAATTTTAGCAATTTTTTTGACTGTTATCAAATTTACGAGGAGGTCAAAAATTAAGTTAATGTTTGTGCGCCTCCTCCCAAAAATTTCGACCTTGGGTGTAATTCATGGATTTTCGCTTCACTAAACGTACTGGAATCAGAGAGAAGGAACGCAAGGAATTTTGGCAAAAGATGTCTATCCAAAAATGAAAACTTGAATAGTAATTTAATTTGCGTTTTTACAATAAATGGATAAGTCGCGTCGCATGCTGTTAGTAATCACCGGTAATTTGCAAGCGGTTTACATGCTAATGGTTCCGATAAATCGTAATAGTACCCATCGTATGTTAGATTGATAATGACTTTTAGAAGCCGGATTTTCTTTGAGCGCCTTCAAATCGCCGCAATACTCAACGCCTTGTCGCACGGTTAGTTTAGTTGCATATTTGGTCAATGCCCACGTATACTCTCAAACTGTGTCCCTGCTATCATGCATACGCAGGCAAAATTACTTTCCCAATTAAAGGAAAAATACTCAATTCTCTAATATTTTTCTTTCATTCCGGAATTCATCGCTTTTTATTAATCTCCAATGGCTTACGCATTGCCAGCGATTGCGAATTGCCTGTGAGAGATACACATCACCACTGATCAAATGGTTTAAACCAATGTTTAAACTCACCGCATTTAAAACCCTGAACTTTTGTACATTACAGGTTTGCACAGACATGTCTTTCTGGTGTACAAGCAACCCTTTGGAAGGTTTATTAGATTTGATGAACCGTTCTTGGATGCAAAAACGTAAGATTCTTATATCTTTTTTTGTTCTGAGATTTCGTATTGTGCCTCAATACATTTTTTACATGTTAATCTTGGTCCGAAAGAGATGATGAAAGGCAATCACGGAAAAAAGAGGATAGTCGTCACAACCAGCCTGGTTGTGACGACTACAGGATTTCCTCCATTTAAACCTATGTTAAATGATCGATTCTTGTCGGAGCACCTGGCCCCTTCAGGAATCGATACATTTCCATAGATTTAAATAGAGAAAAAACGATGTTACCAATTTTATGGATCCGCCAATAGAGGAGTGTACATAAAATGTTTAAAAGTGCCCCCTATCCTACTCTTTGTTCACATCTAAATTACATAAAAAAACCTTACCAAAAAATTGATGATACTACTGAAATCGATTAATTTTAAATTTTACCTGGTATGAATGTTCAAATGCCTTCAGATCAGAGACAGAACTTGAGATAGGAAAAATGTTCAGATAGTAATAGAATTTCTTCACTGATATATTAGTAGTAATCTTATAGTAATAACTACGATTATAGAGTTAATAACTCAAAGAGTGTTTGTTGAATTTTAACCAGAGTTTTAATCCGCAAAAGGGGGTGATAGAGTCGGGCCTTAGAGGGTTGGGGTATGTTTTCAGAAAATTATTTGCGATTAAAATAACTTTTATCTTACATGAAAATTATTTTATTTTCAGACGTTTAGATCCAAGAAGATACAACTTTTCTACAAGAGCCTTCGCCAGGAAGTACAATCTTGGAAAACCGGCAGCTGGAAATTTCTTCCTCGCATACTAGTTTAGGAAGGACATTGGGAACGACAGAGCTTTGAGACAAGGTATTACAAAATTTCATCTGCCTAATTCATTACGAGCCTCGCAAGTTCGAAGCTGCTTTTTTAATACCTGTTTAATGTCAGAAGAGTTTTAAACTTTATCATAGAAATTTCATGTGATAACATAATTTACCTACTTAGTATTGATTTACATGGAGCCAGAGTAAATAGCCAGTACAATTAGATAGCGTTCTGAGTCTATGTTCGTATCTCATCAACAGATTTGGTAACATTCCACCGAGGAGAGAAGATGATCAAATTTCGTCAAAAATTAGTGCCATAGCGTGTAATCACGTTTTGAAGAAATCTTCAACAACTGCAAATCGTTGGTGATACTGAAACCTCAGTGAGAAACGAGGCTACAGGGATTTTAATTTCAACACTCGTTTTTTTCTTAGCTGCCTTATTGTGCTCAGATACACTCTTGTGCTACGTGCCGTTCGAGCATTGGCTATTATTTTTACAATGGCGATAGCATTCAATCAGAAGGGATCCAGTTTAACTAACAATCATTCTTTCCGTAAGTTGCATACCTATAGCTCAGTATTTTTGAAGTAGACTCTTCCGTTACTTATTCCGCAATTTAAGATTTAAACGATGCGGATTGCGTGGCAATATGAAGGTAACCGCTCAGATTATTGTTAATTGCAGTATTTCAATCAGAATATTACTGCCTTAGCTGTATAATGGGCTTCAGCCCCTACTCTCTTCTGTTGGATCAGTTTAATAGTGTTTTCATTTTTAGAGGATCTGTCAGCGACTAAAAAGGTTCTTATCATCACTCGGACTTTAAAGTAAAAATGTAGCCTCGCTTTATGGGACGATGGAGAGTGATGTAATTAATAGCTGCTTAATGAGATTCACTAGATTAATAATGGTCGATTAGATCTCGATAGTAAATATTATTTTTAGTATCGTGTGAGACATCCACCGCTGGCTTTCATTTTTGAGGTGACCTTAACTTGCAACGTTCGTTTAGTCATTAAAAATTGTTTGCATGCAACAAACATAAGAACACATAATGGATGAACCTCAAATAACCGATTACAATGTAAACAATTGTCAAATGGTTGGGCATTGTACCGTCTATCACTTTTTAACAGTTACTGTAGAACAGAGTGTTATAAAATTTCTACACAGGCGCGATTATACGAGGAAAAAAATTCTGCCAAGTACGTTTTTATTTCTCGTCAAAAGTGCTGTGAGTATATATTTTGAAACATAAAAACTTGAATTAAAGGATTGTTGCATGTTCAGCATTGATCACACTTCCTCTTGAAAAACCGTCTACAAAGGAGCTAAACCATTTTTCCTTCACATGGCAGAGATTTTGAGACACCGCAACCAAGAAATGCCTTTTCTGCATCCAGCGATTCAAATATTTTTTGCTTTCTATGCTTTTTGTGAAAGCTGGCGAGAAAGAAATAAGTAAACGGCAATTAAAAGCTACGTGGGGTTGTTTTCAAGTACGTTACATTTTTGAGCAATATTAGGGCTGAAGAAGACTTCAGGAGCACCTATCCTTTTCAATGTATTTAACATTTGTGTAAAGTTTCGGTGAGGAAGCGTGACTAGCGGTTTCATATAATGTCAATCAATCTACCTATTTTCCTCAGTGAAACGAGAAATCGATACCACTAGAATTTCATAAAAGCTGAGTTAATTTTAAATGAGAGTTTAAGAACAGTAAATTTTTGATTTTGTATTCCAGTATTCAGCATATTATTAGCAACGATGATATGGTACCAACTACCTCGTCAGTCACGGGCTAAGAAGGATTGGGACTTAACGACTATGGACCCCAATGTTACGCTAGGTTGGGGCCCGAAGGAAGTATATCCATTCAGCATCGACTACGCCTTGAAGCAGTGTAAAATCGTGCCGATGATCATAGATAAATCACCGAAGCATTTACTAGAGGTACCAAATTTAACTTTACATGTAAAATTATGCAAACTGCAAACACGAGGAAGTCCATCCTTTTTTGAGTCCGAAACGCCTATGCTGCCATGTTAAGGAAGAACACCATATGAGCCATCAGACATTGCCAAGACTCCTTTCGATAAAATACGAATTTATTGGAAAGGTTATCAATTTCTGTATTTCAATTTTTCAGACAATATTATTCGCAATTAAATCTGAAGTATATGAAAATTTTAAGGAAAAATATGCATAACTACCTGTCAAAATAAACATTTCATTGGAGAAAAAAATAGCTTATTACACTAAGAAATATATTTTGTGCCGGTCTTTTTAGGTTTTGTATGAGGATGAAACCATTGTAGACTTAGGGGTCTATCTGCGACCAGAAGATATGCTATTTGAGCCCAAAATGATTACATGGCCTGACGGAGGAGAATATTACTACACCTTAATTATTGCAGGTACCGATGATTTTTCAATCTTAACGATGAAATCTCTGATTTGATCATTGAATTCCTCTCAACTGTGCGGAGCTCTTCAGTGTACGGGTACGTGTGAGACGGTTTCAATAGTCAGACTTTGTTTCTTTGAGGAGTCTGCTTTTGTCCGAGTGCTCTGAAATCATAATGACCACAGTAATCCAAAATATAAATCACAGAGTTTCTTGGGAAGATAGTCAACCTCCAATTGCGTTCGTGTTAATGGTCCTCGAAGTCGGTGGCGAGCGCTGCTCATATGACCATTAAGAAGCTTAACGGAATGACCACCGTGTGCATAGCTGAGCAGCACGCATTAGGAAAATCAAAAGGTTTTCAACCATATGTTGGTATTTTTCCGTATAAAACCACGTAAAATTTGGATGAAATACGTTAGTGTCATTCGTTTGGATTAAAATCAACTCTTAAGATCTAAAAAAGCTCTTACAAATTGAGGTCGTGATGATAAAGGAGCATCCCTGTTTAATAAAGGAGTGCTCATCCACAGTCCGCATTCATAATCAAACTATTCATGCGTGTTGAATTTGGATCTTCCCTGTTATTTCACAGGAACAATGGTTTTGTTGCACGCAAGATTTACCGTCAAGTGGGTAGACTTCCTGATGCTAAAACCACACAAAAATCACGATGGAAACGCACATAAAAAGTCTGGAATCTACTCTTTAGCGTTCAATTTTAAACGAGAACTTGGATATGGGGCACAAAGAAAGCATGCGCTTTGATGACGGCGCAGAGATACAACTATTCGTGCTTGATGGATGTCCATGTTGCGTCTGCAAAATTGAAGGCGCTATGGCGCGAGGCGCGTCAATGCTCTGCTCTAGGCTGCTCATCGATTTTTTCTTCTTTTATTTCAATTTGATCTCGAATTTTAGACTTTTTGATATGGCCATCGTCCATAACTTCATCTTACAAAAGTCTACTCAATCGGCTGAAACTCTTGCTAACAATAGATCCATTTATTTGTGTGTTTCAATTCATGAACGTAAGAGCAATTTCTCTGAAATGTCCTTAAGAAACTCTGTCTCTTTTGACAAGCAACCAGAAGTTGCAATGAATACATAGTATAATAGAATGCTATGGAAATGTGATGTACAAATAATTGATAATGATTCCGTAGTGAGCATATTTGGAAGGGAGCGACTCGTAAGTGACTTACGGAGTTCCTTGTCGCACCACGCCAGCCTCCTTGCCGTGTACCTTCTCATAGGTACATTGAATTTATGGATGCAGATGGAGAGAATCACATATCGACGGTGTAAGTCGGCAATCACATATCTCGTTTGCAGTGTCTATAAATCTCCGCCTTTATGTTATTTTGTAAAAAAGAACAAATTGACATCATTCCTTGAAGTTTTTGCAGAATTTTCTTTGCGTAGAGAGGAAAAATCATCAGTTTAAAAGAATTGCCGTTGTGTAGATTTCCGTTTAAAAAATAAAGTACAACAGGAATTCTTCGGACGTCGGAAACCGAGTTATGTGATTGCCGACTTACACCGTTGATATGAGGAGCTTGGAGGACAAGGCGCATAAGTGCAGTTTTTGAAAAAAACTGAGATACTGTATATTGAATGACTCCAAGTAAAACTAGTCTTAATGCATATTCTGTGAAAAATTCGCTCCCTATTTCCAATTTTTAAGCATCAAAAAATCAGTTTGAACTTTCTTCCCGCCATTAGGTTCCATGTAATTTTGTAACTCCAAACACGTATTCTTCGGAATAGCAAAAACTCCACTTATGCGCCTTGTCTTCCAAGCTTTTCATATCATTTTTTGACGTAAGAGTAATGGACCCATCGAAGTAAATATGTTTGTTCTACAAAAGCTTTTCATACCAAATAGTTTTCTCACATTGGATCCAACTAGAATTTCATTTCTTCAGATGCTGATTTCCCTGCTCGGGTTGACTACTCCGATAGCCAGTGTTTACTATTTATGGTCGTGAACGCTCATAATGGAACGTGGAGAGAAGAAGATGTGATTGTGCCATACATAGGACCCGAGCCAGATTTGGATTCAGGTGTATTTTTCTCATTAGCATCGATTTGCCCATAAAAATTCACCTTTGGAGCACGACTTAGGACATAAAAATACAGGAGAGAATCTGGAATTGTGTAACTTTACAATCCCCTAATTTTAGCTTGAAACATCTTATGGGAGTTTCAAGTTTGGGCGTTAGGGAGCATTGGAGTGAATAATTTTTTTTTTTTTTTTTGCGATCTAAAAAGGATATGGGAAACAGTTTGATGCTCTTGTCATAAAACGCACGTGATATGGGAAGGGTGAAATTCTGTCGGTAACGTAAAGAGGAGGAAAAATAAGAAGAAATAAAGTTAAAATTAGAGGATGGAGAGTGGAGAGTGAGATCATGAAATCGCGCTCAACTCAACCAGATGTCACTGCGCGCGGGCTTCTTGTCTGATTTTGGGGAAAATCACTCCAGTATTTTTGCATTTTGCTTCCCTTTCTCCTCTCTCTCAAATTTTCAGCAACCATTTCCTGCATCCTTTGAAGATTGCGAAAAAAAAAAAAATATTCAAAGGTTAATTAGGCTCGAGATTATGCCTTTGGGTGAGTTTCGGGTTTTTCTAATCTATTCTGCTTCTAGGACCAAATCTATTATTTTTTGTCTAAAAAGCCTGTTAGAAGTAAATTACCTTCAGTATATCTGACGCCAGCAATATTTCCTCAAACCACAAACAATTAATTATTTCGCTGAACCGTATTTCACCTAAATAGCGTTTCTGATCAAGTTTACACATTTTTAAAAACTACCTTTTCATCCTGCACCCCCAAACATCTCATTCTTATCAAAATAAGTCTATTAGAAGTCAACCTCAAGTTTTTAGGACGCCGGTAATATTCCTTCAAACCTTAAAAATTAGTAACTAGCTGACATGTAACTCATTTGCGCCTAAATAGCGTTTTTGGTCAAGTTTCCAAATTTTTGAAAATGCTTGCACCCTTGCACGCCCAAAAGTTTAATTGATATCCAAATTTGTCTATTAGAGGACTATTAACTCAAATTTGTGGGGCTCTAGCGTTACTTTTTCATCCCTAAAAAAATCATAAATCCATCGAAATTCATCAATTTTGTAAAACCGTACATTTCAAACATATCGTTGCCCCTCTGACAAAAGGGCGTAACTACACACTGCAGTGAACCCTGTCGTCCATAAAATTTAATGATTTTCCGGGCTGATTTTAATGTGTAGTTACGCCGTTTCGTCAACCGGGCGGCGATATGTGATGCGGCAGCACTTGGACTTTTTCTACAATTCTGAAACTTGGCCAAAGTTGTTTTCTAACCTAACGGGGAACTTTTTTGTACGGGAAACATAACTTTTTGAGGGGAGATTTTTGGGGAGGTATCGTAGGGACCATTTACCCTAAGCCTTCGGCCATATTGTTAAAGTCATGAGCCGCTTGTATGCAGGAAGTCACATGCATGATTGTCCTTACTTACTTATACCCCAGGAGAGTCTGTGAGTCAGAATGGATAATTTTGGGGCAAAAATAAAAATAATTCATGTAAATGAGCACTACAACATTTTATTTTTCGGTACCTATATATACTTTTGATTTTAATTTTTCATTGTAATATTGATGTATTTTGATTCTAGGTTTACATCGAGTACTTCATGTATTGTACAGACAACCAAAAAAGTTGCAATTTGATGAGCCTCGGTTGGACGAAAAGTATGCAAACTAATTACGTTACCTCTACGTGACAGGGACTGTAGTAATATTCACGGAAACATTTTCTGCATCAAAGACACAAGAGAGACGTTATATGAGGGATTTTACGATAACAGGAATAGTCATGCAACCATAGGTTATGAAAAAATGACAGGGCCAAAGGGTATAGGAGGCGAGGTCATAAGTCGAAAATAATGACGACCGTGAACCTGTTCATGCAAAAACCTTGACAAATTCCCGTCATATTTAAAAATGTGAGACTTCGAGGACCGAAAATGTACAGTCGGTTACGCGTCGCAAACTACGATTTTGAAGCAAAAAAATAGCTTCTGGTGATGAATTTGTATTGGTTGTGGAATTATCTGACCATTTTATTGATAGGAGTTTAAAATGTTTACGAAATTGGGATGTTTACCTACCTGAAATTTGGATTTTTAAGTGAGAGAAGTCACGGAAAAAGTATTTTTCCACCATGAGTCAATTGCGCTGGTTACAGAATCGTATTTTGATGCTTGGTTCTTGTAGATTAGCTGTAGCTAATAAGCTTATATTTAGCTCCATGTCGGCTCACAAGTCGTCGCTCCTCTGACGTAAGGGCGCATCTCAATTTTAACGTGAGCCCTGTTCTCCGTATAACTCTATGCTCTCCGGGGCTCATGTGGAAATCGAGATATGCCCTTGCGTCAGAGGAGCGACGAAAAGAGCTTCACAGCGCTAGAAGATCTACGTAAAGAGAGCACGAACACGTCGGTAATTTTGAGGTTGGGCGATGGAGCTCTTGGGACCCTAAATAACAGCCAATCTATGAATTCAAATTATCCAGAGAGATTTATTTTTATAATTGTTACGATTTGTCGTTGGTAAATCATGTAATTAACATACTTCTGGCATAGATTTATTAGAAACTTTTGTATAGGGGACAGTCACAAAACAAATTTATAATAAATGATAAAAAACCGCGAATTAACTTGTGCTAGGTATATTAATTTAGAGACGCGTTTCGAGGCGAGATGGCCCCATTCTCAGTCGGCCGAGTTCGCTGCCGACTGAGGATGGGGCCATCTCGCCCCGAAACGCGTCTCTAACTTAATGTACCTAGCACAAGTGAGTTCGCGGTTTTTTATCATTTTTTATAGATTTACTACTTTTTGCGAAAAATACGCTCGTTTATGGACATTCTTAGCCATTCTGCAGCCGGATTGTTAAAACTTTAACTGGCTATGTCGGCACGATAAGACAAGACATAGCCCTATCTGCGCCGTGCAATATATCGATTTTTGATTATTGTCGTGACGACGTAGATTTCAACAATCAGGCTGCTGGTTTGATGTTGGTCTTTAAAGATTGGCAGTGACATTTTTCGGTTTCGAAGATGGGCTGTTCTTTTGGGTCCTGAGAGGTCCATATTTTGGCGTGTCCTTACTCTGTCTCTATAGGTGCTCTATACAGCGTTGAAAAAAGTCTTTACTTCGTGAGCAACATTTTGCATTTAAATGACGTGTATGCAAATTCTCGTCGGCATTGTCCAAAAAATCACCTCTCCGAATTAAGGCGCTTTCAGAGATTGCATTTCGACAGTACTGCACCTGCAGCAACTGCTGTTTTTTTGCATGCAGAAACACATAATGATGTATTCAAAATATGTTTTCTTTACAGCCGCAACAACAGTCGACGGCAGAATTTTGTCGTGAGGAAGTTCACTAAAAAATACAATCTAGGGCAGCCGCACGCGATTAATTTTTTTTTCGTAGAAAACTGGGATTTTGTGGACACGGAACCGAGTGATTTGGCACTGTCTGGTCTGCAAGCAATGGAGAACTCAATGGATTTATTTGATGAAATACAAATGAGACTCGAAAACGGCGAGGAGTTCGAAGATGACGAGGAGGAGTTTAAATAGTTCTGCTTAAAATTGTTGGCGCGTATACGTAGTATACCGCCTTTGCGATCGTTTCGAACCCTGCTCGATACAATAACCGAGTCCCTTAGTTCCTTACCGAAAAGTGACTACCGCGAACTTCTGAGATTTTCCAAAGCGTGTAAAAAGTTTATTTATCCATCAATAATTATGATTTAAAGTTGTTTCTCATTCTGGGGCTCATTAGTTTATGTGCAGTGAATACCAAGAGTCTACGTTACTTGGTTTTTTCAAAAAAAGCCTAAGAATGCGACGCGCTGATTTAAAATATGCATATATAAGCAGAATCAAGCGAATTGATTCGAGGATGGCTGAGCAGGTCGGCACTCTCGAAATGAGAATTTAACTCTTCCGTTTTGTTCAAAACGTTGCTTTGACAGATCTGTAACCTCGGTTATAATTTCCAAAAGTTGGTACCCGTGCTCTGATAGTGCAATCTGTGTAAGTGCAATCTGTGATGAGCCTCGAGACTCATTAGACCATTAGCTAAACGTGGCTCATACAGGAATCCACTTACCCCTCTCTTTCCCACGCTCCTGCTCACTGCGTCGGCGTCTCGACGAACAATAGCTAATGACGGTTGCCAAGCGATGCCGGGATCCTCAGCCCCTCGCCCAATTACTTACGCTTCATTAACCATTTCACCGTCACGCTAGGATTCGTCCAATTTTCAAAAAAAATTGTTTCGCGAGTTTTTAGCAATTTTTTCCTTACTCTCCGTTAAAACACGAATTAAAAGAGGTCCCATTCATAAAAATCGGCCAAATAGAAGAGAAGTTACAGTATTCGAAATCCGAAGAAATCAACAAAACTTCTCCAAACAAAAAATAAAATGAAGGAATTACGAGGAGAGACGGGCATTCTGTTCAGCATATCGATACATAAGTATTTTCACACGTAGAATTCAATTTTCACGTCAGGGAGTCGACATATTTTGATTTTTTCGATTTTATACGGAAAATTTATGGTTTTTCGGGATTGAAATTACTTACAATTGTTTCATGAAAAATGAATGCACCCAAAATGACTATAGCATTTTGACTTTCACATACCTACGTGCACTCACTAAATTGATTGGTAAATTCAAAGAGTGGGTACATCGACCTGGTATATCAAGTTTCTGCGATTTTTTACGGCAAATCGGTAGATTTTCGAGATGTGGATTGCTTACTTTCAATTCATGAATGAATAAAGCATGGACATGGTTGAGCTTCTTTGCATGAAAAGACGTTTTTAAAATAACAAAATCAAGATATATTTAATACAATTGCATTTATATCGAGTCAATTTCTTTTCAATAATATAACGGGATTTATAATACCGGTGATTTGGGTATTTTAGCCCCAAAATACCTTTAAATCGACTTTATCTTCTAGGAATTCGACAGAATTTTTCCTTTCTTT